TTCCCCCCTATGGCAATCGGACCGGATCGAGTTTGCCGCTGCAACTGTAGCACTCGCATCTCCCGTTTGAGCAGCTTCTCTTGACCTCAATTTCGTGGAGAGTAGCTCATTTGTTGGGTATATATTGTTTGTTTTATGTTTTATTGGTTTAATAGGATTTTTCGGTTGTTCCGAGCCGTTTTAATTTTTCTAGCTCTGGATTTACAGTTTACTGCATATATCTTTGCCGGGCTTATTCATGACTCAAAACTCTTTTCCCCATTCCACACAACATAGATTGATATCTCGAGCATATTCATCCACTCATATTAGCCAATCCTCCTCCCCGTCAATGCCCTTTTCATCCACCTTCTCCCCCCTTCTTTTCCACAGATTCCAACCTGAGATTGTCTTCCCGGATTCGCCCCTTTTTTCCAGGTTAACCGCCCCGCCCCAGGGGCTGTGTGTGCACATAATCACGTCTCTGCCCATCCGTTCCCTAATCGAGTTCTTCCAAAGGATCTTATTGGGGTGGATGAAGTGGAGGGGCCGAATTGAAGCAGGGTGGGCCATTTGAAATGAAAATGCTTGTGTCCAGGGCTGGGTGCGGGGTCTTGTGGGGGGCCCGGAGAAGAGTCTCGGGGCATACTTCGAGTGTTTCGGAGAAGACCTGAACCCGCGGGCTTTCCCCGTCTACGATCAAACAGCACTTCTATTGATCTTTTGATTTGGTTTGATACCGGGCGCTTGACTTAACGCATCTGACCGTTCTTGAAAAATTGCTTAAAAACTTTTTGATACTAAAGGTCTATTAATTTCAGGCCGCTTAAAAATTCATTCACTTCGAGGTACGTGTAGTACTTGCTTCGTCGCCCTCTAAATTCCCGCCTTTTTCTATCCCCCGAAACACCGCAAGTGAAATCAATGCTGATGCGGACTGTTTATCGCTAACGCATGCCCCCCATCCGCTTGGATCGTACCCCACTCCCCCCCCGGGTTCGAGAGCTTTCCCTTTTTCGATAATTGGTTTTCCGGAAGAAAGCTGGATGGTTGCTCCGGGGATGGGGAGTTAGCGGACGACGATTTTTCGTCGATAATCAGGTGGAATCGGAGCCGGCCGGCGGGTCTGTAGGGAAGGCGATGCAACGGTGTTTGCCCTTCCTTCTGTTGCTGAAGACGAAACCCGGGTTGTGGGGGGTCTCTTCTGAAACGACCTTTTGTGCGATTTGTGTGGTTTCAGGACATTCGATTATCGTTGGGGGGCGGGGGGGGGTACAAGTGACTGTCGTTATGCTTGGAATTTTTCTCCGTTCCTTTTATGTCAGTTAGTTTTTACATCTAAAATTTGCCGAGGAGAAATCCTCCATTGTTGTGGGCCTTACAGAGGTCCACCATGCGATTCGTGAGACTTGACTCCTTGTGGTCTGGGTTTTATAGTGCTAGCTAGGTCCAGCTGTGTCCACCCACCATCCATACACATCCCGCTCTTTGTCTTGTCTCTTTTTCCGACCCATTCTGCCCGCCTATCCAGTTGCGTTAACCTGTTTTTTGAAATGTCCTCGTCACCGCCCACGACTACAATTTTTGTCGTTGCTGTATTTGAATTGGGGGCCAGGCGTCCTTTTGTTATTACCTAGAAACACCAATCTTAATTTCTCTTATTATTACTAACGAAACCCATTTGTTCAAACTCTCAATTCCATTACAGCTCCATTTCCCCAACCCTCTCTCCTTGACCGAGAAAGCCCTCAAAAAAAAGAACTAGGGCCCACCCCAATAGACAATTTGTTTGTTCTGCCATTCCGGAGCGTCGTGCTTGTCCCAGTTATCCCTCCACTGGCTGCTGGTTGCCCTGAAAATACGTGTTTGCCTTGGGATATTTTGCGCTCGCGCGCTCCCTAGCAGCTAGCGGTCCTCGCGCGCCGCTCGCCCCTCTCCTCAACCGGCCCCCTCGACGCGTATGCAAACGAAGTGCGATGCCGTAGTCCATTTTGTCGCGCCGGTTTCTTGGGATTGGCTGGGATGCTTAAAATATGATCTTTTTAAGCGCATTCCGAAGTTTGTAGATGCCTTATGCCGTATTTCCCTTAATATTCTAATCACCCTGATAATACGGGACTTAGGAAACTTCTTAAAGTTTTCGATCTGCCAAAATACCAACGAAATTAGATAAAATTGATCGATTTTATCAAATTCAATCCGTTTTCATCACTTTAAACTGCCTGCACTTCCTAATAATAAGAGGAGAATTCTTAACAGAATTATTAGGTACAGTATGCTCTCATATAGCTTTTCAAGCGTCTTCTGAAATTTTCAATAAAAGAAACCCGGTGTCCTGCAACCTTCTCCCGCGTAGTTTGCTACTCACAAAAACCCAGATCCACACACAATCTCACACTCCTCCACAGATACCGACATACACACAGCCCAACCCGGATTCCTCCCATTCCCCCCACCCAACCATCGCACTTGATCGAATCCGCTCTCCACGGTTGGCTCTGATTGATACGCTAGTTGACCCCTCGTTTTTGGCTGCATTTTTTTTGGGCGGACGAACGGAAATACTGAGTCGCGTTGTTGGCAGCCGGCCCCGCGCGTGATGACATCGGTGCGTACATTAGGTTCGTGAAGCCGACGACGCGCATTGTGGATAGTCAGTCAGCTGCTGCATGTGTGAGGGAAGGAAACTTTAAATTTTACTTTGTAGTGAAGAATTTGAATTATTGACACTAGATTTTTGACAAAGTAGTCTCGATTTTGCATGGTAATTCGGCAGTAGGTCTAACATTCTAATTTGTAGCTTGTAGTACTCTTACAGACATTGTGGTGCTTACAGCTTCATTTTTTATATCTAATCTTCTTCTTCACTCTACTTTTCTTCCTTTTTGTTTTTCTATTATTCTGCAATTTTGCTTAACTTAATTTTTTACCAAAATTCCACTGATTCAAACCATTGGCATAAAAACGTAGGGATACTAGGCACCGGACACATCCCCCATCGGCTGGATCCCTTCGGCCGATCTGATTTATTGGTGAGCGGCGGCTGGCCGTGGCCAACAGCCGTCCACCAGACCCACACGACCTCCTTCTCCTCCTCCCCCACCTCCTTCTCCTCCCCCCCATCCTCCCCCACCATTTGGCCACCTCGAATTGCCCACGGGGCCCACTCCGCCTGTTCCATCTCGCCCTCACCCCCCTGGGCCCTCCCACTGCGCGTTGGCTATTGATCTCTAGATCGCTGCGATCAAAGGCTATGTTTTTGTGGGCTTGTGGCTTGGGTTTTCTAAAGATTTTTCTACACATGATCAGTGGATCGCGTCAGATGTAGGTATTTCCATCTCCTACTCTTTTTGCATAACTTTTTTTACACTTGACCCTGACCACGCTCAAGTCGTTCAGCCTCATCCCGGATCAACAGATTCCCGCCACCTTCCCTCCCGGACCGGGTGCTAGGCCCTCACTTTCTGCCACTCCTTCCCACCCCTCACTCCTTTCAGTTCCAAGTTTCTGTGAAAATTAGACTAGTTTGACCTTGAAGAGGGAATGGGAGGAATAACCGGAGAGGGTGGTAATGGGCGGGCCCGGAAAGGGGTTGGGACAATTGATGAGCAGGGGCTGAGTGAGCACGCGCACTCGATCGGTTGGCACGAAGAGTATGGGTCAATGCAATCCGGGGAGGATTTTCAGCTGGGAGGTGATAGGGATCATTTTAGGAGGTTCAATTCGATTAGTCTTAAAAATCTAAGGATTTTCTATAGTGCTGCGATGTAAAAAAATTATGCAACTGCGTGCAATTGTATGGACAATTTCATGGCGTTGTTCAGCACCTAGAGCCTCTTGGAAGCTTTTTTGGATAGGGAAGAAAGTTCATAGGGTGTAGAATAAACCGGAATCGGCTGACAACATCTAAGACTTGTACAAATAACATTATTTTCGCTATTAAAATTCACTTTTTCAGAACTCGACCTTAGAAAGCAATTCGCAGTCATCAAAAGTAGTTCAAATGAGCTGCTTTTTCGATTTTTGGATGCAAATCACCTAAATTAATACTCCCAGGCGTCGCGGTTTTAGAAAACTGTCAGATCGCTAATTCCCGAAAACAGTACCCTAAGCCCAGGTGACGGGGTGATGGCCCTGTCACCCGTGAGGACCCGTGGCCCGAGCGATTAGCTGTTTAGTGTGGTGGGAGGGCCCGGGGACCGGACCCTTCGCCCCACTCGATGGCAGCAGGAAGTGGTCCAGAATTTGCCGGGGACCCCCACAGAAGTGCCAACCACCACCGCCGACTGTCCGATAGTGGAGGGTTGACGTACAAACTCTAGACGCGATGCTTTGGCTTATTCACGTTGAGAAGTCAGATTTTTCTCGTAGTTCATTTGAGGCTACAGTATGCCTGGATACTTTTAATTGTTACTTTTGCCTTTGGTTTATTGTTTAGTGGTTTTAGTTGCCATCTTTTATGGATATCTGGGTCCATACTCTATGCAATTTTGGGGAAAATGCAGTATCGTTAATCATTGACATTAAAAAAGCACCATTACATTTTTTTATAATTTTTGTGAATAAACCCTATTAAACAAACCAATTTCCTCAAACCATTCTCCCTTTCGTACGTTTTGTGGGGAGTATGAGATCAATTCTCCATCCCCCTTCCGAGGTCAGATTTATGCCCTCGGGCAATCTCCCGCAATCAGCCACACCCCCCTTACGTGGTGAGCACATATTTCGAAGGTAATCGATGGCTATATCCAACCACTTTTCTTAGTTTTTCCTGAACTTTATTGATTTTAAAGTTATTTGTTCTCCTTGTCGTATGCTTTTCATTTTTATGGATATACAATTAACAACCATTATTTGCAGATTGAAGACCCATTGAGACGATCGTCTAGTCGGGCTCCTCGAGTGTGCTGTGTGTTGCCGTGACTCCCCTTGCGTGCGTGTGTCTCATCTTCAGCGTTTCTTAGGTAAGTCATCATCGCCATTAACACTCAACGAAGTTCATTGCCAGTTTCTTCTCTAAAATGTTGCCGGCGGCTTCGGTTTACAGCCAGCTCGGCGCCTCGGACCCCATTGTACAGGCAGCCGCTGCGGCACTCGCCTCCTCGGCAGGAAATCAGGATTTTATCGGTGAGGCGTTGAAGTGTTGTGTCTAAATATGTAAAAGTTTCAGGAACCGGCTCTAAGGACACGACGCTTACAAAGATTTTTGTTGGCGGATTGCCATATCATACGAGTGACAAGACGTTGCACGACTATTTCGAGCAGTTCGGCGAAATTGAGGAAGCTGTTGTGATTACGGATCGACAGACGCAAAAGAGCCGAGGATATGGATTTGTGACGATGAAGGTTGGTTTTTGGAGCTACAGGCAATGATGATATTCCCAAAAAGTTCGAAGTTAATTTCGATATTTTAGGATCGTGGAAATGCCGAACGAGCCTGCAAAGACCCTAACCCAATCATCGATGGACGAAAGGCTAACGTCAACCTCGCCTACCTAGGAGCAAAGCCAAGAGGAAACATCGCACTTGCGGGTATGTAATTCTCCTTAAACCATACCCACACCATGCGCCCTCCTCCCCCCTACCTCCCTTACCCGCCTTCGATTCTTCTGAAGCACCGGAAAATTCAATGCCGTGCCCAATTTGACACACCCCACCGTCCAAAAACCGTTCCGATTGGCTTTTCATCCCCCTCCTCCGTAAAACCCCCGAGCGCCTGCTAACCGGACATTCGCCTTTCGTTTAATGAGTTCTATTTTTGCTTGAAGTTTTCTTGGACGGTGCGTTTTTTTTTGAGCTAATGCATTTGGAACACCACGATGCCTAGGTTTTTGGGACTGCTGAAGTTTTTTTTTGTTTTTAGACAGTGATTTGAATGCCGTTTTAAGTAAACAAAAGTTTCAGCGTTCCTTAAATCGAGGGATGGCATTTATATAGCCGCGTCATCGGAATAACGGGTTAATTAGGATGCAAGGTGTCAGAGACCAGATTTTTTAAGCTTAAACTTTGCATCCGCATTAGCCTATTATACTGACGGAACGTCTAGATGCGTCCTAATTGCTACCTAAAACGCCTCAGCTCTAGAAACCAATTAAAATTCAACTTTTTTTGAACGACTTCGGTTTGTTTTTTGACGTGGGTGCGATTTTTGGCCTAATTTTAACCTAGCGCCAGTCCCTCAGCGCATTAATGGCTATTATGCACCTACCGACCCCTCTAGGGCTAAAGGGGGGATGGATGGTGCGGTGTGGGGCATGGAGTGAATGAGTGAAGAGTGACCAGGGTTTCGTGTTTCAGCCCTCGCCCAACCGACCGGATTGTCGCAGATGCCGTTGCAAGCACAGCAGCAAGCCTTGCTCTCACAGCTGCTGCCCGCTGCCCGTCTCGGGTTTGTATACGAATTATTATCATTTAAAGAAACCGTGCTTTACAAACATTAACTTATTTTATTTTCAAAAAGCCAAAGCAAATACCTCCTTAAGACTGTCATTAATGCGTAGACCGTTATCCGCCTATAGACACTCTATAGTACATTAAGATTTGTCCACGTGTAAAAAATACTAATTTTTGTTGATACTGCACTTAAGATTTATAGGATTTAATGCAAAAGCAGCTATGAATTTATAAAAGAAGTTTCATACCATAAAATGTTTTTACTCAGATGTCCAACGTCCGTGTGTTTGGCTAAAGCTGTTTCTGGAAGTCCACCAACTTCCAATTATCCCTCAAAATCGAAAAAATCCTAAAAACGAAGCGTGTGCGGTGTTTGCGGCTAAATTGTTTGCCGAATTTCCAACCCAGCAATATTTTGCGAAATTTGATTGCATGTGTGCTGTGGGGGCAGCCCGTAAAATATTTTGAGGTCATGCTAATTTTAAATAAGTTTTTATCAAAATGTGACGAATTTTGAGCCTTTAAAATGCCCCCACACACGACCAGCCAAATTTGTATCCGGGCGATGTAATCAAAGGACAACTGATGTGGCCTCCTCTCTCGTTTTCAATTTTTCGGTGTTTCCATTAGTTCTACCAAGCATATACAGTAGCGGTCAAAAGTTTGTACCGAGCTTGCCTCGCCTTCTAAAATTTGCCCCAGAATCTCGGAGAAAGGCTCCAAAATTCTATTGTTTTGGGAACTATATCTTCTAAGGCTTTATTGTATAATGCCGAAATCCCTATGCAATTTGAAACTGTATTTGGCTTTAAAAGTCGATTCTTAAAGAGAGGGCAAAAAGAGGTTAGGTCAAAAGTTTGTACCGCCCATCTTTCAAAATTCGATAAATGGCTAAATAATGTAGTTTAAGCTTCAATTCTGATACTGACGGATATTATGTGCCAGTATCTGCCGTTTTGCATTCAAAGAATAGCCAAAAAAATTCCAGGGAAATTTTTGAAAAATTCGATTTTAATATGGGAAATGTGGTTTTTCGACCATACCGGCTGAAAACTCCAGTTATTTTGCATTTTTTATATGCGATCGGAAACAGCATCCAAAAACACAAATTTTCATATACATCTTAACAGGCAATCCCCCGAGGCGGAGAAGTGACGCATTTAATAAGCCCATCCGCGCGGAAAAGTACCGATTTACTATGAAAACCCCCGCCTGCAGACTTTACCGAAGGGTAACTCGGTGAGACCCCAACTTCTCGAGGGTTTTTTACCATGGAAATGTGTGTTTTTCTATACTCTTTCAGATGGCTTTCAAAAACCCACAATAATATTGCATATTCAAATGTTACGGTCTAAAAACCACCTTTCCCATAATAAAATCGAATTTTTCAAAAATTTCCCTGGAATTTTTTTGGCTATTCTTTGAATGCAAAACGGCAGATACTGGCACATAATATCCGTCAGTATCAGAATTGAAGCGTAAACTACATTATTTAGCCATTTATCGAATTTTGAAAGATGGGCGGTACAAACTTTTGACCTAACCTCTTTTTGCCCTCTCTTTAAGAATCGATTTTTAAATCCAAATACAGTTTCAAATTGCATAGGGATTTCGGCATTATAAAATAAAGCCTTAGAAGATATAATTCCCAAAACAATAGAATTTTGGAGCCTTTCTCCGAGATTCTGGGGCAAATTTTAGAAGGCGAGGCAAGCTCGGTACAAACTTTTGACCGCTACTGTATACGCTGCACGTGCTCGTTTTATACGCATTTTATTGCTGATCGATAATTTATTAATCAAGTTTTTCAAAAAGAGGTAGCCAATATAAAAAGTGTTTGTTTTGAGGAGTTTGGAATTTTGTTAAAGTAACCCTGGAAAAGCACGGAAATTATGAAAAAAGCATGGATAGGGAAGATTAGGGAAATGAAAAAAGCGGGTTTTTGAATGGATAAAATCTGGCAATTCCTAACAAATTCTCGGTATTTTTGGAAAATTAAAAACCCACTTTTTGACAGTTTTAAGCGATAGCATCTAAAAATTCCGATTGAAAGAACCGTTTGTGAGGCCATTTGTTTGAAGAGATGGGATGAATCCGGCGGTCGCCCAGGCTGAGGCCATGGCAAAAATGGCGAAGGATGGTGGAGCCGTGCACCGTGATCGATCACTCTACCGTATCGCCCCGTACGCCATCCCCATTCGGCCACAGTACGTTTTCACACACACCAAGACACAACTGTTACGGGGCTTTTCCCTTTTGCACATGAAAAAATATTTGAACAACTGCTTGTTTCTAAAAATTTGGTTTGGCGAAAAAATTTAGCTTTATTGAGGTGGGCTGGAGATGTAGTTGCACCTTATTCACTGCAAAAAATAAACTTTTGAAAAACAACAAGTTGTTCAGAACTTGGTGACTTCCGTCGCATACTTAAGGAAATCGAAGTCTTTTAAACCATTTTTGAATGATTTTAAGGTATCCGATTCTTACCAGCTCACGTCAATATAATAATGTGCATTATTTCTGAAGTGAACGAACCCCTGCCACCGCCACCTCCCAAAAGCATGCTTCCCATATTTTTCGTTTGCCAAACCATATTTTGCGTGTTCCATTCGTGCCGTGACCTCCTTGCCCCCTTCCCCAACCATAGCTGATACCTAACCAGCACCTATCTACCCCCTCAAAAGCTGTCAATCCCCCCTCCTTCTACCGTAGTCAACTAGTGACGGGGGCTCAGTGGGAAATCGTCAAATTGGAATTATTTGATTCATTTCAGGATGCCCCAGATGTACCAGATGTACCCCCAGGCCCTGCTCAACCCGGCCGCGTTGAGCGCTGCCAGCCTACAGCAAGCCGCCTTCGCGCAACAGGCTGGACTCGTTGACTACGCTGCCTTGGCGGCCGCCATGACCCAACAGCAGACAGGGCTTGGAGTTGGGCAAGCAGGTTGGAATCTACAAGAATATGGTAGATCTATATCTTAATAAAGATATGTAAAGCAACCGCGCTCTGGATCGGTTGCGATTAAAATGTATAAACAGTTCCAGCAGGAAAAGGATTTTTCGAAAATTTTGAAATTTGTATCAGAAATTGGACATTTATGGTTGAAAACATCTATATTTTTTGTACTTTTAAATTTTTGAGGTTTCACGCCCTTATATTACAAGGCGGTTCTGAAGCACTTTCTCTATTTCTATTCAAAAAATTGGAACCAAGGAAGTAGTTGGTTTCTGCCCCTCCCCCCGATAATGCGAAAGCTCCGGTAAAATTAGGACCCTTAATCATATTATACTTTAATTGTATTATACCAAGTCCGACATAAATTGGTCTATATTAAAACGCCGTTAAATAATCAATATTATTAATCTAGAAGCGTTTGCAGCCGCCACCTCAACAACCGGATTGGAGCAATATGGATACCCGTATAATATGCTACAAAGCGGGTTCCCCCTCGGCCAGACACAGCTCTCCAAGGAACACTAAACAACACAACAGCTTTCCACCAAAATTGATCTTGTCAACCACACCAATAAACAAGCCAAAGCCTCCATTTTCACGACTCCCAATTCTCCCTCTACTTTCCGTTGAACTCCTCTGAACACCTCTGTCCACCCCTGCATTTCCAGTGCTAGTAAAAAAGGGATTGTCATTTTCTTTCGTGGGTTTTCTGGTCCGTTAGTCCCTTATATTCCATGTATACCACCCTGAATTTGATTTGCAGTTGAATCGCCTAGTTCTTCCCCCCCCATTTTCCCCCCAATATATTCGCCCGCCTTTGCCCCACCTTACCAGTGCCATTTAGAAATGGAAAGATTCTTCGGTCTTTTATGCCCCTATGCGCCTTCATTTCTTTTTACCCTTCACCCCCTTATTTTTGATGTAGTGGCCCCTCCCCTTTGCTGTCCTGATAGTCTTGCTAATTTTTTTTGCTATAAAACAACGATTCTCTTCCGCCCTCCCCCGCACTACCGTACCCTTTTATCTCTTCACGTACCCTCCGAATTATTTTCGCACGAAGTGTAAATAAGCGTCCGAAGCGGTGAATTAAATGAATAAATCTTAATTTATGATAACATATTGGTTTTGGATCAAAAAGCAATAAAAAAGCCAGGTACGCATATAAAAATAATTAAATTTCGTGGGTAAAGAATCAAAAATACTTGCATCATTATTCATAAATATTACATACCTTCTAATACCGTAATGAATTTTCATCGAGACCAATTCATTTGTCCCACCTGAAATGTAATGTCTATGAAAACCTCCATTTTAACCCTTTTCGAAAAACTATAAATGCAAGGAAAGGCACCTACTCTAAAAACTACATCCTAATTTTACAGTGGAACGTACTAGGTAAATTACAGTTCAAAGTTCAAAGGTCTCGTAGCGGAAATCAACCGGTTTTAATCGACCCAAATCGACGCCCTTGATAACCGCGGGTAGACACCCCACACCAAGTATCGCTAAGCAAATGCTACAAACCTGGGTAAGAAGCAGAAGACAAATTGACAGCCGATGGTTGACACCTTGGGTGGTCCTTTGTCGGACAGGTTCTTCCGTAGACACACATTCGTAAAAACCACTAGCACTGACAATCACAAAAACTAGCGCTACCACACCACCCCCAGTCCTCCAGCAGTTAGGGTTCTTGGCAAACATTTTGGGGAGCAAGTTGCCCGTAAGAAGCTGATTTTTTGGGGAGGGTATTGTTGGGGGGACAGTTTGACTGGAAATGGTGCCAGCCGCTGGGAGACAAGTTTCGCACATATGATACTTTGTCAAATAAGGCGATGGAGAGATCAATCTGAATAAACGATCATAATTGGGTAGACAATGAAGAGCAATCGTAGTTTAGAAATACAGACGTGGAACGCATGTAAGATGCTGAATTTTTCGAGAAGGTATGGTAGCACCATTCCGCTAATCCAATAAAATATCTTCGGTTCAAGGTTATAAAGTTCTAACATGCAAAATAGGGTTATATAGTTTGTCGAATGTCTTGTTCTGCCTTTTTGTTTTCGATCTTCTTCAAGGAAAGACATTCAGAAAAAAGAACTGTGTTACATTATTAAACATGCGATTATTCATCGAGTAAGCTAGGCCTCGGAAGTTGCCGATAGCAGCTGATTTAAGCAATTTTTCTCCAATTTTGTAACATTGTAAAGCTGTGTTTTTCTCTATTTTCCGGATCCTCTATTTGATAAAAATCCATACTATCTTTCAATGACAGTCTTGCAAGGGAAAAATGCCAGACTTTTTATGAAGGCACCCCACCAGGTTCATCAAGGTTGCCGCCTGATGCGTAGGTGGATGTTTCAGAACCAGCTGGTCATCTCCAAACCCCGCTACCCATCATCGTCTAGACCACCCATCCCTCGAATCAAGTGCTTATCAAGCAATCGGCACCCTCTAAACGGCCTACGTGGTTGCAAACACCCAGATGACCATCACCGCAGCCAAGTGGGTGGCCTACTGATGACGGAAGTGATATCCAATCAAACGGGAGGGGAAGGGCCAATTGCTTGGACCCCCCTCCCTCCCCCTTCTCCACCCCATCGCCCATCGGCCGCATATAAAACGTGGCAGCACCCCCGCGCCGCGGTCTACCACGGCTTCAACGCGCTCGTTTGCCCAATGTTGCGCCTTGGCCACACCCATTCACCTCATCCATTCCCCTTTCCCCTCCCTTATGCGCCACCAGTTGGCCCACCGGTTGGGCCCACCATTTTCACCGCCTTCGCGCCATTCATTCCCCCCGTATCACATTGGCAACCGCGAAGCTTTGGCCCCAACCTTCGAAGGTCTTTGTGATGTTGCTGGGACTTGGCTTCAACTATTTTATTTAGATCTATTAAGCTGATATGGTAGCTTAACTTCTACGACCTCTTCCTTAATTCACAAATTAATTTCTACGGAAGGCTCACCTCTCCGTCTTCCAATTTTTCTAATGATTTTTTACTTTTGTGCGCGAGTTTTGATTTCATGCGAACCAAAGATTCATAATTCATAAATGAATATTGGCGCCATCTAGAATACTCGACCATTCTGGGTCCCATCAAATCCGAAATCTAAAACTGGCACTAACCCCCTATTTTCTATACCTTTAAAATGCTCTATCCATTGCAAAATTAATCGGCTAGATCGGCCTAACAACATTTTTGAACCATGTTTTAGCGAACGAATATGCCGAGACTCCGGCTCTGCTTCCTACTTTTTGCGACAGCACTCGCCGTAAGCAATTATTAACCCAATCACGAAAATGCGCTTCTTTTTTTAGCAAGAGATGCCCCTTTACCTTCGGGCATCTTACCCTGGCATCCCGGTAGTAGGACGATTGAGCTGTATGCCGACCTGCATGCCTTCATGTTTGCCAGCATGCATGCGGGCGCAGGTTTTGATTAGTACAATTAAAAACCTCTAAAATGTTTAGGAAGTCGTGGCTGCAGTTCCAGTAGCTGCCCAGATCCCTGCTCCTGCTCCAGCTCCTGCTCCAGTGGCTGCGCCTGTAGCCGCAGCCCCTGCCCCAGCCCCAGTTCAACCCTTCTTACCACCATCTGCAGTTCCCCTCTCGCCCGTTGCGGCACAGGTAATGCATCAACTTTTTGGCCCTCGCTGTATTGCAACCCTTACTCATGCTTGTGCTCAGGTTCCCTACGAATACCAGTATCATCTGCCTGGACAATACTATGTCCCTGTCGCCCCAGCACCTGCACCACCCGCACAACTTGTCTACGCGGCATGTCCAGCACTCTGCCAGCCGGCCTGCCTGCCGGCATGCACCGAACCCGCCACCGTTCCCCCTCCTGCACCTACTCTCCCTCCACCAACTATCCCGCCACAAGAACCTACCCTTCCTCCATCAACCCCAGAACCTTATACATCCACTAGCCCATACCCCGTTACAGTAACTGTTCCACCAGAGACCCCATCCCCACCACAGTGTATCCCCGCTTGCATGCCTGCCTGTACCCCACAATGCATTGAAGTCACCACCCCAGCCCCTATCCAGTGTATCCCAGCTTGCATGCCCATGTGCACGCCACAGTGCACTGAACCCACCACCATGCCCACTACACTCCCGCCACCACCCGAAACTACGGCCTATCCGATGACCCAACCCCCACCTCAATGTGTCCCATCCTGCATGCCGACATGTGAGCCTCAATGTATCGAGGTGACCACGGAGATGCCGACACCACCACCGGAGACCCTTCCCCCAGCCCCACCAGTTCCAACCATGTCCCCAAGCACCATCCCTCCTCAAAACCCGCCCCAATGCGCTCCTACTTGTATGCCAGCGTGTGCCCCAACCTGTACCACCATGGATTCTATCCCATCAAATGCCATCATCATCCGTGTCACATGTGCTTCTCTTCCCTGCCCATGTCCCACTGGCTTCGCCCGATGTGCCACCAATCGGTGCTGTAACAAGAAGAAGCTCAGGTTGCATTAATGCGCCTACACCATCGACCCCCTTAATTTATCGGCCATTCAACTTCAGTTGAACCTAAAACTTGCTTCCCTCCTCGACTTCGCTACAATCCATTTTGAATGTGATCCCATTTCCCCTATTTTTTTTGCTCCCCCTCTCACGAATCTGCTGCCTCTATGGGTCTTTCATTAATGTAGATATTTTTATTATGCGATAAACAATGTTTGCGACGAGAAACGAAAAACGATAAGGCATTCGGGGACAACATTTAGCACACACAATGAGTCAAGGCAGCTGCGGCGGAAGGCGAACGTAAGAACTTGTGGAGCAATGGGTGGAAGACGAGACACACATTGGGGCAATCGGAACTTCATGACACCTTTTAAGCGGGCGGGCCGGGGGCAGGTTAACTTTGGAAGAACCCGAATCACAATGGCTTAGACAAGATTCGTATAAAAAGAAATTGGAGCAGCGGTATTGCAAAATAAAAGTAGGAAGGGGTATTGCTGAAAGTTCAGGGTATTTTCGGCGATTTGTTTAGTTGGTCTGGACGGTGTTCTTTGCTGATGGGCTCATTGAACGTTTCCTAAATACTTCTTATTAATTTGCGTTTACTATGATACCTCTGGTCCTCGCTGTCACGGTCTTTCAACGACTCGGAGATGCGCTTCTTCAGCTCCGTGGGGAACTTGTCATAGCAGCGCTTGCACGCGGGCTTCATGTCAAACTCGTAGAACTTGGACCTGAAGGAGAGCAGTTAGAATGCTTGAGGATTTCATACTTTTGGTCCATTTTCTTGTCGCAGAAGGAGCAGGAGAAGCACTTGATGCACCAGCATTTGTGGAGAGCCTGGAAGAAGTGTTAATTTTGGCATCAGATGCACTTAGGCTACTCTCTCGATAACGTCACCGCTGCGCTACCCTTTTTTGTCACCTCACATCCGGTTTGATTGGATGGCTAAGCATTGGCTAGGCCTTCCCCCCGAGAAACGGTCATCAACCCTGGCAGATTGCCGTCGTGGGGCCCACCCTTTTTGCCGGTATCGCCCGCCAAGGAGCCGAGAGAGAGAGAGAGAGAATACTGTTGCGAAAGCAAGGCGAAAGGAAGCAAAGGGTCTCCGAAAACCAGCCCCTTCACACCCCTTCCATGCTTCATTGTATTCGGTTTTCAGGAATGCGTCCCGCTTTTTCGTTGTTGCGCCCGCTGGGGTCAACATTGGCTCCTTTATGAAGTGTGCGTGTGCAAGCCAGCCCCTTGAAAACCCGGCTGACTAACTAGAAACAAGTTTTTCTTGCGTTCAAACTACCCCAAACAATTGACAGCCCCCCCCGGAAAACAGTGTATTTGGGGAAAAATTTGCTATTCAGTAGTTTGATTGCCTTTTTCTAATCCAGTTTCGTCACAATACCAACATTGACCACGGAGGCCCCTATGAATAGACCTCGGCGACTTTCCCCCGTCCATTCGCTGCGATAAAAACACGAACCTGGAACACCTCGCCGCCGCACGCCTGGCCGCACTTGAAGCAAATATTGCCAAAGTTCTAAAAAATCAGTTGGCTAGAGTCTAGGTTAAGTTTGCGCATACCCTCTGGTAGTGGGCTTCGCAGTACGCCATTCCCTTTCGCTCATAATGACGATGGCCAAGGAAGGGCTTCTCGCAGACCGAGCAGACGAAGTGCTAAAACGGGGGCTTAACTTGGAACTTTGACAATTTCAATTTGATTGTTCATTTTCTTATTAGAGCCTATTCATCAAGCCAATAAGATGCTGATGTCATTAGTATCCGTTCGCATCTATCTCTCACCTCAACGTGCCAATGTTTGCCGAGGGCGGTGACCACACGTTCTTCGACGGGCCGATGGCAGGCTCCGCAGATCGGGATTCCCATCGTGTCATGGCAGCGCAGGCAGTACAGCTCACCGCCAACTTCACGAGATTCCGTCGTCAGTTCGGTGCTGGAAAATGGCATGTAGAAGCGGCAAAAGTAAGGCATAGGTTTATCCCATTAAAAATAGTGTCAGCTCGAGCGGATATTTGCACGTGCGCTTTCGTAATGTTGTTCGGCAACTAGAGCCTTTTTGGGTAGCCTTTCTAGTCACAGAAAAAGCGCGATTAGTGTAAAATGGGATGTTTCTGGCTGCCAACGTATCAATGACGTTATAAAATTACGATCTCCGCCAATAAAATGAGATTTTTGTCAAAAATTATCTACGTGGCTTATCTACGTTTATGACGGGGAATCAAGAATCTTTTTGCGTCTTTCTATGTAGGATTCGGGAAGAATCATGCAAATGAAGAAGTTTATGGGCCCTAGATTTGGGAAAAGGCTCAGTAGCGATTTTCAAACGGATCTTATGACAAAAAAAATACAAAACTCACTTGCAACGCTTGCAGTTGAAGTGGTAGGGATGATAGGAGTCACCACGGAATTTGATGTGCTGACCGTCTTCAATCATCGCTTGACATCTAAATATTTTCTATTAATACCGTTTTTTATTTAACTTACTTGTGACAGACGTATCTGCCGACGCCGGCCACCTTCTCACTCTCGTTGCATTCACGGCAAAGGGCTCTAAAATACCAATTATAATCTGAGAATTAATAGCGAGCCTTCCAGCGTTCCGCAAGAATCCAATGTCGGCGAGCACCTTGCTGCACAGCTCGCACCGGAAGCAATCGGGATGCCAGGAAGCGTTCATCGCCTTGATCACGCGGCCAATGATGAACTCGTCTGTAACAATAATAAGTAATGATTTGAATATAGGGCTCCGTTAAGAAACTAATATTATGTGACTATCAAGTAGGAAATAATATAATTATAATAAAAATACTTACTGCACTTTCCGCAGCACGGGGCGTAGAGGACGTGGAAGTCGTGCTCGCAGTATTTTCGGCCCTCGAACTCGAAGTACAAGCCGTCGGGGAATGGCTGGAAGCATTGGGCGCAGCTGAAAAAAGAGTATATTTTGTAAGGATGCTTTCGAAACGGCTTCATTTTTCTAACATTAAAAATAAAAGTTTGAAAAATTGAGTATAACCTACACAAAGCAGTCGCTGTGCCAGACTTGGCCCGATGAATTGACGAGCTGCTCATTGACGCCAAAACCTTCTTGGCACCTAAATAATTGAGGTTTTCGTAATTAAAGACCCTATTAATTAAAACATGGTAACTTACCTAACGCATGACAAGTTCTCAAAGCCATGAGCCAATTCCCCATTGATCATCGCACTATCCCGGTCCCGGTCCATCGTGCCCGGCGACATGACAATGCTGCAAAAAAAAGTTTTTTGGAGTCCTTAGGACTTTTTGGAGGCTTTTTGGAAGCTTTCCAACATAAATCAATAGCTACAAGTGGGAGGAAGCGCCGAATTGGGAGGATTGGGGGAATGCGAAATGCGTCGTCTACAAAATGCATGAGTCAACTTAGCGGAAGGGAGAGGACGATGAGTGGGTGTTGGATCTTGAATAGATCTTTTTCGGTAATTATTATTAGCAAACAACAGCATCAAATTTTTAGACTTAAAGTTATTTACGGCATGATATCGAGCAATTTTCAAAGAATCGAAAACTATTCGAAATTTTTGCTGGATATTGCATAGTTTATCAATAATGGTCGATAAATGTCTATATTTGTTGGGTGGTAATTAAATGTTACCACAACTGAATTCATCTTAAAATATTTACAAACGTCGCTTATTTTAAAAAATAAGAAGAAATAGCCTGAACTGTTATAATTTCAATAGAAGCTAGACAGGGCAATGGCGGGTTATATAAACACGAATTTAAATTAATTTCCCAAACGAGATAATTGACTAAATTTGCAAATACTTACGGCCTAACAGCAAGCATCCCAATGAATAGGAAGAAATCTTTAGAAACTACTCAACCTTAAAACTCTCTCCTTATATCCTAACTACCCTTTTCGAAAACAGCACAAACTCCGTGTAGTTGTTGTATTATGGAGGTTGTGAAAAGTGTGGCCCAGGGGAGGATGAGCTGGAAGGGGAGCAAAAGCATAGGGGCCCCCGGTCATCATTACAACAACGGATGGGAGGATAGAAAGAGAGGATGTGAAGCCTAAAGGGAGGGAGACCCACTGGGAGCTCGTATACAGCCCGGTTTGCTACCCTCTAGGCCATCCCGGGCAGTCAATGTCCATTTGATTGCCCTTCTACTCCCTACTTGGGGCACATCACCAAATTTGGAAATCGCGTGAAGCTGGGGGATTTGTATTCTGGCCAGGGTAGGGTTGGTGTGTTGGCTAGATTTAATGACTTGAGAGCAGATATATTTTTATCGGTTTTGGAAGGCCTAGAATTTTGAATAAAGCCTATCGCACCTACCTAGCTGCCCATTTCTTCGTAAAATTTTTAAATTTATCTGAAAACCGGGATAAAGCATTTTAGAATCACGGATATCAATTATAGATGCTATGCTTATGAAAAAATATGGGATAATATGCAAATTAGAATCCAAAGCATAAAAACATGACAGTTTTATCGGATAAAATCTGCATCGATTTGCACTACAGCCGAATTGGCCTGCAATGCCGATTTGGGACCTATATGCATAACACCTCTAATCTATAAAAGAGGTTTTGTATTAACTTCTAAAGTTAACGGATAGGCCGAACTTCATATTTGGAAGATCAGAAGGTATCAAACCCGAATCTTCATTAAAAACAAAAATACAGCCGTCTGGTTGGTAGTCATTGGATCTGCTACCTCTCCTCTACCTCCTCAAACAACATCGTATAAAATATTCAAATGCGTGCCGAGATTCGTGGCGAAAAGGGGAAAGGCGCGAGCCCTAAAGGGGATTACAAGGGGGGCGCCGGCCAGGTCAACCAAACAAAGCAAGCCTTCCCTCTCCTCCGTACCCAAACCCTTTACCTATCTCAGAACCAACCACAACCACCAACATTCCTAATTCGAGAGTAGCTGCTGGTAATGAATGGTTAGTGTTATTGGATAATGTAGTCGAAAGCGGATCGAAAATAAAACATGTGAGAGTGCGCTGAAGCGAAATTCCGTTTAAAAATGCAAATTAAATATTAAAATCTACATGAAGAACCGTGCTAAGAGCTGGTATCTACGGGATTAGTGCCAGAAAGCTAAATAATTATGATTCCTGGGTAAGAGTTATTCTAATTTCTTCAAGACGCGACAGAAATCTGGCAGCAGCAAACTACAGTGAATATTCAGATTTCTTGGCTTATAAGCGATGCCTTAAAGATACAACGTGCTGAAATAAACGAAGCATCAAAAATTCCGGAAAAAGGAAAGGGACGGGGATGTGAGGGGAGGGTGGAGGGGAGTCAAAGGTGTTACACTCTTTGCGGGGGCCACAGCCAGACAGCCCTGACACGAGGAGGAGCAGCAGCTCGCACTGAGGAGGCCCAGTTCTGCGGGTGGTCCTTTTTCGAAGGTTTTAGCAAAGAGAAACCAATAAATAATGGGCTTTACAGGGGCCACGACATCGTGCAAGCAGCGACGCGTTAAACGACAAACTTCGCATTTCCTGAAAATGGGAAATTTGGGTCGGGATGGGGAAGTGGCTCTAACAATTGTTTGAAATATCTAGAAAAGTTGCGTCTTACAAAACGCAGGGCTTCATTTATTACTTGTCAATATTATGCAAGTGAAACGCTGTAAAATCCTACCTTATATAATTTGGTCGCGTATCTTTGTGGGTGTGTGTGTCCGGCGCCAGGGAGGGCTACTTTGCATAATTCCAAAAAATACAAATTTCCTCATTGTTGCAAGTTGCACGCGCGGGTGTGGTCGGAGGAAGGGAGGGGGTCCGAAGGACCCAAGCTATCGGAAAGTCAAATTTCTCATGCAAAGGCCGCATTCCAGCGCCCAAGGCCCGCGAAGCGGGTTTTGGGCGCTGGTTATATATAAACTTATAGAAAACGGCTCGTGGCGCCTAAGCGACAATATACAAATTAGGGATGATTTAAAACATCATAACAACCATCCTAAGTAATTTTACAACAATTTTTGGGCCCCATATCTCCCCAAAAAATCGTTTAGCATAGCAAAATACATCATCATCGTCGTCGGTTGGCAAACAGCCAGAGAGTACGCGACGCGCCCGCCCTGGCCATATTCCCCTCTCGCCCTTTGGGGGGAGGATAGAAAAGATCCACATCCCCCCCACTATGCACCCACCACAACCTACCCACATCCATCCCACGCAACCAACCAACCAAGGAAACCCCCCAACCCAACCACTTCAACAAATGCCCCTAGGGCATGATGGGAATATCCAAATTTGGACTTCCCAGGGCAGACTAACTTCCCGGTCATGAAAAACCCGGAGAGGCCAACAACAAAGGTACAACAAGACGGAACTATTAAGCTAGAATTACAGAGGACAGAGAAAGGGGTTGTTTAAGGATTTTCGGAGAATAAACTAACTATGGGTGTATATTCACAAGGGACAATACGCGGAAACTGACCTGCCTACTACCGATTTAATAAAGTGGAGGCACCTCGTGACAAGATTAAAAGCCACAGAGGAACCACTAGCGCGGGTAGAGATTCAAAACTTTGTTAGGTAAATAAAATTGTTAAGAAAAGTCCGATAAATCCGAAAATGTTCGTCAGGTATTAAATTTTAATTGTGCTTAATGATTAAAGTAAAATCCGCAAGTTACCAGCTCCTGGTATTTCACGACGCGACAACTCCAAAACGATGATTTTCTTCTTGCCATCCCGAATTTCGAGGTTATTTCTTCAGATCCAGCACCATAGTTCAAATTTTGTGCGATTCCCATCGAAACCCATAGCATAATTATCTAGACCGTATCCCGATCCTTCAACCCTTATGTTTTCCCACCCACCAACCCAAAACCCGACTATGTTGTCCGCGCTGAACCAAATTACGGTTCCCCCCACCACCCTATTTTCCATATTTCCGGTGTCCTCTAGAATAGCGTTTCCGGGATGACCTAATGAAGCGGGGTGGGCGCTCCCAGTTAATATCTCTCCCTCTGCCAACGGCGCTTCATGATGAGATCCGTTTATTGTCTCAATACCCTGGAATCCACCCCAACAACAATACACCACGCCGATCGTACTTCGAACAAAACCCCACAATTAATCCGTTTCCTTTCAGAACGCCCTCGTTTCCATCCCTATCCCTATCCTGTTCTTCCCATTTTCAGATGTTATTTACATCCCAGAAATGGGAGGAACCGCTGATTGAATAATTGAGCGCTCTTCATCGCGGATGGCGAGAAATCTGGGTTGTCTAGAATTTCTATACCTTGGCCGTAAGACGTGCCGGATCCTGCAAATTATTTCAACGGCCTACAAATCCGCCAAACCGCCACCGGGTTTTTTCTTGTGCATGGTGCGGTCAATTTCGCATCGAAATTGGTAAATTGCGTGTGAACCTGGGTTTTTGCGGGGTTGCTGGAACCCCCCCCCCCACGCTTTTCAGATGGTTCCCCGGTTCTGCCGTATGTCTAGGAATCTTTTTATTAATTTAATTGATATTCTCAAGAACAAAAATTGATGATCAATGAGAGACCAAAATTGTAGAAGTTAAAAAACCTATCAATACTATTTTATATATAACAGATAAATAGGGTTTTGTATACGAGTTAGAGCAGCTGCATGCCAATTCCGGGAGGTATTTGGCTATGATAACATTTAACGGTATGTTCTACACATCATTAGATGCGTAACGGACTTGTGATCAGTGCGTATCCGCACGATTGTTTAGAGGCTGTTTTCATTATTAAAATTAATTTTTTAGGAAAAACCTTTACTTTAGGGAATAATTAGCATAGTCAAGAAGTCTGTCTTTTCTCAGCGTAATTATTTTTTAATATATTTATTACGTTTTTAGTCATAATTTTTTAGCCCCCATTTGGTCACATGGCCGCCTGGACGAATTCCGACAAAATTGGCTCCGATTCTGTGAAGCCACCGCTCCTCGCCGCCTAAAAATAGAGCACATGACGGAATTTCTCGGGGCGGTCAATCGGCAGACCAGGCGCTGCATTCTAAACAGATTAACGGCCATGTGTTTTAGAATAGAATTGAGGAGCAGCGTTGGATAGATGATCATTATTAGGCAGATGCGGCTGGCGCTGCAGCCAACCCTGAATTTCAAGTGTAGGAATGTTAATTCCAGGTTTACTTCCAAAAATTCGCGATTTTCAATTCTAGTTACCCTGTAACACTCGAAAAACAAATCCAAACTTATCTCCCGCGTACTCCTGGCCTCGTAAATTACTTCCTATCCCCCCGTAATTCGTCACGTATTTCTCAGAACTATGGGTATCTAATGCTTCCCCCCCCCGCCAAAGAACTCACCACTCCCACGAACGATGCATGTAACAACAAAAGGATAGGACTATCGTTGCATTGTTATCAATCGAGAAGTTGGGGGAGACCTTACAACCTAAGCCTACCTTTTCCCCTTCCACCCCCTCGTGCTCCTTTTTTAAAAACGTCAAAATCGCACATTGGAAAGTGGCGTGTATGTGGGGAGGAACGAGAGCGAATTCCACGATCCGCCCTCCCCCTCCGAATACACATCCTTGGCTGCGCCAATTGGGAAAACCGCCTTTTTTCCGGGGGTTGGTTGGCCATTCCCTAGGTGCACACGCGGTCGTCCAGGGCGAATTTCAGGCGTATTTTTGTGAGTTTGTGTCTGTCGGTCTGTCTGTTAGTATACGTGTATGTGTGTCTGTGTTGTTTTTTGGGGGTGACCCCCTCTTTTGAAAGGCTGATCCTCACAACAGGTCGTTCTCTACCTTAACCCACCCTCACTTTGGACGATTGATCTGTTTTCTTGGAACGTCTCGTGTCGGTGGGGGATTTGTTTTGGCAAAGAAGTTGAGGTTTTTTGGGGTAGTTTTGGATTGATTTAAGCCTTAGGAATAAATTTCTGTGTTTTTAGATTTTAGCGCCCTTTTTCGGATATTTCAGGCACGTAAGATTAAATGGCTAACAATTGCTATATCTTCCCCTTCCTTCCAAGTTCCTTTAATTTCATCCCAGCACCCCGTGCTACTTTGGACCCGGCAGTACTTTTTCCAAAGATTCAACCAATTCTTCCGGATCCTAAAAGACTTCTTCCTCCATACTGAGAGCCGCCCCAAACATGTGCACCCAATTTGCAAATAAGATCCTCCTTCACCCCACTTGTCTCGGGGGCCACCGCTGCTTTTTTATCCTTCCAGCCTTCAAAAACGACCCCGGCCCCCACCCCGAAGGCTTTCGCCTGAATGGCTTTGGCAATTACAAAGGAATGTTTGATTTTTGGATGCATTTTTGTTGTTTCTAGGACGATCAGATTTTTAGGTCCGAACCGTCTAACGAAAATTCCCTAAAATCTCTCAATTCCAGTATATTTTTGGCACACGGGGTGAAAACCAAGCGTATCGGCTAGTCACACAGATCGCCACTTTGTATTCAAGATCCTTCGAATTCTAAACACCCGACACCTTCCCCCAACATATTTCATTAAATACCACCTGTACCCACCATCCATCCATATTCGTGGTACAGCTTCTCTTGCTTCTTTAACATACCGCCCCTGCTACTCTCACAGCACTACAAAAACGTCCTGAGAATCTCCGAGCCGCCAAACGGCTCTTACCCGATGCACGCCACTTGCCCCACCATCCCTTCCTTTTCTACGTCCAGAAATACCCTTTTTCACCTCACTCAACCCCCATTTTTAGAACTCGACCCTCGTCTCCATTTCCGTTTCAACTTATTCCCCTCCTTTGGTCAACGACCATAAATCCTTCCTTTCCGACACGCAATTCCTAAACCCAGTCCTAACTCCTTTTTCCAGAAATGCGGAAGGTCAGCCATTCGCAAATGCGAAAGGTCAGCCAGACACAGTTTATGCGACGAGCCCTGTCTGATCCGGTGCTGATCAAGCCGTCCCACGAGAATTTTCTGGTCGAGTGGAACGCGATTGAGCAAGGTCAGTCCGTCTCTTATTGCTAAAATCTAATTTTTCCGTTTAGCCCCTTCCATCTATGACAAAGATGCGGATCCACTCTACGGGATCCTCATTCGTATTGCCGAGCTCGACCTCTCTGGAGTACCACGTCACTCTTCGGCCGAAGAGCGCTACAAAATTGGGCAAAAAGTCGAAAGGCAGCAGCGGAGACGCCACTCCATTATGTTGGCAAATTTACGGGATGCTGGCTATACGGCAGGTACGGACTTTTCTTGGGACAAATCGGTGAAAGTTGGAGGGAACGGAGATTGACAGCTAGATTGCTGGAAGCGGAGTGGGTAAATTTTGTGTTTTAGAAGGGCTGAAAGAAAGCAGTTCGGCGCCGGATATTCTTCAACTATGCTTTTCTTCCCATATGGACAGGAAGAGGGTGTCATTTGGTATTGAGGCAATTTTACCGCCATCGTATCATAGTGGATTAGCGGTAAGGAAATTGAATATTCCCTTCAATAATACATTTTAGAGCCCATCCTCACCTAATGCTCGACCAATTTTGTTGAAAAAGTGTATCGACCAGATTGATACGACACTTCCCTTGTCTCATATGGATTTTGATACCTTTGCGGCGTGGAGGAGAGGATCAAAAATGTCGATTGATTTACAAGTAATTTTTATATTACTTGTACCTATTAATTGTATTACTGTAACTACTCTATAAATCTTCATTTTTCAGGCCAAAAAACGGAAGGAATCAAAATCAAGCATTCCCGAACGACCCGAACCCCACCATCCCCTCGCGTTCGTAAAATCAGCCCTAATCTCCTGCTTTCAAAGAAGATCCTATTGCCGTACTCGACCCGACCAATCCTTCTAAAAAACCCTCAAATTGACCTGTTTTTTTTGTGTGTACAATGTTGGCCGCGTGTTCATTTCCGGGTGCTGTATTATTTGCCATATCGCTCGCTCTCCCACTTTTTCCCCAACTTTCCGATCGTGTACGGTTCACAACACATCTCGATTTATTGTTCCCGTCCGAAAAATACATGTCTCGCTGTCGATCAGGACCGGTTTTTTAGCCAAAGAAAAAGGCGCATTTCGAGATCTTCTTAACGTATTTATTTGTACAACTGGTAATATATAGATAATTTAATATAGCTTTAATGCACATAGCCAAAGGTCTCTCAAAATAACGAAGCTGTCAAAATTTAATTGGTGACTTTTCAAGACAGGGACCCTTTTTCTCCTTTCCCGTTTCGATTCATTTTGACGATGACGAATTCACCGGTCAGGTGTTCCTATCGTCGAATAAATATTTTTACATTTCGACGGTAGCAACGGGGGCAATTGAATGCAAAAAATGGAACACACGGTCACTTGTACACTGTTTGAATGCCGACCATTGTGGTCAGTTTTTAACTTAATTCTTTTTAATCATGTGGTAATCGGAAAGCTGCCCACGCAACGTCTGCTCCAAAAAATGACGGGTAGTACCAAGAGTTTCAATTGGTAAAAAGCTTGGGAATGGTCACACGTTATTAGGAAATTACTTGCAATTGACGGAAAGAGTTGGATGTTGAAAAACGGGAAATGAGGTATTTTAGTGAATTAATGCAAAGGGTTTAATCGATTTAAATGAACAAATAAAAAAAAGCAATTAGTGGCTTAGATAGCCTAGATAACACATTAATGATAGACCCAGCTATCCATTCAGGAAGCCTATTGCTATGCATCCGGAGCTGCCGCCATGTTACTCCTCATGATGATCGTGTTTGATTTCGTATTTATTGTCAGCAGGTAGTCTTCATTTACAGCCTTCATATTTATTTTTCTTTAGTGACATGCCCAATCTTCCAATTGCTTGCAACGTCCTCAGCTGGATCGTCATTTTTACAAACCTATTATCCGTTGGCTTTAGAACAGTTAACGTTTATTAGCAAATTCTCGGCCCGAGGGCCGGATAATGCGGCAGTAAAACAATCTCGAAAGAATACATGAAATGACACGCAGGTCATTTAAATGAGGGGCTTTACAACATATTCAGGAAGAAATTGTGAGAATCTATTGATCACAAATGGATGGGAGATTCGGGAGGGGGCACGAAAAATTTACATTTTAAAAGATAACTAGCAAATGGATATCGCTTCTTTATGCTTGATATTGGCGGTGGGCGGTGATGTGCTCGACGTAGGCATCTCTTGACCACTTCAGCGCGTCGGCGACCATCAACTTCTTCATCAGCGCGGCGTACTTGACGGAGATGGCGAGCCGGCGCAGCACGTTGTCGTTCTCTTGGTCCCATCCGCCGAGTGGCCCAACGATGAAGGCGTCCAGGAACGTGTCGTAGCCATCGGCGTTGAACTTGTTGAGGATGTCGGCGTACTTGCGGAGCTTCTCGGCACGTGCGGCAGCGAAGACGCCCAGGTCGTGGTTCTCGAACGGCATGGTCACGTCCACGATGGTCACGCGCTTCTTGACATGGTCGACGAGGGCGAGATCGGGACGTAGTTGACCATCGGTGCCGGGGATCTTGACATTGACGTACTTCGTGGTGGTCGCGGGCAGCTTGACGGCGTTGACGAGGCGGTCGAGGACGGCGTTGTGGCGCAGGGTGATGGCATGGGCGTGAGCAGGGCAATGACACAGGACGTGGGCGACACTCTCGAGTTGGTAGCCACATCTTCGGCAACGCTTGTCTTTTTGATCACGGGCACGGTTGCAGCCATTTAGTGGAACGACGTCGAGTCTTGCACGGTGAACGAAGCGCCAATCCGCAAAGCGGATATAGCGTCCATCACGCAGGAAGTAGTTGGAGACGGGCTGGTGGGCGGTGATGTTGTAGACCTTGCCCTGGCTCTTCTTGGCGGTGAGGTGAACGAGCTGAGCTTGATGGACGGCGCGCTTGAGCATCTTCTCACACGTCTTCTTGGTGACGGCACATCCGAGCACGAGCAGCTGGATCTTGTCGTTGGCCCACGTCCACTTCACATCGAGCTTGTCGGTCTTGACGAGGTGGCCGGTCGCTTGTCGCACTCTTGTCCACATGTTGCGGGTGTCGGCGTAGTACGTCTCGAAGGCACCGTCGAGCTTCTGGTTCAGGTAGTCGGCCACTTCGGAGTCGGTTGGCGCACGCTTGATCTTCTTCTGTACAGCTGTACGGAGCAGCTGAGCAGTCATTGGGCCGAGATCAGTCGACTCCAACAACTGGACAGCATGCACCAGCTGCATCACGTCGGCGAGGGGGTTGGATGTGAGGGGCCGGCATGGATAGCTGCCCCGAGAGAGGCATTCCGCGTGCTTCGGTAGCTCAATAGGGAGAGCATCGGACTCGAAAGCCGTAGGATGCGGGTTCGACCCCCGCCCGGAGCACTTGTTTTGCGGATTGGACCCGGAGCTAGTCCATGGCCATGGGACCCCAGAATTCCCAACTGGCGACCACGGAAGGATCCACCCGGGCTCTGACGGATGGTACACAGTGTCTGATGACTGTGGGACCAGTCATCCCTGGGGGGTGGATGGTTGGATGTGAGGGGCCGGCATGGATAGCTGCCCCGAGAGAGGCATTCCGCGTGCTTCGGTAGCTCAATAGGGAGAGCATCGGACTCGAAAGCCGTAGGATGCGGGTTCGACCCCCGCCCGGAGCACTTGTTTTGCGGATTGGACCCGGAGCTAGTCCATGGCCATGGGACCCCAGAATTCCCAACTAGGGTCTTGGTCTGGATGAGGCCGAGGCCTCCCATGTTGTGCGGCAGGTAGACGACTTCGGGGCTAGCTTGACTCGGGAGGCTCATCCACGACTTGGCGAACTTCTTCAACTTCTTGTCGAACGGGATGAGGTGCTTCTTCTTCTCGACGTGGCCATTCTTCAGATGGAAGGCGATGCAAGGCAGGATGAAGGTGTTGACGGCGTCCGCTTTCTGCCAGGGGGCGAGTAGAGAAGAGTGGATTTTGTCGAGGCACTGGTGCATCTTCGTGATGGTCTTGTCTGCAGAAGAGCCTTGGTAGTAGCCGGTGGGCACGCCGAGATGTTCGTAGTGGTCGTTGGAGTCGAGCGTCACCATCCTGGATCCTTGAACCTTGTACTCGATCGGCATGGTGGTGTGCTTGTTGGAGTTGATGACGAGGCTGGCACACTTTTTGCTGTTGAACACGAAACCGAGCCATGTAGAGACTTCGGACACGGTCTTGAGCACGGCATGAAGGTCATCGGGGTCCTTGGTCACGATGGCCAGGTCGTCAGCATAGGCGAGCACCGACACCATCCTGTCATTGATCACGAAGCCAGCATCCATGTTGATGACGGCACGGATGACGGGCTCGAGCGCAAGGTTGAACACGATCGGCGAGAGTGGACAGCCCTGCTTGACACCCGCTTGAATGTTGATGGCCGGAGTCAGACCAGTAGAGCTTCGGACGCATGTTGTGGCACCTTCGTAGAGACGACGAATTTCTTCGATCGCCTCCACGGAAAGGCCAGCGTATTCGAGGCATCGGAAGAGCGAGGCATGCGGGACGGAGCCGAACGCGTTGGAGAGGTCGAGCCAGGCAATGGCGCACTTGCTGTTGATCCTTGTGTCGCGGCGGGTCTCGACAATCACGGACTGGAGGAGGAAGTTGTGCTCTGTGCACCCATCGACCGGCATGAAGCCCTTCTGCTCGTTGGAGATGCGGTTGTGAAGGCGGGCCCATCTGCCGAGACGGCGAGCCATCACGGACCCGTACAGCTTGGCGACGGTGTTTGAGAGTGAGATGGGCCTCCAGTTGGAGACGTCATCCTTCGGACCTTTCTTGTGCACCAAGATGGTGTTGGAGCCGTTCCAGGAGCTTGGGATGTACTTGAGGCGGCGGACGGCATTCATGTAGGACCTTCTAAAATATACCATATACTCGACCCGACCAATCCTTCTAAAAAACCCTCAAATTGACCTGTTTTTTTTGTGTGTACAATGTTGGCCGCGTGTTCATTTCCGGGTGCTGTATTATTTGCCATATCGCTCGCTCTCCCACTTTTTCCCCAACTTTCCGATCGTGTACGGTTCACAACACATCTCGATTTATTGTTCCCGTCCGAAAAATACATGTCTCGCTGTCGATCAGGACCGGTTTTTTAGCCAAAGAAAAAGGCGCATTTCGAGATCTTCTTAACGTATTTATTTGTACAACTGGTAATATATAGATAATTTAATATAGCTTTAATGCACATAGCCAAAGGTCTCTCAAAATAACGAAGCTGTCAAAATTTAATTGGTGACTTTTCAAGACAGGGACCCTTTTTCTCCTTTCCCGTTTCGATTCATTTTGACGATGACGAATTCACCGGTCAGGTGTTCCTATCGTCGAATAAATATTTTTACATTTCGACGGTAGCAACGGGGGCAATTGAATGCAAAAAATGGAACACACGGTCACTTGTACACTGTTTGAATGCCGACCATTGTGGTCAGTTTTTAACTTAATTCTTTTTAATCATGTGGTAATCGGAAAGCTGCCCACGCAACGTCTGCTCCAAAAATGACGGGTAGTACCAAGAGTTTCAATTGGTAAAAAGCTTGGGAATGGTCACACGTTATTAGGAAATTACTTGCAATTGACGGAAAGAGTTGGATGTTGAAAAACGGGAAATGAGGTATTTTAGTGAATTAATGCAAAGGGTTTAATCGATTTAAATGAACAAATAAAAAAAAGCAATTAGTGGCTTAGATAGCCTAGATAACACATTAATGATAGACCCAGCTATCCATTCAGGAAGCCTATTGCTATGCATCCGGAGCTGCCGCCATGTTACTCCTCATGATGATCGTGTTTGATTTCGTATTTATTGTCAGCAGGTAGTCTTCATTTACAGCCTTCATATTTATTTTTCTTTAGTGACATGCCCAATCTTCCAATTGCTTGCAACGTCCTCAGCTGGATCGTCATTTTTACAAACCTATTATCCGTTGGCTTTACGCTACGGAAACATCATAGCCGTCAGACGCTGAATTTTCTATCTAGTGTGAGTTTACTGTAATATGTAATGTAATGTAATATGTGCTTCCTTTTTAGATATTTTGTCAAGCCATAGCCTGTGCGTGGGCCGGGTTAATTTTTCATAATTTGCACCATTCGGCGGTCACTGGCGAAACGATAAAAAAAGCTTGTTCGATGAAGGTAAAGTAATCTTACGTCCCAAAACTAGCATCCATATATATTTAACATTCATTAAATATAGAGGTTTTTTTAGGTAACAGCCCTGGTTGGCATGCTCCTACTAATTTGCATCGAAGTCGTCCGCATCACCCTAGCCATAATACTCTTCCGACGCCAAAGACTTAACCCCAGACCCAGCATAAAAGTCATTTTCTATCCCCATTTCACCTATATAACATATGCACTGTTGTCAGGATACAGTCATCCTAAAGGGCTTGAATGCGGGGCAAGTGATTCACAAAATATTTTCGTTTGGCGGGGGCCTGGCGGGAAGTTTATGCCATTTTGTGGGTCTGGATTCACAAGGCTAGAGACTGTCGATGGGAGTCAATATTTACGAAATTCATCTATTCCTATCTATTCTTGTGTTTTTTGTATCACTACTTTCGGCTGGGGCGATATTTGTGGAAATTATGGGAGAGGAGGCGAGTACCAAAAACGGGTTAGGATTTTTATCTAATATTTATATGCGGAATTTAGGCATGCTTTAAGTATTTGCGTTATTATATCCAATTCTATATGTGCTATGGTTTTGTTAATATCAATGATTGGTAATGTGACAATGAGACGTCGGTTGCACTATCCAGCTTTATTAGGCATGGTGCGTCTTTTCATATTCAGCCAATTATTTGCTAATTTACGAAAATGTAGGCATTTACTAAAAATATTTTAACTAATTTTTTAGGTCCTCCTACTTCCTCTTCTCTGCTATTCGATCCCACATCAAATCTCCAAGATCCAAAATTGCCCTATATTAACCATCATAGGCCATTCCTTTTGCATATCCGAAGCCCTTGCTTTCATAATTTATACCCCACTTTTATTAACCTTAATCTATGTAACATGGCTTGTCCAAAAGCAACAACGTGCAGATCTCGATTCGGCAATAAAATAACATTGATCCATTGCAACGATTCCACCGTCAACAAACACAGATCCCCACTCCTATCCTCCTCTAACGAGGGTCAGAAGCGAGGGCGGCGATAATCTGACGTGGTGGCCGCCGAAATGCTCGACATTTTGTTACTAAATCCTTGTGAATGGTTTTTGGCGGGCTGCGACAGATTTCGCGCACTCCGATAAAGTCCATTTTAATAGAACGGCGTGGCTGCTTGTTTGGCTGGGCGGCGAATGTAGATGCCATTTGGGGAAGCCGTTTTCAAATATATCGTTTTGTTCGCTGTGATAAACCATACAATATTGGCATATTCGAGTAAAATAGTGAGGGCCTGGTTTCGGATGTGTGATCGTGGTGGTAGGGCGGTAAGTTATACATTTTTCATAAAATTTATTAATCTTTACATTTATTACGCATTTAGAATGCTGATAAAACGATTGATATTTATGATATGCAACAAATCACCAATTTTAGTGCGTTTCCGTCTTTCATTGGTCGTTTTCTGCCCTATTGGCACTTGGCCAAGCTGCACAAATTGCATATGTATATTGGTAGGTTTGCCATTACATTTAAAATTAGGTAATAATTTAATTTTTTAAATATGGAATTCTATTAATATTTATTTAATATTTCATATTTTTAGGAAAGAATGGCCAGTTCTCATCAACCATTTCACCACCAACTGGCCAATCCTCACCCATCCCCCGTTCCTTCTAGCCAACTTTCACATTCTTGCACTAATGGTGAGCCTGATTGCTCACCACAAGAAATGCTGCCCAGGACACACTTTTCTCATCATCACCAGTGTGAGTAATGATGATTTTGGGGCAAAAATATGATAATAAAACAGGGGCGGATTATAGCACAAAAATTCCGGTTCAGATGGCGATTTGTGCCTATTATCCGGTTATATTGAAGAGGACAGAGCCATCGGCTGAGATGTTAAAGACTCCGACCGAGAAGGAATATGTATGGTATGGACTGGGTTGTATATGGGCATTAACAGGTATGATTGGCTCGCAAGAACCCCCGGCAAATAATTGTTTTAGTGCTGCACACATGCTTTTTGCTAATTGTACTTTTTGTGAGCTGTGCTTGGAAGGGAAATTTGCGTAAAGGGAAGATTTCGATCCTAAAGGTAAGCATCCGCCTAAATTTTTATGGTAATCTTTTGTTTTAGAACGACGCCTTCTACGGGAAAATGCCCGAGCCGACGCCGGTTTATATGAAAACGGCCTACGTGCATCATATCTTTGTCGACCCGTCGTCATTGGAATAATAATCATTCAAATAAAAAGGACCAAGTGATATCGCATGCGAATTTGTCATCACCCTCTTTTTCAAACGGATTTAGACGTAAGGAGCACCGAATGACAGGGTCCACGTCCCAGCCCCGGATTTATCGCGTCCAATTTCTGGGCGCTAAATTCGGGCTGTAGACCCTGAAACGTAGACACCAGTTTTTTGGTTATGCGGGAGGTCTTCAGAAGCTATAAAACAATCGTGTTGGGCTTCTAATAAATAAATAAAAATCATTTATGATATTGCCGTGGCCTTTGCAAGGGTTCTGTAGTAGTTAATGCATATGCCGTGCATTTATACTAGCGGACGGTCTGCCCCAACATCTTTATTTGGGCCACGCGATGGTTTCGCGGCCCGTCGCCAAAAGTGAATCTCTCATAATCACAAGCGCGGCACGCCGGCGCTTTGCGCCGTGGCGGCCGCTTGCACTGATAACCCTCATTGGATACAGCTTTACGGGTCAGCCCTGGGTGCCTGGACTAGATGGTTAGTGGGATTGAGAAGGCACCCACGACATCTCCCCTGTCCAGAAAAATGCCGTCCCGGCATTAAATAATCACAACAACATTTTTGAGATGTGGGGCAAATTTTACATCGAACATCGCTTTCGGGTGGAATTCGAAAATCCTACGGGGTGGTGGATCCTAAAGTCTTAGGATCTCGGGCCTAGGGGCAGTTCAAAATGATATGGGGCTTTACATACGCGTACCTGTTGTGCATATTTCCTTAGACATGGTATGGGGCTCCGGAATGCAAGGTCTAGGCGCAGTCTATCTTCTTACCGCCTCCCTCCTCCCTTATAGCTGGCTAGCCTACTGATGCACTATTCCGCAAGGCTATCAGAAAAACGCATTATCCGGGCAAATCAAAGTCTAGGACGCCCCCAGCGTGCACAAATTTGAGACAGGGCCGATAGAAAGCGGTTTTATGAACAAGCGCACCACTAGAACAAAAAAAATCGACGCAGGGAAATACATATGCGCTAAACCTGCAACTGCCGTAGACGAATCGGGGGCTCATCTGGGCGCGGCTCACCAGGAACATCGGAATAAACGGCTTTTTAGCGATTACAGAGCGCAGACATCGAATACGAGGGCTTTCGAATTTAGCGTTGTAGGATGGACTTAGGGACAAAGATGTTAGAGCATAACCAGTTAGTAGCCGAATTTGTCTTTATTTGCATTTTCGGAATATTTAGTCGTAGTGTAGCGGTTTAGAGCTGAATATTCAGCATGATTTAAGCACTAATAGGCATAGACAGGAATTCGGACCGGCTTATTATGAAGCAGAAAAACCGGTTCCGGGACCTCCATGTAGTAGTTAATGCATATGCCGTGCATTTATACTAGCGGACGGTCTGCCCCAACATCTTTATTTGGGCCACGCGATGGTTTCGCGGCCCGTCGCCAAAAGTGAATCTCTCATAATCACAAGCGCGGCACGCCGGCGCTTTGCGCCGTGGCGGCCGCTTGCACTGATAACCCTCATTGGATACAGCTTTACGGGTCAGCCCTGGGTGCCTGGACTAGATGGTTAGTGGGATTGAGAAGGCACCCACGACAGTTCCACTTCTCACATCGCACTCCATAATCGAAGAGAATAAGGTTCTAAATATGTTTCTAAGATCATAAACGCGTTACTTAGTAATCTGGTCATACATTAATCCTTGAAATTGGCACGTGCATCCGTAAATCCGAAAAATTTACCTAATCCTCAGGCCTCGCACGTTCCAGAGTCGATTTCAATTTGTTTTGTGCTGAAAATAGGTCAGTGGTGTAATTGTTTCCGCGTCATTATAAAGCAAGGGTACACGGAAGTTTTACGTGTCTACGGCTAAAACGGAGATTATGACCCTTAAAGTATGAGCTTATACGTTATACCTAGTTTTTCACAAAACTTCACCCCAAAACGACGATCGAACAGTTTGAGGGAATTTTCTTAATTTCTTAAGAAGTTATTTTTAGTGGCAAATATCTGGAACCAAAATAGATTGTATCTGAACCATGAATACGATGTGTCATCAGCGCTCCAGACATATCTGCTTGTTATAAGCCCCTAAATTATTGTCTGGAATCCCACGCACTGGAAGTGTTCCGCCGCGCGGGCCCTAATTTTCACTAATTTCCTTTTTCCACCACCTTCCTTTCGCCGACCACTTGCATAAGACACGGAAGCATCTTTTGACTTTTCAGTGTAGTGTCGTACTATCCAGCCCTGAAAAAGTTCCTACCTTTTTTAGAGTCACCTGGTCAAAAAGAAAGGAGTTTTCCCATTCAATGTATTAATCCGATTTTCCACCTGGCTACCCTGGCCCCAATCAGCTATCGCGTCGGATTAATAAATTATCCCGAATGTTCGGATCCCCGGAAAAATCGTGGGACAACGCGACGTTGATTCTTGAGAAAATTGTGGTGTTTATTGGGCGGCGGGGTGGAGTAGTTCCGGACATATTTCTCTACTTCCAGACTTCCGCCCGTCACATTTCCATACTTTCTCTGACCCGCTTCCTCCATCACACGCTTTTCGCCCTGCTTCCGATCTTTCCGCATGGGCTCGCCGATCGCATGACCGATATTTTGTTAAGTTGTTTTAGAGAGGTTTTCCGGTTGCTTCCGAATTTTTTCTGTTTTCGGGAAATTGGGGTGCTCTCCGAAAAAAGAACCCGGTGGGCCTTAAAAAACTAACAATAACATTTGTTTTAGCCATAACAGACACTCTACAGTAGATATTGGACTAGAACTTAGCATTGTTGCGATTGAATTTTGATATAATTTTGGGACCGATTTTATATAAAGCAGTTAAATGACGTTTTTGGTACCTGTATGTGTAAAAGTACGTTTTCCCTTTTCTTCTCAAACCAACACCTTTCCTAGTTTTCCGATAGTACCAAACCCTCAGAGCCCCGGCTAGCTAATTAGCAGCGCTCTACCCCCTCACCTACTACCCCCAAAAAATCCCGGTGCCCAGGAAAAAGGTGGTGGAAACGAGCCGTTTCAGGCATTTTCCATGAGTGCCCTCTGGCCGTCCCCATGACTACCGGTTCTGATGACCGTGTCTCATTTTCTAGGGCACCCCTTTTGATGACGCCTCTTTTTTGCCCATAGTCTTATTCGACAGTGGCCCTCCCCGAGCCCTTCTAAGCCGGATGCCGTTGCGCACAAGTATTTATTTCTATGGTTCATCGCCTGCCGGCGTCTTTCGAATCATTGTTCACGTTTCCTTGTATTCAGTTGCTTTCCGGATGTCGCTATGGGATCTAATTTTTTTTCTTTGTTTCAGATGAACGGCTTGGCTGTAAATAGAGGAAGATCTTTGACGGCTAGGTCTAGTGATAGTGAAGCTTTAGAATATGTGGATGCTAGCGAAGAGGTTATTTAGTAAGTTTTTACGGAATGAGATAGGTAAATCTGCAAAACTAGCCAATTTTAAGCATTTCCTAATAATATCTAATAATATTACGTTAAATCATAGTGGCCAATCCCTCGAACTGCTCGATACAATAGCGGAAACGACAATCACTATGAATCTATTCCTCAATAACAAATTTGATTTGGCTGAAGAAAGAATGGCAGAATTGTAAGTTTTACTCGAATTCTTTTTACCTGCAATTTTCTTCAGACACGATAAAAGTATGTATCATGCATTAGGCTATACCTGTATCCTCTTCATCAAGGCGATGATGACTTGCGATCGAGTGAGTTTCTATTTATTTTTTGTCTGTGTCTCAAACCTCAACTAAACTTTAGGCCGACATGGAAAGGGCAATGCTTGTCTGCAAAAATGCAACTACTGTCATTGAAAAGTACAAACAGAAGATGACGCTCGGGGAAACGCTGTCGTACTATAGTTTCGGGAGTAGGCAGAAGCCGCTTACTGATGGTATTTATCGGTTTGTTAATTGATCGAAAAAAAATTCAGAGGAGCTACACGCTGAATTGTGCTATGCTGAATGTGGGCTGGTCCGCGCTATGCTCACCTTTTTCCATGACGAGACGCTGGCCAGTTTTGTGCGTGGTGGCTTGAAAATCCGGAGTTGTTATCAGACGTTTAAGTGAGTTTCTTATGCCAGCTTTCGGCAATAATGAACTTAGACAATGCCATAAGCTACTAGAAAATGATGCCGTTTGGGCTGGCAGAGATCCAGAAATCAAGGTATTTATGAACTAAATTCTTCAACACCAGTTTTAGAACCAATTCGAGGCGGGTGTCCGTATGGGTATCGGTGCTTTCAATCTCATGCTCTCTGTATTGCCTTCAAAGGTTTTAAGGCTATTGGAAGTTGTTGGATTTTCCGGGAATAAGGTTACAAAACACGTTGTATTTTGCTCGAAAATAAAATATCTCAGGCGACTGGTATGAGTGAGCTGATTCGAGCTTCATCTATGGAAGGGACACTTCGAGCTCCACTTTGCGCCACGGTACTGATAATAAATTTGGCAGGGATAAATTTGTTGTATTTTCAGATGCTTTGCGTATGGCATCTCCTCGCTTCCTTCCTCGTCGGAGTAGGAAAACCGGATATCAGGATGTGCAACAAGTTGCTACCTGGTATTATGGCAAAATATCCGAAGGTATTGATACATGCCTATTAAAATTGACTAATTAATTTTTAGGGAGCAATCCCTCTTTTCCTCAAAGCCCGACTCCTTCTTGTGACTGGCGACATTAATTCCGCCATCTATAACTTCAATATGTCCATCGAGGCTCAAGACTGCTATAAACAATTCCACCATGGATGTTATTGGGAGCTGCTGTAAGAAATAGTTCATTAGCGTACTAATATATCTAGATTTGCGCATTCCTACCTACGCCAATGGGCAAAAGCTGCAAACTACGCGAAAAAGTTGGTGAACGAATCGAAGTGGAGTCGCTGTGTGTACACCTACATGCTTGCGATTTATTTCTCGGCAGATGAGACGATTGAAGAAAAGAAACGGATTGAGACTGTAAATGCGTTGGCAAAGTAAGAAAAAAATAACCTATACCATAAATGATATGTTCCATTTAGAAAAGTCGATGGTTTTCGGCTTAGAATTGCTGGAAAATCGATCCCAGTCGAGAAATTTTGTTCGAGGCGCGCAAAGAGGTTTTTGGCGACAAATTCTTTTGTGTTGGCCCACTATGTAAGTTGTCGATCAATACGAGGCTTCAGCTAAAAACAATTACCAAAATTTAACAACTTTAAATAGGAATTTGTGTATTTCTGGAATGGATTTGATATCATGGGCCGAAACGAAGCTCTCCTCGTCCCAATCCTTGAAGATATAGATCGAGTTTGGGAAAGGCACAAAGCCAAAGGTACCGCTTAATATACCTACATAGCATAATTTGTTCGCTTAGCTGATACGGACGAAGAATGTTTATACTATTTGTTGCGTGGTGTCTGCCTGAAGTCGTTAGACTCACTTTATCAAGCTCAAAAATGCTTTGAGCATGTGATTTCTTGGTATGGCCGTTTTACTGTAAATTAAAGACCATTTTCCTTCAGTTCCGAACAAATCGTTGAGCTCAAATACCTCGTACCTAACGCGACATTCGAGTTGGGTTCGGTGATGATGCTGGAGGGAAGCCACGATACAGCTATGGAATTGCTGGCAAAAGCCCGAGCCTACAAGGGCTATTCCCTCGAAAACAAACTTCATTTCCGAATCCATGGATTGATGGATCAGATGGAAGTGAGAACGCCTGTTTAGGTTGTAATTATCGGGTGCCCGGGAGTCGAGGAGTGGAAAACAGGCTCGCTAATTGGTCAATCACGTTTTCGCAGATTCTAACCTGTAATTTTTGATTTGGGGCAATCCTCAAAAAAGCGTTTGTTTTCCTCCGGCACCATTTGTTTGGAGAATCTGCTTTTGTTTCGGGCACCCTTTAATTCACAACGACTTATATATGTAAATATCGACTTTGAATTTTTAAGATTTATTATCCGCATAGGTCACTATCCCAAAGATTGTAACTGTCTAGCCAGTATTTTCTCTTTTTCTTTTTTTTTGCATAAATAACACCTGTATTCTTGGCGTCATGCCTTTTTCGACATTTACATGTGCGATCCAGAACAAAAAAAACACATTTCCAAGCACCCGGCACAATCGATTCACATATCCCTATCCCCATCTTTCGTTTCCCTCCTTTCTCGGCATCTTGACACTCATTTCCAGGTATATTATTTCCTATGCCGAGCTCAGACTTTCCCTTTCCCCCGCGAAACCCATTGCAAATAAATTTATTTTTTGTGACAGCAGACAATGTCGAGGCAAGAAAGCGATAAGTCACAGCGCTGCAAATCAACACTTTTGCACATAGCGCGTAGAAAATCTGGTAGAAGACACTATGGCTCACGATCACAATTTCAAAGACACAGCTGGGTTGTTCGAGGATTTGATTCAATATTATACAGAAATCACCTTAAGATCAATACTCAAAAAAACAGAAGTTGAAAGCGTTTTGCGAGATTACAATTCCATTCTACCGCAACCACCATAAATAAATAGGCCCGTCAAGATAAATTAGCACACAATTAAAACAGTTAATAAATAAAAAACAATTAATAACTACAGCGGATCATAATCACCGTCTTGTTCACTTAATGGCCCTCCAAGAAATTCCTCCAAAGCACTTCTTGCATCACCGTCTGGCTTTTTTGGCTTGACAACCCTATATATCCATTTGCATTTTTAATAGACTAAAAATTACCTTTCCGGAGCTGACCCCATCAGCCCTCCCAGCAAATCGGGTTCCGGATTCTTGGCTTTTTTCTTCTTCTTCGACTTCTCCTCCTCCACAACCGCTTTCTTCTTTTTTTTCTTCTTCTCTGACGAATCGCTCTGAACATAATAAATCAGTGCCATTAACAAGATGTCGAACCTCGGCAACGGGTGATGGAGTAGTCGGGAAAATTGAGAGATCCAGCTGGAGCGCCGTTGTTTTCTTTTTCTTTTCGGCTTGTATTTTGGGGGTGTGAAGTGGATTGAAATCATCGTCATCATCAAGCTTTCCCTCTATTTTGATTCCGATTTCTTCATCGGAACTTTCGTCCAAAGCATTCTAAATTACACTAGGAATCGCTGTTCCGTATTTTTACATGTTTTGATGTTGTCTCATTTGAATCGCCGCCTCCTAACCATGCATCCAAATCTTCAGCAGTAAAATTCGTTGCAGTCGTAGCTGGCAGAGCTAAAACTTCCATATCTCTGTTGCAACAAATTCCTTACCAGGACTTTTCCCCCGTAGCGAATTCGGTGACTCAGCTAATTGATCCGAGGTTGGGCTCATATTAGGCAGCGGCACATCAATAGCTGAAATTTAATTGGGCTTTTTCCTGGGAATTCGCTCGCCTACCAACGGGTGTCGGAACATTACTGGCAATTGGCATCTCTAGTTCCCTTTGCCTGGCTTCATAGTCTTGTTTTGCTTCCAAAAGTTCTTTTTCTTTTTCTCTTCGTGTTTGTTCCACAGCCATCAAGTTCATTCTTGCGCGTAGGTCATCCGTTTCTTCAAAATCATCTTCATCCCTACGGACCATTGTATTTTCCTCGCTAGAAAGTGTGGTGGTTAGCTGCGAATAGTGCGTAACTTACTCATCACTGTCCGCTGGTCGAAATTGGGCGGTATTGCGATGTGGGATGTTGTCGTACGTCGGTTCGTCGTTTTCTGATTCAGGGCCTATCCCATTTGCATCCACCATTTCAAAGGAGTGGCGCCTTGCTGAAGCAGCCGAGCCATCGTCTAAAAGTAGTATGGAAGTTAAAAAGGTTTATTACGAAAGTTCTCTTTTAGAAGCCAAAAGCCCTGTAAAATTAAAAATTGTTCCAGAGCTCTAAAAATGCCGTTTATAGTTTTGTTTCTAATTATCTTGGCGTTACATTGCTTTTAGTTATTGATTTAAAAGTAAAAACTATGCAGTTAATTAAATTGTACATTTTTATCTTGAGGACTTCCTATTTCGGCGGCCCGAAACAGATAAAACTGGCAAAATCACGGCCCTTCCCCCGTTTTTTATGGCATTTAAGAAATAATGGCCCGGCTTAAATGAGGGAAAATGTCGTGTTTGAAGTGCTATTTTAAATAGTCAAATTTAATTAACTTACTTTCTTATTTTTTTAGATGTTCCTCAAGACCACCGAAAATTCTTTACAGCTGACATTTCCCCATTCGTTTCCGTTCCACCCCTTATCACAATCGTGTTTATGCAGTTGTTTCTTTCCACCTTCCCCCCCCCCCCCACCCCAAAACCCTTACTTGGAGAATGCTGGCCGGACGGGCTTCGGCTGGTTGTGGGTTTCTTGACCGGAGATGCTGGAATGAAGCCTGGGGGCATCGTCCCCCCGCCCATTGGCCCCCGGCCTGTCGCGGCTGCAAATGATAGCGATTATTATTTCCGGTCCAATCTCGTATTATACCTGCCATAACTCCCGTCCGTGCTTGTTGCTCGGCGGCTACTCTTCTCTTTTGTGTTATTTGCTCGATAAAACTAAAACGATAGGATTTTTGGCCTTGTCCGATCTCGCCCATACCTATCATAATTGGCTTCCGGTGTCTCCTGATATAAGTCCAGCTCCTCATAGCTGCTAATAATTTCTTGGCGGTTGGTGTCGATTTGTCTAAGGGAATCTAGAGGGCGAGAATGTTTAGGATACCTGAGAAGTGTTTCTCTTTGTAAGCATAAGAAGGGGATGTTGAAGAATAGGTGGATTAGCTTGAGCCCGAAGGCATTTCTCATGCTTGCCGGCGTCCATCGGACTCTTGGGGAACCGTCGGGTAGTGGGTGTGAACTGAAAAGGTGGCTTGAATCAGTGGGATCAGAACTTTTAGAACTATTGATAACAGGAGAGGCTTGGTTCAAGCGCTGGCGATTTTTTCGCAACCTCTTTTTGATTTCCAACTAATCAACTTTTAAACTTGGCTATTAAGACGTAGACGTTTCGATTTTATTTCCGTTTCTTTATGCCTCTTACCCAACCCGAAATCGACAATTTGCCATCTGTTTTGCGTTTTACCATCACAGCCCCGGGTTCCCAAAACAAATCCCCCGAAAAAATCGTGTCCCAATGAAAGATTTGCACCCAGATAGCGGAAAGTCGACCCAATACAGCTTTCCCAAAGGCCCACTAGACGGATCCACAAGGTGGCCACGTGCCCTCGAGGGGCAAATTATGGATTGCCACAGCTGTCTGGGAATCTGCATAGGGGCCCGGGGCTTGTGAACTGAGCACTTGGGTTTTTCGATTTTGCAGTATTTGCTACGTTTCTTGAGCGCTTTTTAGAATTTTCTCAAAATTGCTTCAAGAGGGAAAATTTTAAAATTAGATTAGGATCGTTTACACATTTTTTCCAAGATATTTAAGTCTGTCCACGGTATTTAAAACATTTTGTTTCAATACAACATTCAGCATTTAAAAAAATTTTGTTCAGTATTTATTCTAGTTGTTCTCTCTAGAAGTACTATACAAACTTTCCGATCAACTTAACAAGATATATCAAACTTTACTTTCTCCATCGACCCCACCCGATATCTCGAATCTGCATGAAAGCCCACCCCCCTCGCCACCTTCCGTGTAAGTCGGCCACCCCCTTTTTTAGTACAGACTTCGATGCCCCTTTTCCAACATAGCCCATTTTCCTACCCACTGACTCAGTACAATAACATGGCGCCGCGACAACATTTCCACCCGGCGGTTCGTTTAGTATGGCTGCGGGGCCCATGGACGGGGTGGAGCTATTTCGATCCTGCGATCAGAATCGATACCCTCAGCTTTGGATGAAAAATGGCCTTCGCTTTCGGGTTCTATAGTGTCTGTCTTGTCTAGAACCTCGGTACTATTCAAGTTAAGAGGGCTAATTTATTCTCTGATTTTTTTCGGGCAACCAGTTTATCGCACGTAATCTAGTAAAAAAATCAACCCGGCACTAAGCTAAACCTAAGGTCAGTTAAACTACCTGTAAATGCCTACATCAAAGTCTAAGTCTATGCTAAATCAAGTCAAGCCGCCTCAAGTAAAGTCAAGTCAAGTTACCCTAAGATTACTCCTAAGCTAAGCTAAGCCTAAGCAAGCCAAATAACATGAAGAAGAAGGACAGAAAACTCCCGTAAGAATCCCCCCTCCAAGTAGAATAGTACCAAAATCTAGGATGACTTTTGGTTAGCGGCTCCAGCTGCCATCTGACCCCTTATGACCGAACGAGTGAGGCTCCCCTTATCATTTGAGGGGCAGTCACAGTGCTGTCAGTCAGTTCCTGGCCCCGTTCATGAAATTCTGAATGTAGCCCCGATTTTACATATTGCTTTGTTGCAGATGGACAAGATATTCGAATTGATTAATGGCGGTCCGGGAGGGTGTAATTTTCCGATGTTGCTCGTTCGACAGGCTTGCTGTTTGATTGCAGATGTGTGAGTTGGAGGAGTTTTTCATCATTCTTTTGAGTACTGATAAGCCGACTTCGTTTTGAAAATCGGAAATTGGGAAATGTTACGAAAAATTCGTTTTAGAGGGATGGGCTAAACTTGTCGAAATTCCAATAAATATTTGTTGTTTTTTTCAGGATCAGCTTTCAACAATGGGACAGTCAAAAGGTAGCTTAATTTCTCACGGCTACCATTTCCTAAATTAGTTCCGAGATCTCTTCACCGCCTCTGACAAACCATATTTCGATGGTAGTCATTTGATCCTATTCTGTGCGATGGCCTGGAATTGCGCTGTTTTCCACTACATCCTATCATTTGGCTACTGTTCTTTGGAGATACGGGGACAATGGGTAAGTGACGGCATCAAAACTGATAAATTCCGATTTAGCGTGTAATTCCGAGGGGCTATATCGTCAGGAAGTACCCCTTCGCAAATTTTTCTGTTTATTGGTAAGAATCTATTTATAGAAAAAATAATTAATTTAGTATGACTTTCGGGTCTCTTGCGTTAACCTTTGGGCTACTTGGCCGGATGAAAACGTTGCTCCGGAAACCAGAAAATGCTGCCGGTGATACTAGCGAACTTTGGGGATGTATTGAGGTATTTGAATCAACGATTTCCCAAAGATTTTATGAATTTAGGCAGATAGTTTCGTATCTTCATGTATTCTATTTTATCTAGTCATGACGACAATCTACGCATTTGTTTCTTGTCTCATTAATGGACCTGCGAGAGCTTTTACGAGTCAGTTTTGTTTTAAATTCTAAGGATTCTGTTTTTAGAAGTGAAACTGCCCACAGAAACCCTTGATGAGGAGAAATCCTTCTCTGAATGTGAAATTTGCTATCAAAGGGCGGCAAACTGTCGGATCGACTGCGGGCACCATATCTGTTGCTGCTGTTTGAAGAGCATGACAAAGGCATATTTCGTCGAATTCAAATGCCCATTTTGTCGAGAGCAGATTAACGGGGCTGTCAAGTAGGTTCCAAAAGTTAATATTTAATCCACAATTTGTTTAGAATAATTGGCAACAAAAATCAAGCCCTCTCCGACCCAGATGCCACCACAAAATGCAAATGCAGCCGCACCTACAAATTCCCGAAAAATTTCCCTGAGGAAGTTATCGTCTAGCTTATCAAATTGCCCCCCTAGTAATCAATTGACTTGGGAGAGCAGCGTTTTTGGTTGGTTGCCGCCCTGCCGCTCGGGTGTATGTAAATATTCCGTGTCTATCCGATGCTTTACGTGTCCCCGCCATATTGTGCCTTTACCAAATGGTCTCCGTTAGAACGTATAAATATGTGCCGCTATGGAAATTGTATAATGAAAGGACCTACTCATTGTATTGTTGGCTGAAGTGGCTGACCATTTCGTCGGTGACTTGGCGGTGATGACCCATGTCACGGCGATTTGCGAGGATCATTACCTTTAAAAGTATTTGAAAATTAGCAAAAACTTCATATTCAAAAGAGCGTAACTTTATTCCTGGATTTCTAGCTTACCGGTACATTTGCTGGCACGTTCACGATCTCTGTCGTTACATATTCCCAAGTCCATTGCTTCGTAATATCAAAAACGAAGATCACTCCATGACACCCCTTGTAAACATCCACAAAACGGGCATCACAGGCAACATCTTCGAACTGGCATAAAATTTACATTAAGTTTCCAAGATTCTAGACTTACTTCTTCAGCCGCCGCATGGTTGGCCAGCTTCAACTTGTCGGATTTTACCCTCTTCTTTCGACTCTGATCCACAACATCCCAGACATCAACTTTGACGACGTCATCAGTAGCTCGGTAGTTCCAGTGGATATTTGCGACCTAAATTTCGGTTCATTGCAAATTTAATGGAATTTTATTTTACCTGTATCTCTTCGGTAGGGGTGTAGTCTTCTTGAAATTGTTGTCCTTGAAGTCTGCGTAGTAAACAGCTCTTTCCAACGTTACGATCTCCACGTACGACAATTTTCACTAAAGAAGTTAATTATTTTGATATTGACAAGCCATTTATTCTCTTTTTTATAACTTACTGTTATACTGAACCCCTCTAGCATATTTCTTCTGTAATTGTTGGTCCAATTTCCCAACACCAGCCGGCATATTCGCATTGTTGGAACCACCTTCCTTCCCATCTCCTCCGCCTAGCTTCTTTCGCAAGGCGGAGATCATCTGGAAAATAGTTATTAACTTAGCACGGTACCCTAAATTAAATTAAAGTAAGTACAATGCAGGACTACAAAGTGTTTATCTGGTTGTCAGGAGTCAAAACAAGGGCGGAAGGATGTAGTCTCTGCATTAGCTTCTTTACCTCGATAAGGCAAACTGGGCAACGGGGCACTACAATGGACGCATTTATGTAGCGTGTCGTATCAATCGGTTTTGAATCGAGATAACGTTAGTAAATTTATAAAAGGGGGGTCTCGTGAGGTCAGGACGAAGACACTAACAATAGAGGTTGATAAAATGGTGCATTAATAGGCACATTTACGGATTTGAGTTGTAAACTAGGTTAATTATACTATTTTGCTATTTATCCTGCAATCTTTAGATGTTATATATTATAAAATAGTAATGTAGGGAACATATAGATTACCTTCAGATTTTTCTTTTTAAATCTTGCCTTTTTAATTTTTCCGAACACATGATTCGATTAAAATTTAAATATTCCGAAAGCATCGACATTTATAGATGTAATTACCACCCATAATTCATTAATTAATATATTAAATATTTATTAGGATTAATTCTCGCACACAATTGCATCATAAATCACAGCATGGTGTGGCCCGTTTTGGTGTGCCCCAATTGAATGGGGTTGTGAATTGGCTTCAATATTGCAGCATGGCTTTAAAACATGTTCTTTGGTAGAGCGAACTCGAGCATCTGGACGATGGTGCCCATGCCGTAGGGAAGCTCATTCTTAATTGGAATACAAAAAATTGACCTTAAAATTACCACATCCTTCTCGGTGAAGTATCCCTTGATAAAGTCATTCAGACTATTCAAGTAGCTGAAGAAGGTGCGTTGAAGCTCGTGTTGTTGAACAATATTATGGCACGAAGCGAAGACGCCGTTGACGACAAGCTTTCCGTTAGAAGTCATCGGGGCGTAGATTCCGGTCTGGGTGACCTTCTCCACCTTGACGACCTTGGATTCACTGACGGTTTCCTAAGATGTTTTCGATGTTTTTTAACCAAAATCTAGCTCGTTTACCTTATCAACACTGAACAAGCAATCTCCTTCATTAACCATATCGGCAAATACAGCTCCATTTGGAAGCTGAACGGTTTCACCAGGAGCGCTGCACTTCGTTTTGTAGATGTAGTGTTTTGCGGTCAGCTTCAGCTCCTTTCCATTCTGAAAGCAAGTAATTAATTTCACTTTAAAACTATTTTCCTACCTCGAGTGTCAACTTCATAAACTCAGCCTCCTGAGATGGGACCCTGTGCAGCCAGAAGCTGACTGGGGTGTAGACGACCTTATCATCATGAATAGTCTTCACCCAGTCATCCCTCTTCAGCTCATCCATACGAACCGAGGATCCATCGGGCTTCTCAAGGATCGTGTCATCAGTGAAGCAGTAGTATCCACCACCACCGCCTCCACTTCCGTAGTAGTATGATGGGTAGTAGTAGGCAGGTGCGGCAGGTGCGGCAGGTGCGACAGGGGCGGCTTGAGGTGCCACGGGGACGAACTGAGCTGGAGCGGCCACTTGTGGAATTGGGGCTTGGACGGGCTCAAGGGGTCCAAAGATGGGTCGGGCTTCGTAGAACTGAACGGTGGCTCCGTTATTAGCGGCGGCTTGAGGTCCGGTAGATTGGGGAACGACAGCCTGATCGGCTACGGTCTGGAACACGGATCGATTGTTGATTGATTCCAAATTCACTTACGTCTTCAACAACACCATTTTGGTCGACCTGGAAAGGTCCCTGGACTCCTTGCTGCTGTCCGTCAAGTCCGGCGACGTTGATCGGGGGCTGAGCAACATTTGGGGCTTGGAAGGCGCGGAAAGCTCCGGCATTCTTTCCCTCTCCGTTCTTCGCAAAGTTATCGGCAAGGGCGAGGCAGGGCATACGTCTGATCGACACATCATAAGACACGCTAAAATTCTCAAAATTCTTATCCACATTTCCAAACTTACGTTCCATCTCCATTCACCGATTTGACAACATCAGCGATGTAATCAAAGGCATACTGCTTGCCGGCGCGCATGACCTAAAAAACCCAATTCCTTATTGCGCTCCATTTTCCTTAGTACAGTATCCCCAGACCGGAAAGGCTCACAATTCCCATTATCCACCCAGTGATACAGTCCCACGCACAGACGAGGTGTTCACAAAAAGATAGCGCAGACCGGAATTTTCATGTCACGCAGATAGTCTTCAAAAGCATGTTTCAGTTTTCCGGACTGCAGGAATAGAGCCAAAAGAGGGATCAATCATTCGGGCACTTTTTATAACAGTTTGGGAGGGGAATTGTCACCTCTCCGCCGACAACGATTTGGCCTGGGTTGACAACGGCGACACCACGGTCTGTTGATGCACGCAGCACTTCATAGTTGCAGCATTGGAGCACGGTACTGAAAAAAATCGACGTGGCACTCTAAACAATATGATAAGGCTGTTTTTGGATAGTAGGGTGCAAATGATTGTAGGAAATTACATGTTTCATCTTTCAATGGACTGTTCGGGTACACCAGGCCGTTCAGAACTTACGGGAAAGCAGAAACATTCAGCAGGGGAGCAATTCCTCCAACCCATTGACGAGCTGGATCGCAAGTGTTCGATTGGTACGTCGCCTCGCATTCGGCTGTCATAGACCTTTGCAGCCTACAAAAAAGTACACCACTTCTCAAATAAAATTACCTAGCATCCAAATGGCTGAACGGCGGGATAGTAGCCCGATCGTTCCTCATGAAACCGTCGGGACGCTTGTTGATACGGTAGAAATTGCCGGTTTGCGAGGCTGGCAAACCACTTGGAGACCATCCGAAACAAGTTGGTCTCGCGCAACCGAGCACGGGCTGGCCATCAGGGAGGACCTAATTTAAAAAAGTTATAACATTCCTGTTTTAATATTAAATTACCTCGAAACTGAATGGAATTGCTGAGTCTCCGCAGAAGGAAGCATAAGCCTGTGATACCAATACCGTAGCCAACAAGAAACGCCGCATTGCTGGATTGAACGGCCTGCAAGACTGAATGCTATAAGGTGGAGGGAAGGAACGAGGAACAAGAAGTTCAAATGGCCAATTATTCCATGTTTTATAAGAACGAGGCGTCATCTTCGACCCATTAGTACGATAATGCGGGTATCGGATCGTCGGGATCGGCCGAGCCGGTTGAAAGGAAATGAAAACCGGCGCCGAAAAACGGGAAGGCTTCTCGCCCGGCCCCGCCCGCAGGGGCGGATCGTCTCCAAAATACGGGAAATCTCGGGTCGCTAATGAACGAGAGTCGAACTTATGGTCGGAGAAATTCCATTGGGAATCGTTGCAAAAAAGGAGAATAGCTTCCCGTTTTGGTTCTGGAGGCGTCCGATTCCGGATTCCAATACGCGAGACAATTCATCATGTCTTTTATGGGAATTGCTGGGCATGGATGATGATTTTTGGGTTTCTTTCAGTGATGGTACATTACGCGAAGATAGATCCAAAACATAAACGCTACACGCCCAGAATTTGCGGCAATAAGGGCCTAAGCAACGCGACGCTCCATTCGTCAAGAAAATGTATGGGGTCAAAACTTTGTAGCCTTATAACTTTAAAACTAAATGGAATTTAAAAAAAAGCCATTTCCAACTTTGTAGAATGGGAAAAGGCGATTCCAATGATACCAAGCACTAAGAAAACTGAATTCAAAAAGTATCGAAACGAAGGCGGTTTTGGTTGGCGACTTTGTGAAAAGTGGTATTTCGGGGGGCTAACTTGCTGTCTTTGGTATCATTCGAACCGTAAAATTCTACTCCGCAATAATTGATATTGGGTTTTCAATATTAAGTCGGTTTAAAAAAGTTATAAGAGCTTAAACTTTTTGGCGCCGCTACGTTCCGCTCCTATCGACGCTTTTGCCCCTCCCGGTACATTGCCGTTTTTAGCCTGTTTGATTGGCCGTGGCTAGTCATAGACGATTTTTCGGGAAAATTGGCTGTTACGAATTTAATTTTAGTCCTAAATTTTGGTTTCCTTTTTCAAGAAGTTGTCAAACTTAAAATTAACCTTAAAACGAGGGGTTGTTTTCTTGCTTAGAATTAGTTTGAAAACAGCATGTGCGATAAATAAAAAAAATTCAGAAGAAGATAGGAGGGTTTTGCCGAAAATTAATTCCCGCTACAGCGAATATTGAAGATGCTGAAACTGAATGCTGCTGATTTCAGCTTTCGAGAGTGCCGATGCCGTCGCCACCTCCAGGGAAGAACCCTTTTGTAGCTGCTGGTTGTCAGGCTCCGCCTCCGGCTCTTCATCCCGCTCTTCCTCCATTAATTCAAAAGATGTCTCAAACCGAAAAGTGACAGGGTGAGGGAAGGGGAGGTATGCGGTATTATGGAGAACAGAAGATCAAATGTTTCTTAAGCGGAACCTTTAGTAACCATATCGAAGGAAATATACCCTTCGGGAAACCCAACAGCTCAAACCGCGGTAACATTTAATATGCGTAGACAACCGACATTTTCAAAACTTTAAGTTTTCTGGTATCGAAACTCGGCACTTCCCCTTGATCCTAGCATTAAGTACCCGCATTAAGCTTAGTGGGGGGAAAGGGGTAAGCGTGAATCAGGTGAAGCCACCGGGCGGTGCCCTAAAAGCACAGCAGCCATTTTGGAAGACTGAAAGCGGTTCCTGACCGCCGGGACCGGTCATTTTTGCACTAGTCGTGCTCGTGCCGAAGGGAGGGGCTCAAAACATCCTGACACTTCATTTTTGATGCTTCCTTGGAAAGGGGGGTGGCTAGGAGTATGGTTCGGGGGATTTCGAGAAATTAATTAAAGTAAGCTATAGAAAGATCAGTAAGTGCATAATGGATTTTGCATTTGGAAATTTTGCCTGCAGCTTTTTAGGTAGTGCAGCTAACTTTATCCTAACAAAAATTTTTGTCTAACGTTTTTCGGCATATGAAAATTACCGTGAACTTTTATAATACCAGCAAAAATATCTAGCGCCGCTAGGGACGTAGGTTTTACAGAACACAAAGTACGGCTTCCCTTGCTCCAGCGAGTGCGCTACGGTCTCACGGCCCATTGTTATATACATGCTTTTTGTACCAAACCAGAGCATGTTCCCTATTACAAGAGAAACCCTGCCACACCGCCATTATCCTTGTTCAAAGGTGCAGACCAGCGACCGGCTCGTCCTCCTGCCTAAGCCAGTATCCCCTCCAAACCCATTTGCTCTCAACGGCAACGAAGGCCGAACTTGGCATCTTCTCCGGCATCTCTTCCAGCCCTACGCTAATGGTTCGTCATACGGCCAGTCGGTCCACAGCTTTTCATTGCGCGTGAGAGACACTAAAGCCGTTCGAAGGCATGGGGGTTTGGAGGGCTTTTCCGGCAACACCGACTTCCTTCGCCCGGCACATGCAATTGAGTTGCAAGGGAAAACTGGCACGGCGTGATTTTGGGTTGGAAGGTGTTGCTGATCGAAAATGGAGTTGGATTTAACGCCGGTTAAAAATCATTGATAGATTTACTTTGTTGAACAATACCATATTGCTCCGCTTTTTCGGAGCATCTCTAGCTATCTCTAACCTCTCGCTCTCTAATCTCATCCCGGTAAAGGTGGCTTAACGGGGGGAAGAGAAAAAGTTGATACATATTCTAATTTTAGAGTAATTCTTTTATTTTTGAAATGTAATCATATATTGTAGTACAACATAATAATAACATATCCGAAATAAAGCAAAATAATAAAAAATATTGTTGGTTAATAAATGCCGACGCCGAAAACGGCAAAATGCTGAAAAAAACGTTCGACATTTCACCTTACGATATATCCAAACCATATTGTTGCTCCGTCCGCTAGGTAACTTTCACCAAAATTCATCGAAGCCATCTTTGAAATGATTCTAAGACGAAGTAAAACCCAAGGAAAACGCCTCTGCCTAAACTTCACCCTAGGCAAACACATCTACCCAAACCCACGCACATAAAAAAACCTCCAGAAGCGCTTTTCATCCTATTTTCGATCCCAGCGAACCCGGTACACATTGTAGCGCCACGCAAACCAAACGACGACAACGATAAGTACCGGGTGGCAGCAGTTTTCCCTGCCCTTGCCTCCTCTTCCTCCTCCCGTTGCGGCAACCCCAACATAGATCACATAATTTGCCGTCCCGATCCACTGATCCCGTTTTTATGGCCGCCTTTTTCAGGTCTACCCGCCTTTTTCCGGGAGAGAGGTTCGCCCTTCCTTCTTTCGGGGCATCCTAGCGGTAACACGACCGGATCTGTCCCTACGGCGCTCAATATTTCGATAGACGCCTTGTGGGGGGTGGTTGAGCGAAGAAAACGCCCGGGGGGTCTGGATTGAAATTTCCTGATAAAAAGGGTCAAATACCTCGGACCGGTCGAGACACATGCGATACGATGGGTTTATGGATCTCATCTAGCTGATCCGGCACCCTCGACCACGTAGTTTTTTCTGGCACTAATCTTGCAAGACCCAATTGCATTGCAGAAATTTTTATTGGCAGATGCACATATACCCCGTAACTTTGAAAACAGCAATAGGATGCTAATAGGATAAGGAGAAGTGTTAAATCAAGCGCTCCTCGGTTTGTGGAATGACGGCTAGCAATGGATTGCCGGTCCGCCCCTTGCTGCGCACGAAATTCTTGAAATAACCCTGAAACCTGTCGTACGGCTCAGAGAACCTTACTTTCAGCGTTCGTCTAAAATTGGCACCAAATGCATAGTAGATAAGGAAATTGCATGACGAGTTGACCACCACCTAATCGAGTGTATAAATAAGAATTAACAATTTCCTACCATTAAATTTGACAAATCAATCATATAGGTGTTGACAAAGCCCAGGAAAAGCTCCAGAAAATTCACGGTTAATGGCTAAATTTCGGGCATTAATTTTTTTTTTGCGAAAAAGCTCTTACCAAAATATTACAGCTGACGAACAACGCCACGACCAGCACCAACGTCAAAGTATCAGATTCCGAAGCAACCGGATGACCTTTCTTGGTCTCTTTCCTGAAACGAAGTCCTAAATATTCCCAGAACCTGGCTAAAGTTGCCTTGCACGAAATTGCCGCCTAAATTGCTTATATAATTACGTTTTTGCCCAAAATTGGGCCCGGCTGAACGCAACGCGAAATTTTTTGCGTCTAGTCTGACTGACCGGATGAAAATGACGATGGCTGAATTGATGATGAAGAGTAAGATAACTGGTCCGGCAGCCATTACAATGGTATATAGATAGGCATAGTAGATTGTTAAGTAGTCCTGAGATATTAAACGGAAAGTTTTAGATACATACCACATTTTGTCTTAATTCCGTTGGGCATACATCTTTCGACTTTTGGCGGTAGACCAACGACCAACAATCGATTGTGTAGATCTCAAAAATATGCGGACTGTTGTAGAGACAAGCCAAGCAGAAAATCAACCCGATATTCTGAAATTAGGTATTATAATTATCATTTAAACGATTGTATACCTTAAGGGCTGTCTGAATCTTGCAAAATCTAGCTCGAAATCTCGGCATCGCCACAAGCACCAAACAATCAAAAGCAGCAGCCACGGTGAGAAACACGGATAATGTTTGAGCAGTCAACCCTAGATTATAAATATTATTAAATCGCAACGTAACTTACCGACAGGAAACATATATGGTGCTAATTGTGCAAAAACCCTGGAAGCGAACAGCGAGCGCTTTCGCATCGATTCGATAAAGAAGAGGAAAAATGCGGTGACTATTACGATCATATCAGATATTGCCAGTGCGCAGAGATACCTTAAATCATTAACTTAACGTTTCATTGAACACGAAAATTAGTAAAAATTTCCAAAAACTTGCACATTTAGCGAGGATTGCATTTCTCTTCTTGAATAGATAAAAGCACTGACGGCATCTCCAAATAATCCAAAAATTCCGATCAGTGGTAGAATGAAACCAATCACGACCTAATTTCCTTTAAGTTTGGGATGGTTGCTTACTAAATTGAATAATTCATATTGCCAAGAGGCGACCGGGCCTTCGGTGCCCCCACCATAGCAATAACCACAAATTGGGAGTCCATTGCAGTAGCCTTCTTCGATAGTCTCGTTGTTACATCCGCGGCTAAAGTAAAGTTAATATATAATTAACGAGATCGATAATATTCATACTCAAAGTAGACTAGCTTTTGAATAAGTAACAACTTACGAGACAAAAATATATTCGTCAGCCGCCGGCATTCACGAGTCAAGGAGGTCGAACGAATCGGGCCAGTCTAGGTATTTGAAATATTATCTACAAAGTTATGCAAATCGATGCAGAAAATTTTGAAAAGCATTACTTAAAAATAAGGATTTGTTATAAAAACTCCAGTAATAGAGAATTACGGATTTTAAGATGGGCGGTATCTTAGTAATTCATATCCCAGATAGACAACCCTATGCCGAACCTGCCCTACGTCTACTTATCTCAAAAATGCATACCACAAATAAATCACCCCACAAAAAACCAAACCATAGTCCCGCAGAGCCAAAAATCAATGGCTGCACCCGACGTCGGCGCCGGAATCAACACCGTTCCGCCTTCTGGGCCACGGCTTAAGACCACAGCCCGAGAAAGAGCTATTCCAAAAAGAGGAGAGGGCCAGTCTAAGAGACGGGTAATTGTCCTAAATGTTCATCAAAAATGGGCCACCACCCAAGGGGAAGGGTGGAAGGGATGGGCGCATTGCCGAGGGGCGGAATTCCACCTCATCCGAATTGCCATTTGCGCCATCTATTAACGCCCAGCCTGGCTGTCAGTGTGCTTTCGATCAGATGGGCATCCGGGAAATTCATACGAATTTCGGAGCGAAATTGGAAGAGATTAATCTTGTTAAATGTATAGAAGAGGAAATCAAACATGGGTTACTGACGAATGGATTGGATGAATGAGACCAGCCAGTTTGAATAGACCGTTTTTAAACGTTGAAAAACACTGTCTGCTATTAAAAAGGGCTAAAAAAACCAATTAGAATAAGTGTCTCGCACCCAGAGCCGGACTAGAGTTGTGTCGTTTTATTGCTGGATGTAAAAGTGTTGGGGCCAACGTTGGGTGAAGCGTTTCCGGGGGGTAATGATGTGGGCATTTTCGCTAAAATTGATCAATTGGACCCGAACACAACTCTTTAACTTGCAAACATTCGCGCCAAAATTTGGAGGGAACAAGGTAAAAAGTAAAGGGGAAGCCCCCAATTATTGAGGATCTCTGGAACAAGCACTACCATAACCCTCTTTCCCGAAAACTCCCGAAAAGAGCGACGAGAAGCAGCAGTTACTCGATTTGCAATACGGTAGCCGCGAACCAATCAACACTAACAACACCATATTACAAAACTCGTAGGTAAATAGTAAAAAATATTTTCCGAGTGGCCTGAATACCTTGCAGAATACCGAACCAACCAGAACTGACCAAAGGCCATAACATTAGCGCCATCTCAATCACTGCCCCCTTCTTCGACCCATCTATAGTAGCAGAACGTACCCCAAACCCCGGTCTGATTACTTGCCAACACCGGAAATTAGGAACTCCTAGCCCTCTAGCCATTTCCCACTCCTCCCTTTGACGGTCATCCTCCAACACGCGCCTCCGAGGTTTTCTTCACCCAGAGTAGGAGAATCGAAAAACAAAGCATAGCGCAACTAATTATTTTCGGGCCCATGAGCACCAGCACAACCGACGAATGGCGGTGAGTTGGGCCCTGGCAGAGGGAAGGTGCTGGGTCCCCTCGCCGTGGGGGCCATTCGGAAATACAGCCCATTCCCAGATGGTCCATTCGGAGTTGAATGTCTGTTTCGAGAAAAAGTGCCCTCGGGGGCGCCTTCCCCATCGGGTGTCCGCGTGGTGCAGAACATGTTACTGAATGTGGGTGAGGGGAGAAAAATGAGGGTGCGAAAATGGAGGCGGTATACGGTAGAAGCCGAACGGTTCGATAGAATTATTGTCACTATTTCGAAAGACATCATTCCGGAGATTATTTGCATAGAAAATAGCTCCTTTTTACGGTATATTCAGCTTTTTGGGATACTGTATTCCGGGATGGTATCGATTCACCATCATTTCTACAATTGGATAAATGGTCCATCAGTAGTCTAGCTTTACCAATCGCACATCTCTTCAACACAACCCCCAATTAAAGGGATCGCGCTACCTAGCGAAACATCCCTTCCTTGTTTTACCTGGCATTCAAACGACGTTTTGATCCCCGTAGAACCGCGCACTATTGATCACAAAACAATCCGCAATACAAATCCAAAAAAACTGTCCCAAATGCGCAACTTTATTAAATCTCAATAGTAATTTTCCTAAACTCATGAAAATAAGGCACAAGATGGTAATTGGCACAGAAAAGCCATACAAAAGGATCCCTAAAAATCGGGACCAGATGAAAAAGCACTGAAAGATCACAATGCGGTGAAAGAACAATGGACTAGTATGAGCAAATCATTAAAGGGTTTAGAACCGAGAGCATCATCATAACGAGCTCAAACAAGATTGATGATCTGGTGGGTCAGGGAACAGAGACAAGCCGAAAGGTTTTGAGGCCCTGAAGTTTATACAAGGATGTTATGGGTGGATGGACAGGTCGACCAGATTTATCATCCCAAGGGGCACTTTTTAGGGGCGTCGATGACAACAGAAACCCTTTGGGCCCCGACGATGATTGATGGAATGTCGGGCAACAAACAGGGCCTCTAGTGGGCCGCAAGCAAGTTCAATTTCGCCCAGCCATGTCGGCCTTCAAAAGATCTGATCAGGTCGGTTTGATCGACAACTGTTAGTTTGCCCAGTGGAAACGATTCCGGGACCCGACCAAAACCCCAACAGGGGGATGAAAATATCGAAAATTGGCCGCCTACCCCATTCACCTCAAAAACCCCTCGGATTGGGCCCTGACAAAAAAAATCATAATGCTAAAAAACAATGCATGCCTAAAACACAGAAAGAGCTCGTGCTGCCATTTTTTTGGCACAAAGAAGCAAAAACAATTGCAACCGGGATAATCCTACAAGAAACAAACTATATCACACAAATACTATCAAACAGCTTCCTACATATACTTGTGCATTTCGTTGTAGAATGCAAGGACGAGCGCCGCACCGGTGCCGCGAATCACGTTGACGAACGCGCCGCTGTAGAACGCCTTCCAACCCTCATTGTGCAGGAGTAACTGCAGCGGCAAAGATATAGATATAAGTTTAATCCGATACCTTTGCGCATTTCATCGTTCCCATAGAAATCTTGCCCTGGCCAGACTCCATCATCAAACGTCGGCGGACCGTATCAAGCGGGTAAGAGCAGAGGCCGGCAACAAGGGTCGTTACCTGTAAAAATCATATATCAAGGGCCCAAATATCAGAATTCGATTCAGCATATGCATTTTATCGACAAGAAGAACGCATTACACTTTCTTATAATTTATAATCAGAACAAAAGAAATTCCCACCTGTCCCAAAAGAAAAGCCTTCGTAAAGCTGAGATCTTGCTTCTCGCCCTCCGCAATAAATGGCTTGGCCCAATCAAAGAGTCCATAGTAGGCCCCTCGGTAGAGCATAATATATTGCATCGATGGGAGAAGCCCGACGTAGAGCCCACGAACGCCATCCGCCTTCACGATTTTTCTTATACAGTCGGAGAGCCCTGAAATTCCAATATCAGAATCAAAACTGGATCTCAACAACCATGCGCTCGCCAATTGCAAAATTTACGCACCTCGGAATTCACGATCGCTCGCATCCTTGCCCATATCAATCGCAAGCCGGGTCCTTGTGAAGTCTAGAGGGTAGATGATGGTCAGAGTTGTAAGACCACTCAATGCACCAGCCACGATGTTCCCTAGAAACCAGATAATTATCAAAATATTGCTGCCAATTTACCAATGAACTGTTGGGAATAATCCGTCATAGCGACATCGGCGAGGATCAGTTTTCTATACAATTCCTTGAAGGCGAGTCCAAACGATTCCTGAAATTAAGTTAGACCATTCTGTAATTAGCCTCACCTGAGCACAGGATCGAATAATGTTCGAGCCGTTTCCTCTCCAAAAGGATAAAAAGCCTTGTTCTTTGGGCAGCCGGATAAAGCAGTCCATTGGGCCTTTGTAACGTCGTTCCACAGCGAGTGTCGGTTGAGCACTTTGCAGCTAAAAGGGATAATTAGTGAAATTAATCACCATTCTGGCTAATTCCACTTTGAAATCTTGCATGTCTGCTAAAAAAACTTGCAAACAGCATGCTATTTCAACCAAAAAGATTCAGCAATACCTGTAGAATAAGTTTAACCCGCTCAACAGGAGCTATCACCGTTTTTGCGATCGTGGCCGCAACCGAACCCGCGCCGAAATCCTGAAAAGCAATATGTTAGTCTGAGAAGGTCAATACACCTTTGCAAAACGGACGGCATCGTCGAACGTTATCTTCGCCGACGTCGAGTTTTCCATAGAAGTTATTCTAAACGTGGTTGAACGGAAGAAGAAAATAAAAGAACCTCATCAATATTCCTTGTTTTGAGGGATTCTTCTCATGCTGAGGCCCTAGCGGCTGCGCGTCTACCTGAAAACCAGTATTTGGAGAAGAAAGCTAAGCCAATAAAACGATCAAAGAAAAGGTCTTACGTGTAAACCCGGTTGGAAGAAAATACGCATTCTTTTTAGAACCTGATCAGCCATAATATCAGCCGGCAAAGCGTATTTTCGATTTGAATAATGAAAAATGAATTGAATTCGCTATCAGCAAACGTGCAAAACAAATTCTGTAGAGAACCGCGACCAGATTGAGATAAACAGGCGCCGGGGAACAGCCAATGCCCGGACAAAAACAACAAATAATGTTTTCGTGGGTTTTAGAAGTACGAATATGTACTAATTGTTGTTTATTCGCGCGCAGAAAACAACAGTCCTTTTTCAAGAGCTAAGAGATAAGCGTTTAGACGTTTCATCACGGGATGATGTGGGTTCAAGGATTCACGTGAAAGAAACACATGCCGATGTCTGGCAGAAATTTCTTTGGCCGTCGCCTAGCCGGTGTCCGAATCACCGTAACCCAACCGTTATCCGCCAGCTTGGTTTATTCATAGCGTAATCAGCAATAAAAAAATATTAAAATTACAATTTGAAATAGAGTATCAATCAGAAATGTCAGTTTTTAAACAAAGTACACGCACACATAAAAAAAGACGTTTCAAAACCGGGCCTGAACATAAAATTTGAACAATCCTAAGTCAATAGCATCTAACACCTCGAATCATTAAGTTGCCTATATTCCAATGCAAAATTATATTTTCTTGACTTACCCTAACGTTAAATTTAGCGAATAGAACTCTATCGTGTGGAATGGAGGGAAATTGGGCTAAAAATATGAGAAACGGGTGACTATTTGCGACAGTCCCCTTACTTAGGCAACCCCTTGCTCCCCCGGTGCACCTCCGTCGCGATCATCTTCAGGGTTCTTTGGTGAATGCTCATCATCACTAGCTTCCTCCCCCTGTTCCTCCTCCTCATCCTCCGAAAAATACAGACCTTGAGCAGCCATCTTAGCTCTCACCGCTGCACGAAGCTCCCTTATTCTTTCCAAGGTTAATACTTCGGGCCCATATTCCGATAATGTTTTTGTCGGTTGCTTCCTAGCACGTTCTTCCTTTCTTTCCTCTCTCACAACTAACTTTGCGAATATTGCGCTCAGATCCCCGACTGACTCATCGAATCCTTGGCTTTGTCGAGACGTAGATGGGAGCATATCAGGCATAGGAAGCGAAAAGCCGAAGCCGCTGCTTTCCTGAGCTGCGACATCTTGTAAATCCTCTTCGGAACTCGAAGTTTCGCGGCTCAATCTCTTCGAAGCCTTTTGGCGTCGGTGAGAAGCTGTTGATAACCCCATTTTGGTTTTTGGAACAGCCTCAACAGCAAAAAATGGTGAAGGGGTGTGATATGATGTGGACGGTTCATCACTATCATATTGTGCTGTGCTAGTGCTGTGTAGCTGCGCTTTCGAGGTTTCTTCGCTTTCGCGCAATTGCTCGGAGGACCGTGTAAGTTTTGAGGTAGATGACATACTTGGTTGTGTAGCAATCTCGGCCCCAACGATAAGGCTGGTTTCTTTTACCGGAGAGCGGGTGATGCCCGTGCTTGTGCATGGTAGTTGTTTAGACCGAATCCTTTTCGTCTCCATAGCGTTGCCTGAACTTTCGATAAAATTAGATCTGGATGGCCGATCCGGGCTGCGCTGAATTTTTATAGATCGTACAGGCTGAGACCCTTTTTGAGGTTGTTCTTTCCCTTTTCGACGTACTGGTGGCGGAGCAGCAGATTTCCAAAAGTTCTTTCGCGCTGCTAGGTCTTCTTCAATGGTAGCCTTCGGTCGCAACCAGGTTGGTAGAGCGTCCATGCTTATCGTAATTGGTCTTTCTACCGCCATGCTAGCGCCAAGTTCCGGATGAGCAGTGGATTGTATCCCTCTCCATCTCCAGGTACTGTAATCGAAGTTATCCTGAGTGGATAGGGAGGCGCTTGCTGTTTCGTCGACTTCTACCCAGGACAAGCGCCGACTTTCCTCTGGAATTTGCTGCACCAAGCCCTGTTCTTCGACTTTTATTGCGGGTTCGGCATCATCCATAGTCTCTTGTTCTTGATTTGAGGGGCCGGCTTCCTTAAGCGATATAGATTTTGCAGTCGTTTCGTCAAGCCGCGTGACGACTATTAGGTTGGCCGAATCAGCAGACAAGCTGGATCTCGTGCTTGGCACACGACGAATAGGCTGTTCAGTAACTTCTTCGTCTTCACTGCTTTCCTCGATTCGACTCAGAATAGCAATGACCGGATTAACGGCCGTTGAGGCTGAATTGGGGATTGTTCGTGGGCGGACTGCCGGACTTCTAACCGTCCTAGGAGGGCAAGGACTATAGAACTGTTCGGGATGCATCCTATTGTAGCGATAAAGGTTAGAGGAGCGAGGAATTCTAGAAAAGGCACGCTGCCAAAGATTAGGAGATAAAGGTTGTCCATCTTCACCAATTTTTGGAGCGAAAAGGGGTTGAATTGAGGTTTGCGGATTGATTAGGTGTATGGATTCTTCTTCTAGAAGCCAATCTTCAAAGGTGCCGATGTGGCCACGCCGGGATCCACGCTTCTTTTTGCGGGGTAGAGGTTTTTCTGCCAGAGAATCCTTCCTTCTCAGAAGTATGAAACCGAGTCGTTTCACGTAGTCGTGGACCTAAAAGTTGGGATGATCAGGACAAATTTCAAACGAAGGTGGTTCTTCTGCACATACCTTTGATGGATCATCATAGAGGATATCCAATTTTCCGGGTGTAAATAACGTTGTCTTTTTCATCAAGCGCGGGAATAATTTGGATAAGTCGCGCCAAAGTATGCCTCGTTCCTAATTTCTTATTGAATTACAGAAATATTAAAGTACCGTAGACCATATCAGGCGATGGTTTTCTTCCAATTTCGGCTTCATTGGTCGCACATACTTCATTATAGCTGCCCACTCTTCTGAATTGAGGGCTCGGCAGTCGAGGGTGACCTAAACTTTGTTAAAACCTTCTATTTATTTTACTTACCATCAAATGAAAAGAAACCGCACATTCAAAGTTTGTAACTGGCTCTTGAACAAATCGTTTTGCCATGAGTTCAGCTCTTTCCATGCCGGAAATCCATTTTTCACGCATGTTTTCTAAATTGGGTTTGCTAGTTTTGCCAGTGTTTTTTTTTACTTACTCTCATTGAAGAAGGTATATAGGGGAATGACTATTAATAGTGCTACTCCTATCGCAACGACTGTTAATACGGTCCTGCTTAGATAGTACATAGGAGGGCGCAGCGTCGGGTATTTTAGAATTTGTAGTGGAGCTTCTGGGTCGGTTCTGGAATTTTTCGGCTGTTTGGAGCGATCCTACTATATATATAAAAAATAGTGTTTGTGTGTGTGTGTATATTTGCAGGGATGTTTGGCTTCCGTTTGGACGTTCCGCACCTACAGCCTCGGAGAAGCATTTTTCAGTAGGTAAGAAACGGCACTAGGTAAAGAAGGGGCCGGAACTCTTTGTTAGGGAGAAATTAGCATATGCCGGAAGTGAAGGTGGCTTATAAAAAGCAAGGGAGGCCTTGGTTTTCATTTTTTTTGTTGTTCGGTTTTGACAACTATTATGGAAAGTCAATACTTTCATAGGTCCTAGACGGGGGCCAGGGTTGAAAAGCCGCGAAGCGGTTTTTCAATCCTGGTATAATTTGAAATAATAGTCCGAAAAGAAGGACTTACGGACAGTCTACCCCTTTTATATTACAACGATGAACTCCAGGAATATATAATCCCATAGTATTGGGAGGCCGATTGCATCGTAGCCCTTCACAGCACACAGCTAGCATCCCTTTCAGCGTGTCATTCTCATTGTGATGTATAAGTGGACCCTAGACACAAACATTAGAGTACGCTGAGAGCTTTTTCTTACCCTGCACACCGGCAAATTATCGAACCCAGCTTGGCATTCCTGCTCACTATACATTGAGGTATTAGTGCAACTTTCCTAAACTAAAATACCTCTAAATTTGTAAATAACTTACCACAAACATCCGCTGTTGCCACGCCGTTGGCGTCCCGCAAAAATACGATTTAAAGAATTTTTTATACAATGGTAGTGGACGATGTGGAGGCCAATTTCTGAGTTCCATATTGAATTCGATGCTTAGGCAGTAAGGGGCTAAATGGTTCGTCATGATGGTTCAGATTCATAACTTACAGGAGCAATACTGGATATAGACCCCGGCGTAGTTGTTTCCGCCAAAGCATCGTCCGAGGTATGCTTCTTTGTTTTTCAAATAATGGGTGAGGATCTCGGAATTGGTCATCGGGATTATATAGAAGTAGAATAAAAGTAGTAACATCTTTCTAAAATGTTCTATGTAGTAAAAGCTGGAATTTCCGGATCACTAAATTTTTTTGGACTAAAACAGCTTGAAATTTCCAAGTTCTGCACATTTAAGAATTGTAAAACACGAGATTCACAAAATGCTATTTAAAACATTATATTCTGAAAATGCGAGATTTTCACCGGTTGACGAGAAAAGTCGTTCAATAATAGCAAATCAAGCGGCACAATCTATACGTGCTAAATTAGCATATTAATCGTTATGCAACTAAACAAGGGGCGGTCTTGAGCGCTAAATGATGCTGGATGGACGACCAGCTGGCACCTTTTATCTACCAGCCCAAGAGGGGACTTCCGTGTGCTCTGGTGGCCCAACGGTGGATATAATGAATGTCCTAATCCGCACGCAGGTGCTCTATGGCCATTAGCCACTGTCTGGAGCACGTAGTAACGCGCTTATGGCTAAGGCTCGCCTTGGCGTGAAACCAGAAATTTTCGGCTTAATTTTGGGGGTAGGGGGATGACCGGCCTACTTTAGGCTTATTGTGAGGTTGGTAGGAGGCAACAGGCAAAATGACATTTTTTGCAGGGTTGGTTGGTTTCTTTTTGCTTGGTTTTTCGAATCCTTGTGCAAAAAGCACCCCTCTAGCGGGCCGGAAGTGCGCGATGTTCACGGTTTTTGCATGTACCGACAGCCCCCGGAACCATGATAAAACCAGCGGCCTTCTTTTTCTAAATTAAGCCTTGTAAATACCGAGGTTTCTGTCGAAAGGAACTGTAAAAATAGATTTATTCGAGATCCACATGTTAATTTCCGACTTCACGCGGACAGATATTGTTTTTTTAGAAAAAAAGACTAGGGTTCAAAAGCCGCTTAGCGACTTTTCAACCCTGGCCCCGTCTCTGACCCCATAATTCTGCCCGTTGCATAATTGTCCTCCATTCAGAAGACAAAAAAATGAAAAAACCCTTTCTGCCTCTTTATATAGGTGACCACCTACTTCCGCTCTATGCTAATTATCCCTAACAAAGAGGTTTTTACAAAAACCTAAATTTAATAGCGAAAATGGCTAATTTTTAAAAATCTGATATGTGTGCAGTCATCCCTAGACCATTACGCACCTAATGACGTATCATACGTAGCCTAAAACCCGTCCCTTCTTGAGATATCCTCCGGACAGACAGACGGAAGTGGATGCAAAGTGGCACACACACACACACACAAACACACAGACACTATTTTTTTATATATAGTAGGATGATATCGACCAACAGAAAAAGATTTTTATAACACGAAATCTGTATTGTTTTAACCGTTTCCAAAGTTGATAATGTTATAAAAATCATTAAAACTTGTGCCTCCTTTGGACATCTGTAAGTAGCGTGTTCTAAAACAGCAAGTAAGACATATTTTATTACATTAACACCAAATATCATGGAAAGACACATTTTTCATTGCACATTGTCACGTCTGGCAAACAAAGATCAAGGGACGAGTATCGGATTGGAATTTCTGCAAATATCAGAATAGCATTATTAAAGCTGACAATTAGACTATTGGGCGGTTAATTGGTATAAAGGATCAATATGTCGGTGCGGGCTGTCAAAGCACAGATCTTGGCAATTTTGCTCGAAAACAATCGGGCGCTCGTTGCGCTCGACGGCTGGGTCGCAAGCCGGATAATCGTAGGGCATGCAAACCGGAGAACCAATCTAAAAGAAATTCGGATCCTGAGTAATATCGATTAAATTACCGGTCTATAATAACGTTTTATATAATAAACTGGTGTTCCGTCGGGGCATATCGTACGCTCGATTTTGCAACAACGAGGGTTACGATCACCTAGCAATTTCAGATTTAAAATTTGAAAGAAATTTTACAATCTCCATTTGATTGCTCTGGTGCCACGGTAGAATCGGCAGCCAGTTGTTGAACAATTTCTCGCGTTAGATATAGCATATCGGTGATCTCGCTAGCGTGCTTTCTGAAATAAGTCATTTAAAAGCACTACAAAGCTTAAAAACTCAATAACGCTAAGGCTTACTTTGTATTCGGTATGTATCCGGAATTTCGCTGCCATGTTCCTGGATCCGCCGATACGGCGGCGTCCTGTTCAATATACCGATAGGGGTCGGGCGTTGTAACTTTGTCGAGGGCTACCGTAGCCAAATCCCGGTTTCTTCCAACATCCGGTTGGTCCTTCGTCAAAAGTTCCGGATCAGGATCATCTTCCGGAGATTTCGGCTTCTTTGCCGTGGGTGGAGCAAGCTTCTAGGGCCGATTATCGTTTTTTCCCAATCTTACTTGTCTAGTTGTAGCAACCGGTGCTAAAGTTGTGTCCACCGTTGATCCAGATGTGACATAACTTTCTAAAATTTTTTCAAAAATCAATAAAGTCTTTATTTACTACCGTAATTTTTAGTCGACCAGCCGGCATCACGTTGTTGGTCCAATTTATAGTTTGGGCTGTTCAGGGCCCTGTGCAAAGCCTTGAAAAGCTTCCTGTTTTTCTTATAGGCTTTGACTATGTCATTGCTATGGCGAGCCGAATTGATGAGGGCAAGGTCAACTTGTGAGGAAGATTCTGTCGTTGCCTTGACGTCATCTTTGAAGTTGTTTTTGGGGAACGAGTCCCGGAAGTCGATAGTTAGCCGATTGATGTATCCGTGTATCCGGGCTGTTTCCTCTAAAGTTTGAGTGTACAATAATGCAGGGTTATGAACCTGTGACAGCCTCAGTGCGTACAGTATCATCACTTTGTTCCGGAGCTTCACTCGAGAAACCGGAAGTTAGTCCCACACTGCTGTTTTCTTGGCCATCTAAAGCGGGGATTTTCAGATAATTGAGGGTAGGAAACCTTCATAAAATGGCTTCTTCTTTCCAAGCAACGTCAAAACGGAATCCGGATCTAAGGAACCTAAATAAAATTTGATCCGTTTCGACAGGTGAATTTACCCTTATTCAACTCTTCTTCTATCAAGTTCAAATTTTCTGGTGTAATTGTTGCGGTTTGAAAAACGTATGGCGATTCAGTTGCTATTGGAGAGTTCGAATTTTCCTGAATTGCGATACTTCATAATTACCCACGAATTCTTACGCAAAATTCCCGCAAACAACGCCTTGTCTCATACAATGTAGGGCAAATTGGGAGTGGTGGATCAGCATAGCCATTCGATGCCATTGGCAGTGGTGGTATCAGAACATCTCTAGATACCACAAACATCACTCGGAACACTTTTTTCCTTACCGATTTCTAATCTGCACCGAATAATGGCAATCCCCGTAGCAACTTGACCAACCCGACCAGTCGCTCACCAGGCAATCTAAAGTCGAAAAAAGACTCGTTCCGCGCCTCACCCCCGCAATGATCTTATGGGGGGATTTTTTCGGAATTTAGCTGCGGGACGCCGCACTTTATAAGTCGCACCCCCCGGGCGGCCGTTTCGGATGTCACCCAACGCCGCAGGTGTTAAATAAAATGCAAACCTGAGGCGTGGGTTGTTTGCCAAAAAAGTGCGATGAAAGCGAGGCGGAGCATTAGCAGCGGGTTCTGAAGGAATGTGACTTGATCTGGGGTTTAAGTCAGAGTGTTACACATAGAGGTCCGAGATCGGGATGACATGCTAATTAGGATACAAACTTCAAACTCGACGAAAAGACGACTATAAGGTTTGCTTTGCATGTTAGTTTGCCTGTTATACGCGTCACATCCCTAGTTGGAAGGTCAGAGGAGAAGTAGAAATTCCGGTAATGTTAGAAATGTTAGATTTATTAAATGAAAGCAAACTGCGAAAGGGTTATTGATAATACTGTCCACAATAACTTCCAAAGCAAATTAAATAGCTGGAATCCTCAAGAATGGATGAGAAGGGGGACATTTTGGAGGATGCAATAAAGGGGTACTGTACCCGGGAGACGCAGAACAGCCTTTTCCTGACCGGATGGAAATAACAAACCATAAAGGTCTTTTAGATAAAAAACTAGCTCAAATAATAGGTGGCTGGTATCCAAGGCAAGGTACTGTAAGCAATTATCACAATTTAAGTGGTATATCATATTCTATCAAAAAGTTACATGATCGGAAATCCGTTTTCAAGCTCAAACCCGCCGAGAGACACAAAAATGGAAGCGGTGCATGTGGATCAGCCAGCTATGGCAAAAGATCCCTGAGGGGGTTGGTTGGATGGCCGCACTTGAGGCGACTGAGGGATGGGATCTAGGTGCTTCTTCAGGCCTGCAGCCATCCTAGTACCTGCCCTCTTTCGTCTCGCCCCCCACCCAGCTGGCCTCCCTTTTCCGAATCTTTCCTCTTTCCATCAATCCACCCTTATTCACCCTTTCTCTCCATTCCCCATTCACTCATTTCCTCATTTGGACACCGCCGCATTTTATGGCCTTTAGGTACGGTCCTCAGCATGCACGTAGGGCGCGCCTCCTGATTTGAATCGGGTGCAAGGAATGCAATAAACGGGGCGAGATCGAGTTGCCCGAAAATCGCAGATAATCTTTAGAAGGGATGGATTTTTGGAAAGTGGATTTTGTGGATTTCAAGAAAGCGTCAATTTTTTAGTTCGTGTTAATACCTATATTTTGCTAATTAATTTCCAGCTAGCCTGGAATTACGCCGTTTTTGGGGTTTGTTTACTGTGGATTTTGTGATAGCGATATTTACTTTATGTTAGGAAATTTTACTATTTAGAGGGCAAGACTGGAAAACTTATTGATAGTAAAAAATGGCACTTCGCATACCTTGAATTAGAAATTCCAGTCTTTCGCGAATAAGCACGAAAATTACGAGTCTCCAAAGCGCACATTCTTTTTCATCAGCGTGCCCAATCATCCCCAGATATGGGTTACCTATCCGTGAATGAGGCCATCTACCTCCAATTGAGATCTTGACGGAAGATGGGATCTTCCGGAGCCCCGGGACGGGATAGCCGTGAAGTTATTCGAGATCGAGCTCCGATCTGTCACTCGCTTCCAGGCAAAAAACGCACCGCGTGTTGCGTGTTTTAGGCAGCACATTCCAAGATTTCAGGATTTTACGGTCCGGATACCTGGCGAAGAGCCAGATTTTCTGGGTTCCTTGTGGTCAAGGTGCTTTGGTTAGAGTGCGAAAATTTGTTTTTAAATGTCGGCTATAATGTAGGAGAAATGAGGTAGAGAAGAGATAATTGGTTGAAAATTGCTGCCTTTAAAGGTCCATAAAGGCAAAGATAACACCAATTAGGAAACGATAATTGTCTGGGTGTCTGATGAAACGTGTGAGATAAGCATTCAAAACTGGCTTGTTCCGAATACGTATATTGAGCTTAAGAGTCACATGCAGCAATGCCATGCGCGACATAGCCATTGTCGGTTATGCAATTAAAAGCGTGGGACAAGGCTAATAGCTGCTGGAGGCGTCTAGCTCAATTCAACCCTCCCGACCCGCACCAAACCGTCTGTCTCTTTATACTTCACCTTTTTCCGACACTTCCCTATACATGGTTCTATGAATACCCCCAGATGCAAATTGCAGGCAACGGGCAACGGGCATGAAATATAGTTCCTTGAAGGGAACAACCAAAGAACAAGCTGACAGGTTCATATTTTCAACTCATTCAGATTTTCTTTTTTTACTCTTTAGGACAATGGCACGAGTAAATAAAAAGCACCTTGTTTTTAGAATGAAAATCATTGCTCGTTCACTCAACTTCTTTATTAACCGAATACTTGGAATTGAGCACAGCTGGCCCCTTTTTACTTGGCGGCACCGGGAAACGTTTCTGGAACTCGACATCCCAGGAGGATTTGATGCGTTCAAAGTATTTTGCGTCCACGCTGCTTTGCTCAAGGGGCTGGCCTGAATTTGAGTCGGTGTCTGCCGAGCTGCGGAAGACTTACCGGTAGCCGCAATTAGCATTGGGTTGACGGTGTGGTTTAGGCCCCAAAGCTTCCTCAATTCTTCGCGTAGCGGTGGGGCGGCCCAAATGGTTAAGCCGAGTTGGCCCATTAACTAGACATCGTTGGGTTAAATCATTGGGTGATGCTTTACCTGTATACTAAAAATGTAGAAAAATACCCATGCGTAGTGTAATATATCTTCTGGAACGCCGTCTTGCCACACTCGTTGGTAAGCTATTAATATAAAAACAGTTGATAGACATTTGAAAGGAGCTATGTAGACAAGCATCCGCGCTGCTTGCATATTTCTGCTTGTAACGTATCTTAAGCGGCATTTAACAATCATTAGAAAATTCTGTGGTATACCTTTGATCTACAGAGGCTGTTTTTCTTGCCCTTGTCCTTCTATACTTATGGTTACATACGTAGTGCAACGTAACATAAATCTACAAGCAATATTTTAAAGTCAAACTGCATATTTTTTACCAAAGCTGTCATCAAGCATATAGCATATTCGCAGCAGATAAACGGGGTCCTTGGAATTATATTTCGGTAATAAAGCCCCAGGTTTACTGCAGAGGAAACGACCTAAACCCTCAATAGCTCAATGAAATTTTCATGTACTCACAGCGATAATTAAGAACAATACACCCATAATTTTAGTTTCGAACATATCGTCGTAGCTCTCAGCGTACATTACAGCAATCAACCTCTCGACCGAGATCATTAATATTATCGAAACTGCTGAAGCACCACCTAAATTTGAAAACATCCATATCCCCTGATCCTTAACTTACAAACATCCCGTGCAAATTCTAGGTAAAATAAGGTATCATCACTATAACAGTGTGTTAAGTACATCACGTGTCGTATACATCGACACCCAAGATTTGACACATGTACACACGCCAGTGATCTCAACAGAAAATGGAGATTTGGGTGGCAGAACTGGAAGAAAAAGATGATGAGGCTGGCCCAGTCGCCGGAGGGAACAATACCTTTTTACGCATCATAAGCATCTCAAAGATAATCACGGTAATGAGGGCCAGCGTGAATAAGATGCATTCTCCGAGCTAAATGACCAGGTAACCAACAAGGGGATCAATATACCAACCCTAACAAAAACCAAAAATACTAATTTACGGCGATTTTAGCGGAAAACAAAATTTTACAAAAACCTAGACAGAAATCCTGGCGGCATTTGTCATACAACCCACAAAATTATGCGTACAACTTACATCAAAATAAGTGAACGTTTTCTTTTGTTTCAAAATTTCGACGGATTCGTGCCAGACCATCGCGAGCAATGACTGTCGAAACAAAATGGCTCCCCCGTCTGTGGCCGCAGGTGAAACGGCAGATTTAGAATTCCCTGCAAAAATTCAATCGGCCATCGGCGTCGAACCGGAGAATTCTGGCCGGTCGCACGTCTGAAAATTAATTTTCGGAAGGGTAAGTACTCTCGGAAGGGCCTGGAGAGCATATACCAAACATTCGAAGCCAAATGTGCTTTCAACCCCAATTTCCAGGGCTAATCTATAACGAGAGATCTGTTCAAACAAGTACTTTGCCGGGATCACAAAAACTTCAGGGTGCAGCAAGCTAAAAATTGAATTTGCCGCGGGAAATTCTGTTTCCAAATGGAGCCTAAGCGTGGGGCGTAATTATGAAATAACGGTTTTTCAGAGTCAAAGGCGCCGCGCGGAGTGTAACCGCGAAAATAGGCGCGAGGGGCGGGACTCCGCGCATGCAAGGAGCTGTAATTTGTGAGCAAAGATCCGTTAAATGGTGCTCTTTTTATCAATTAGTGAGGTTTCGTTGTAGCTGGTATTTATCTTACTTTACCCTGGGCTTTAAGAAGCTTCGGGTGACAAAAAAAATAGAGATTCCTCAAGAATATGACTCAGACTTTCAGGGATACTATCATCTGGTACTGTATTCATAATATATATAGTTGATAATAGCAAAAAATCGTTCCAGGTTTGGCGAAATCTTGGCAGTTATTTAATACCGATGATAAGTCACGCGCTCAGACACCCGACTAAATTGAGCAGACATCAAAATCGTGGGAATCTGACAGAAAAATTCCACATCTTGAGTATTGTATGAGAATTTTCCTGAGAACTCTGGACTACGGACGCCTATGCAAAATATTCACCATATTACGCATTGGACAGCGATGAAAACAAATAAATGAATCAATAATTTAACCGGTCTTATCTCAAAATCACCTTAAAACTCATCATCTAGTTGATGCTACGATCGTTTTTACACCTTCCCACTATCTAGCTATTTCACTTGTCTAAAAACTCCGCTCCCGCGCTTTTTATTTTATCTGAAATCTCAAACTTGTACCGGAAACCGAAAATTGGCGTTGTACGAGCACGGACAAGCGGCCCAACTAGCCGAAGAATACCCTCATACTGAAATCAATACAAAATGACTGATACGATTATTAGCTATATACGCGGCGATACGCTTTGTAGCTGCTGATGCATGAATCCCACGCCATAAGGGCACACTTTTGTTATTGCAATGAGTCCGTCGCTGGCTGGCGAAAGTCATTTAAATAGACTTGCAAAAGCAAGCGGAAAGGGGCTGAAAGTTGAAAAGAATAGCTGGTGGTAAGCTTTTCATCAGTGTTTGGCTTAGTTAGCTTTTTAGCTTTGCTAATACCTGCTTTATTTGAAAGGTGCGCTTAAGAGAAGTCGTTTTAAACTAACAAGAAGATCAACGTTAACGAAAAGTGTAAAGTGCAAATTAAATCACAGATTACGCAACGGCCAGTCCGCTGCGTCTAGAAGTGATTGATTCACTGGCTTACGTACTGGTTACTGATTCTGATTTTTCACGGCGTCGTGACGCTAGAAAGACGTCCGAAGATCTGTCTCAATTTTTCGTCCACCCACCCCAGCTCTTTCTTGCTGGTCCGATTAGTCGATGTACTTCCATCCCATGAACGGCTTCCCCCACATAACAAGATTCAACATATCGTTTATGTTATTTTTAGCTACCCGGAAAGCTATTTTGAGACAGTTAGGGCGATCGAGTGGAGGATGTGGACGAGGGAGATGACGTTGAGAGGGTCCCAGAGGGGCGGATCTAGGGGGCCCACCGAGGGCCCAGCCCAATCCTCCTCTACCCTCCCGGTATGGAAGCACATATACGTAGAGGCTGTAGGAGGTGCTTTAGATGTTTTTTGTTGCATATACCGTTTTTAGGCGTGATCTTTGATTTGTATATTTATTAGCTTCGGAAGCCTAGTTTTGCTTATTTGTGGGACTGGGATACCATTTCAGCTACCGTAATCTGAACATCCGTGTCAGGCTGGAGTGATTCACAAACCTCCGGGTCCAAAATCCAGCCCAATTCTCACCTAAATCAGGATTTCGCTCTTGCATCCAATTTTGATGATGCCATAAGCCAAAAAGAATGGCAAAACCAGCCTGGCATTTTGATGAGTAGTTCAGTGAGAACATTGTTCCCACCCAGACGCTACTCGGAATGTTAGGATACTCACCATACCTCTCTACCTTTCCTCCCCTACTACTTTACCCTCTGATCGCTAGAATCCAATCCCCTCCTCCAACCCAGGAACCTATCTAAAAATACCCCCTTCCCAACTGCTCGGTACAACCACCAGAAAACGACACCCGACCGATAGCGCAAGATATTTTCAAACGCCCTTCCCCCCAAATTTAATTTATCCAAACATGGCAGCCGTCCGCTGTCAAGTAAGGTATTGCGTGGAAGTGCCTGTCACTTTGGACACTTATTTGGTGGGCCCTATGGTGTCATTTATTGAGTTTTAGAAGCAGGGGTGTGTGTTTGGGGGTAGATGGGTAAGGTCTCCACAGATCTCATTCCATCTACTTCGCCATCCTCTGGACAGCGCCAGGGGTAGAGCCCCCCCCTTCGAAATCCTCTTTTCCCGGAAACATGAAAGATGGGCCGTCATCCAAAAACCCTAGCCATGGCTATGCATATCCTTCGGTGCCCTAAACTTTCTGACAAATGGCCCTGTTTCTTCTGGCATCTGAAATATTTCATATAGGTTTTCGTTTTTCGTGTCGCGTGGGCCCTCTCACGGGCTCCCAAAACAAGCATTCACTTTTTTTATTATTAGCTTTTTCAGCACAAATGTTGGGTAGCCAGACGTCGGCCTCACTTCTCTTAGGACTTGCATCAATTGCACTCGTTGTCTATGCTGATGAACAAAAAGGTAATACTATATTTCATTATATATTTGGGAGGCAAGTGAGGTAGATGAAATCAGGTGGTGCTCTATGGCATTAATTCCTTATGCGCTCCCAGGGCGTTGCTTTGTGCCAAGGTTAGAGGTCTAGGGGTAAAAAAAGGTAGTGGGTCATAGAGCTTTGGATTGTTTTTTGGATCTGGGAATGGCTTTAGATACCCTGGTATGTCTGTGGATTTGTTATAACTTTTATTTTAAAGGGATGGTGACATGAAAGGTTTTCCGTCTAGTTTCCGTTTTCTCGATACCCGGCACTTTTTCTCACTTTTCTTTCCGGCTCACCCGCTGACAAGGGGCGTTGGGTGAGAGTGTAGATGATGTATAGCACAATCCGTTTCCGAAGAGATTCCCCCTTCGCACTTCCACAGCAGATTGGGCCCAGGGCCCACAACCGCCAAATGTTTTTCCCCCCACCCTGGGTCCCTAGGGGTTTTTTATCGCACCATAAAGGCCCCGGCGAACCGGGTTTCAGCGGGTACATTGGAACAACGGTGGTTTCAGGGTATTTGGAAGCTTCTATGTGGAGGCACATCGTTTTTGTGTGTGTGTGTGTGTGTGTGGGTAACATGATCCTGACGTAATTTGGGGCGATGCAGGGGTTGCCGGTGATTGCCGGGTAATTAGCGGGTCGAATTGAATTTCCGGGTTTAGAGTTTTTGAGGTTCTTAGGCCGTTGAACAAGAATTTTTGGCAAAGGGGAAATTGACGCTTGAAACGAGCATCCTTTCCATTAGATTGTTTTGCGGAGCCCTAGACGGAGTGCTGCGTACGTGGATAGGGAAATCTGGTTAGATGTAAATTTGGTTTCGACAACCTGGGGAAACGTGGAAATGGGAGATAAAAGAAAAGTGTGGTTCAGAGTTCGGCTCGTCCGGATACGAGGTAGATGGTCAGGAGCTGTATCCGAACGAGATGGCGAGGCCCATCCAGTTCTTCGATGACTACTCTCGTTTCGTCAAGAGGGGAGGTACGATAACAATATTCTTTGTATTAATTAAAATGCTATAAGATACTGAATATATTAATATATTAAAAAAATAAAAGCCATGTTCTAGCCAATTTCTAAAAGATATGATACAGTTTTAAAACCAATTTTTTAGTCTTGTACTTTTTGCAGCAAAGATCTTTCAGACATCGATGGTTCGATGCCTGGTGTGCTCCGTTTCGGCAAGCGTGCCCAATCCTTCATCCGATTCGGCCGTTCCGACGGTGACGTAAGTTTGCTAACACCATAAAATACTAACATCACCCCAATACAGAACTCCATGGAAAAACGGGACGCCAGATCACTTTTCGTACGTTTTCAACGCTGGCCCCACCAACCCCTCAAAAAACTCTATACTGTGCTTTATTAGGAATGCGGCAATTTCGCGAAAAACACAACAATTTATAGTGAATTTTTATGTTTATAGATGCAAAAGAAGGAGATGCCTGGCGTCCTTCGGTTCGGCAAGAGGAGTCAGCAGGAGAAGAAGAGCATGCCCGGTAATTTTTAGAGTTTAGTTTGCAAGGGTTGGAGCTCGGGCCGGTATTTGGTCCAGACCACTACTACGAAGTTTTTTCGTCGTGGATTGGTTGCAGCCCCAACCCCCCGTCGAGATTCCATTATCCACGCACCCCTCTCCAATGATGCCCAGTCACAATAAAATTCGTTAAAGCGGCCTGGAAATTGGACTCCAGTCCCCGGGAAAACAGATTCACAAAGACCTAAGCCGCTAGGTCGGGGTGGTGCTTTTTAGAAAATAGGGGTAAAGAGGGAGGGGGAAGGAGCTACTTTGGTCTAATCAAGCTGTCCAAAATTATTCGAGCGTTTGTAATGTTAGTTAAGAGCTTTCTGTTTTAGTACGTCACAGTAATGAAAGCAGCGATGCTTGAGAGAGGGGCATTGTTTTAAGAAAAAGCGTTGTTCCTTAAAACTCACCTAGCAATACCAAAATGCTTTTCTTTTCAGGCGTGCTCCGATTTGGGAAGCGCTCGGACATGCCCGGGATGCTTCGATTCGGAAAGCGGGATGAGATCCCCGGCGTGCTGCGTTTCGGCAAGAAATCGGTGCCCGGAGTGCTCCGTTTTGGCCGAAAGTAGAGAATGGGGAACAATATCTCTGTGTGTTAGGGCCCTGTAGCCCGGGCCCCATCCAATGAGACCCAATATTCACATCAACCACCTTTATCTTCTCACTCTCTCTCTCTCACATGACACTCCCTAGGAATTGGCTGGGCGGCCGCAACTTGTATTAAAAAAAGGTTTTTGCATGCCGTGTTTTCCAATAAACGGTTGTTACTTGTTGTGCGGAGATGGAAAGTCAAATGTTGATTGAAAAAGGGCAAATTTTACAAGAAAATACACCGTAATTATAACATTCTGCAAAAAGAAGTACTTATAAATATCCGGACTTTGTTGGGGGATACAAAAGTGGCCCATTCCAAGCGACATTTTCTCACTTGCAATATCCAACAATTGAATTTCCTGCCAGCTGCTATCCCGCGAAGCCCCACCCAAAACTTTCGCTTAGATAAAGCGAACGCTGACGTCAAACTCGCAAAATCCCCGGGGACTTATCTTGGGTATTTTTCGGGTGTGGCCCAACCGGGTTGGAAGCCTTTATTTACATGCAAGAAAGCCACTTTTTTAAATAGCTCATACTGCCTCTTCGTCGCTTGTCGCGGGGGCGTCATCAATCACTTCGGCGGACTAAAATCAAAGAGTTAGATGCCAGATAGAAATTACCCGTTGCTTAAATCGTCCGTAGTCTGACGTTCCCTGCGAAAATTCATCCATAGCTGGAGCCGCTTCATCACCAGCAATTCCTTCCTCCACATCACTCCTTGGCTGTCCAAAGCCGGTAAAATCAACGCCACCCTCCTCTTCCTCGTCAGGATTTTCCTTTCCCACCTTCTCAGCTTTCTCTTCAGCACTACTCTTCTCGACAAACGATCCACTTTCTTCGAGCTGCTCCAAATATTTTTCATCGGCCGTCTCGTTCTGGTCCAAAACCGCCTGAAATTGCTTAATGACTTGAAAACAAAAAATATCACCTGCATCTTGACCCGAAAAGATTCCATTAATTGTGCTTGTAGCGAAACGAGTTCCAGATACCATGTGACGAAAGCACGAAGCTTAGACATATAATCATTCCGAAAGAGAGTACCTTTAGGAGTTCAACTCGTGCATTATCGGCAATATGACGAGCCTGACTCTTGAAAGCTTCAATCTCTTGTAAGCGCCCTTCACGAATGAATTCTATCCGTTTTGGAGCATTCTAAAAATCAGTAAATTAAGAAGAGAGAATTAAGAAAACCACCGAATTTTTGTCGTTGGCTTCTTCCGCACTAAAATAGGAGTATTTTGTTACCTTGGGGAAGAATACCTTTTGATCGACTCCTTTTTATTATGTTCGAGGTGTTCAAGCACAGAAGTTTCCAGGTTACTAATATACTACAAAGATCGGGTTTACTAACCGACACCTTTTCGACTTACCATAACACTGGCTTCTACTGAATTTGACAACATTTTTTGATTGGCATCACCGGCCGAATTCCGATTTAACATATGACAAATTGTACACGGTAATAGTATAGAAAAAGTTAGAAAACGTAGTAGCATCTTGACAATCAAAGGCCGAATGGAGGTAGACAAACTATGCGTTGATCACGATTCCTTCTCTCACCCGCCCTTTTATCACTAGACCCCCGCTGACGGAGAATTTATAAAAACCACAAAGAGGATGGACTCTGTGGAAGGAACGGGAAAAGTGTCGCTTGTATTTGGAAATCATCCAATTAGCTGTGCTGAGGATCGGCTTGCGGTCAAATATGGAAAATATTTATTTCGAAAAGGATAAAGCTATATGAACTGGAGCAAGGGCGTTGACGTTATAGGTTCTAAACGATATAATTATCAAAATGAGTATGGTAAATACCTTTTCGCAGTAAGTTCCATAGTAAGATACAGGACATAAGCATGCCATTCCGACAATGGTACCACCATTTTGACAAATCGGATAATCGCAAGTCATGCCCCAATGATTCGCGTCACAGTTGCAAAAACCGAACGAGGTTAGGTTACCGCCTTTGTGGCATGCTAAGAGAATCCTTTCATAAGCCAAAAACTAAGCTTACGATTTTCGTTGAAGGATAATTGGGTAATCGTGTAAATAGCTGTGCGTGAAAAGTCCGTTCCATTGCTATCAACACCGCGGAAAATGATTTGGTAATCGTGGTTGGTCTTGTCCAGCTAGAGAAGGTCTGTTTTAGAGTACTTTTCCACCACTTACGACAAAGTATTCGCTGATGAATTGATGTGAGCAGCCATAAGGGTATCGTCGGTTCATACGCACGGAGAGGCCGCTAACCAGACTTCCATTGTAGACGTCCTAAGCATTTCTGATCTAAATGAAGCCCTAGAAACCTTGGTAGCAACATCGATTCCTTGAATCATGGCCCCATTCTGTCTGTCGATATTAGCAATTTGGCCGGTCACGTAGATGGATGAATTTTTGATATTGAGATCTTAAACAGAACGTTGAAAAATTAATTTTCCCGAATTAACGGATTGCGATTCGCTTACTGGTAGCTCCTTGGAAGCTGGGTTGAGAATCTGGATAATCGCTGTGCAGGTCTTCCGTGAAACCAGCGGCCACTTGGATTGGAGAGCGAACACTAGAATGGAACACTCGATACCAGCTATCCTGATTACCGTGCTTGAATCTGACATCTCTTCGTAGCGGCGGAGATGCTGATGTTCCATTTTCCGACCAAGGTAACACCGGTATCATTATTGCCTAGTAGACATATTTAGACCTTTCATATTCGGAAATCCTACGGAATAGATAAACAGCCGATCCGATATCACTGGACAGAGTGTTGTTTTGATTGAGTGTTACCTTCTTGCCTAAATTTCAAGTAATTAAACATCCGATGATCCAGCTCACCAGCGCCATCAATGAGCGCCACTCCAGTGGCTGCATTCAGCCCAGCAACATCGATGTACAATTCCGTAGCCACGGATTCCACAGAGACCGTAAGCGAAAGTCCCTTCGAGCAGTCGATAGTCGCAGCATCAGAGACCAGGGCGTGTGCTCGAAGCATCGAGCCGATTAGACGTTCAGCCTACGGAACTTTTGGAAATTTTGGATCGGCTTACGTTATTGGCCAGGCTGGAAACAGTCATGGGCAAGAAACGGCCACCGCTTTGGTAGGCAACGGTGTTGAGGTAGTCAAAGTTAGGTACAGTCACATCCAGGGATGGGCTGGTAGCGGTGTAGATGAAGTTAATCTTTGTAGTTTTCAATTATTGCCTGATTGTGATGGATTTTTCTACCTGGGTGCCTTCTCTCGGCTTGAGATCAGCCTTAGCCGATGCTTTGTTGGTGTTCGAAGCCGTGATAATGATGATGATAGATGGATTCTGGGCAGCAGGTGCTGAGGTCATACCATGAAGCTGAAAGATTGCATGCAAATTTTTGTTTCCATTTTCTTTACCGCAGAAATGGCGAGATCGGTTCGGATCATCGCGGATGCATCCTTGTAGGTTGCATCAGCCATTAAAAGGTTGTTGACATAGTTCGAGAAGCGGAGCGAGTCCGGGGTGATAATGTTTCGGGTGATACCTTAAAATATTAGCTAGATTGGGGGTAGTTTAAACCTTGATCATCATAGGTAACAAGTGCATATTGGGTGCTGAAGTCATCTTGCGCGATTTCGGCCATGACTGACATAATCTTGGCAGCGAAGGCTTTTCCCTGAAAATAATATATGCTGGAGTTGTTGCTTGTTTTTTTTCTATAATTTCTTATTGCATACCGCCGCCTTATTCGCCGTCGTCGTTTCAACTCCAAAAGCAACCGTTCGGAAGTTTGCCGTTCTCGGGTCATGGGCCAAATAGTAGTCCCAGCTTGTGCACATGGCTAGAATAACTTAATCTTCCAAAAAATAGCATTCTTTACCATATTCACAGAACTCTCCGCCAAACAATGCCGGACACACGCAGATTCCCATCGTCAAATTCCCTTGATTCTGGCAGTTCTTATTTTCACAGTTGTCACCGCTGTAGTTTGGCAGGCAAACGCATTTGGCTAAAAACGCAAATTGCAAATTGAAAACCTAAGTGTTTGTACCAGTCTTATCATCGTAGGTTCCGCCGTTCAGACATGTTGTCTTGTCGGTTCGGCAGAAGGCCCGCACCACACGGTTGAGAGTAATATCCGAGGTTTCGACAGTGACCTTGAACAAAATTTGGGGAGCAAGATCATGAAGTTATACCGTAATGAAGAACTCATCGTTGGCCTTGGTGCAAGCGAAAGGAGCCGTGGAATATTGATCGTAAAGGCATGAATCCTGGCGGGTGATCAATTGTTGTTGGAACTTGAAGAGCGGGAAATCCTTTTCGGTTGCTGAAAAATAGATTTAGGTTTGTCAGAAGCCATAAATGGTCAAACAGCAAGTAGCCTAAGTACTTTTGAATAATACTACCTGTAATTGTGACTTTCGGCCTGCTCTGAAGGGACGTCGATAGACGAACAGCTGGGTACAGTGGAGCTTCTAAAGCGCAAAAAGTTTGTATATGAACAATAACCTACGGAGCTGAGGATTGGCGAAAGACGAATCCGATGAGGGATCAGTAGCAAACGTAATAAAAGCCGAAAGTGGTGTCTGTTCCAAAACGTACACCGAGCACACGTCTCCTCCATTGCCGACAGTGATTTGCACGCTAAAAATGATCAACTAACGTTTAGCTATGTTTCGCTTACTCTCCAGATAGATCTCCAGGTTCGTAAACACCAAGAGATGGAATGCTCGACATTGAAGGTAGCACAATGTTCGATCCATTGCTCACCGTCACCGTGAACCCGGTGGTTGTGCTGACTAATCACAAGTGTCAAAAAACCAAATGCTCTCGATCTCACTTGAATTGGCAATGATGAAGAATTTTTGGTCTGGCAGCATCTTCTTATAGCCGAGTTGGATTGGATCTTTGCAGGATTCGACGCGCAATGCGGCCACTTCGGTGAGATAGTCGTGCTTGGTGATGTAGTAGCTGAGGAACTGCAAAAACTTTGGTCTAATTGACTAAAAATCACATTGAAAGCACTGGTAATATTTGTGTCGTCGCGGCAGAGATCGACCAGAACACCACCAGTCGCCCTAAAGGGTTTTTTTTTGTAAAAAGTAACGATAATGAAATTTACATCGCCAAATCTTGATAGACATTGGCATCGTCAAGAGTTACGCAACTGGAGATATCCTGAAACGAAATATTGATTGTAATGATTTCGTTACGCCATATTTTGAGATCAGCACAACGTTGATGCGCATCTGACGGGCGATGGCTAGCTCCCTAAAAGACAACATTTTTCCGCCTGCGATTTTCTTGACGAACTTGACAACAGCGAGCGTATTGTTTCCATCACCAGAGCTGGCCTCATTCACGAAGGCGTAAATGGCGGATCGTGGTTTGCTCATGGCAAGCAGTGTCGTGATCAGCGCCGAGTATACGGAATTGTTGCGTCCGGAAGCGCGGCTAAAGCTCGGGTTCACGTTTGACGTGGGGACTTCCTTACGTGAATTGCAACGAGGCGGTTTCATTCTTGAAAACGTCAGCCAGCTTGATGTTTTCCGAGCGGATTACTGGCCCGGCACTAGTAGAGCGGAATTGGGTTAGAACATATTCAATGTAGTAGCCGGGCGCTGAACCATTGACGACTTGGCCGAGCAGAGATTGAAGATAGCTGATGGTGTGAGCCTAGGAATTGATCAGAAATTAATCTAAAATCAATTACGCTAGCAAAATCGTTCTGGATAGCAACACCGAATGAGCGGCGAGTGGCGTCGATATCATCACCGCTGGTACGGTTGCAAATCACTGTAAAAGGTTAGTGACCGGTAATAAAAACCAACAAGCATCGCAGAACGTTCCACTGTAGCCTGGAGGGCACACGCAAATAGGTTGGCCATTGCCGGCAAAAACATTAGCTGTACCGCCATTCACGCAGATTGGAGTCTATTCTTGAAGTAGGGCTTTAATGAAGTGCAGATACCTGGCAAACATTTCCTTGGTAGTTTGCAGTGCAATTGCATGCATTATTGGCCACAACACCTCCATTCAAGCATTTCAAGGCGGCTGGGGTGACGGCGGCTGGAAATCGAAAATAGAAAATTTCGGGCTAGGAGCTTACGGGCAGAATAGCAATAGTTCGGCACCAGATGGATTTCACCATCGATGTTGAATTGAGAGGTGAACGGGCCGGGGGTGCAGGCATACGCGCTTGGGATGGTCCAAGCAAATGTGCAATCGTTGAAGTTGCTAAAACATTCGAAAATTCTCGAAAATAAAGTTTTACAGACGTTCTCTTCTTTATCTGTTCCAGGCTGCCCTGATTGGCCGTGTCATTGGCGGCGATAGGTGTCCACGGGATTGTCAATTCCAAGACGTTTTTGCCAACGACGAGGACGTTGTGGATCAGCGGTAAACCTGGAATGGTATAGCTATTTTTAACGCCATCTGCCGTTATGTACTTGTAATTTTTGTATTCCTTACCCTGAACGACCCTGACGTCACCATTATCAAAGTTACCATCGTAGGTAAAGGCATTGAGTACGGCGACTTTTGAGCTAACATAGGCTCTGAAAAAGGTAATTCAAAGGGGTTTACCAAATTTTAGACCTGGCTCCACAATAATCGGAATCGCTTGCCGCGACATTAATAGATTTGATGTTGCCCAGAGTATTCTGGATCTCATATTGCTGAAAAGAAAAGGTTAATTCGAATCATCTTGGCTTACTTTCAAATTCCCAGTGCTCTGCGCCGTTCTAGGCTGCACGGTTGTTCCGTTGGTGTACGTGACGGTGGCATTCACGACTAAATTGGCAAATTGACGATGTAAGCTGTCGGCCAACCTGGGTTGTACAAATTTAAGTGGAAGGTCGAATTGGGAGGGGTGATCGAAATGCTCTTGCAGAGGATGGCATTTGCAACGTAGAAATTCTCAGCATTGATGTGCCATTCCAGGGTGTTGACCAGGACCTAGAAATTATCCGAAATAGACTTTTCAAGGGGTCGTTTTACCCTTCCAATGCCATTTTGGGATTTCGGGATAAGATATGCATCGCCGTGGGCGGCTTCAGCAATCCAGAGCAAAGTCTAAATTGTTTAAATTACTTATGTTAGTTACTTCCTTCGATCATGAAAAGCGGGAATTGGTGAAAAATTACCGTCCAGCTTTGAGAGTTTGTTGGATACTGCCCAGTAGAAGCCGTCAAAATGTATTGTGGCTAAGATGATAAATATATTTTTTCAGGGTTTGACAAAGCTTACGTGAATCCTCCAGCTCATCAGATAGTTGACCAGCTTGGCTTGAATGCTTTGATCATTCTAAACATCAATTTTTTTCCACCTATTGTTTTGTCTCACGATGCTATGGCTGATCGTGACATAATCATTAGCTTCAGAATCCGCAAACAGATAAAGGAAACTACGTCCACGCTGGTTGGGGTAGCTAAAAGAGCCTGTTTTCTAAAGTTCGCAAGTGTACCTAGTAACGGTCTGTGCCATTGCGGTGATCAATGGTTGCGTGGGGGTTCCAGAGGCTGCTTGAATATTATCCATAGCCGCAAAAAACAAAGATTGGTTGCTGAAGCCATCAGTTTTCATGTAGGTACCGCCCTGGGCGGCTAAAAGGTATTTTTAAATCGAGGAGTCTCTAGGATCCCACTTTGAACAAAGGTCGTGAGTACAAATGTCCCGTAATAGTTGTTGTACAGCGAGTTCAAGGAGCTGACCAAGGCACGGGTATTGGTGATGATATAGTCTAGATCTTGACCCATAGTTTCCTAGAAAAAGTTTGGATTTTTGGGTGTGGCATACAGCTCGTGTGGAGATTGTGTAGTAGAGGGTGCCTTGGGTAAAATCGTAGTTGTCGTTGACGCCAGGGGTGCAAGAGCCTGAGTAGTGTTTTTGAATAATTAAATTTTTTAAACGCACGGGCTTGACAATGTTCACTCTGGAATCCGGGCGGGCAGTTGCATTTTCCTTTAGTGTCCAAGACACCACCATTGGCGCAGTTGTGGACCTGAGAACGTAAGGAATCACTTTGTATATGTTATACCTCGCAGCTATCGCCAGAATAGAATGATGGACACGCGCAGGTAGCGTTGGGGAATAGAACTCCTCCATTACGGCAGAAAGCAACTGGGGCTCCGACGGCCTCATCTTCATACTCGATCGGGGGAACGACACCTACAACTTGTCCTTTTTTCGATCACTACACTCTTTCAAGACCCTAGCAGTAAATCTTGCTCCTGGAAGGAAGACTTTTTTCTTATATAATCCTTTCACCCCCAATCTTCCTTCTTTCGCGTAAATCTTCAAAGCCTGCCCCGCTTCAAATCACTTATCAAAACGTTTGTGGTGTGGCAAGGCCATAAATTATCCATTTTTTTCGGGCCCTTATCAGTTGGGCGTATATTGCATAGGCGGTAAGCCGGATTCACACTTACCAACTTCTGCAAGGTGGAAAAGCGTCACGACGGCTTCTTTCTGCCGGAAGATAGTGGAAAGCTAAAAAAATCACATAAGTTTGGGTTGGTCGAATTTCGGCAACCTCGGCTCTGGAGAGGGGTGACTCGAAATAGCCGACGAGAACAGCCAATGGATCATTCACCTGTGCTCCATGGATTCTGTAAGGGGTCGTATAAGTAGATATTTGACCCTCCGGGTCTGTGCTTAAGTTTGAACTTACTGGATTTGTTCCAACTGGAACGAGATCAAAGAGTCCCCGAGGACCTCGACAAACTGGAAAAATATTGATTATTATTTATTGCCTATTTCGAATTTTTCAATCGAAACTAGCCAGCTAAAGAGCTCCAAAGAGCGCTTCCATTTTTAGACCTCGGACAATAAAATTCTAGCTAATTGCGAGCTGCCGGCAATAAAGATAACGAGAAATTAGAAAGCGAAGCTAGCTCATAGACCAGAAGAATTGTGAAAGGGCGAATCGGAGCGGATATTATGAACTTGTGCGAAAATTTGGACTTAGACTTGGATTCACCCGTTGCTTGGCGAGATCTTGCTTTTCGAGGAGTACGCTGGCTCGGCGCTCGGAAAGTCTTGCGCCATCTGTTGGAATCTCATGGCCGATTCGTCCCTCAAAACGGTACTGTGCTCCTGAAATTGTGGGGAGTTAGGAAAGGTGGAGTTATCGCTCGTGAAAAGTTAAGAAATACAGTGCTGAAAGTATTGCGAATTCTGCGCCTTGGTCACTATAGTAAGCTTACATTATACCCGCCTCCAAAACAGCAGAAAATAAAAATCGGGTCGGAAAGGCGGAGTAAGACTTTACTTTACCCCCCCCGCCCAGCCGGAATTTCCCCGAAGACAGTACATTATTTTGGCTGTGATTAAAACTCATCGTATATTTTTTGATGCTCCATCGATTGACGTTCTCAAAATCCCAACAAAATAGCGGAGATATCGAAAAACTTTTGGGACTTCCGGCTGAGGGCGGGGTTGGGGGTAAAAAGTCTAGCCGAAGTCATAGCCTCGGCGGGGGAGTTTAGCCAAATATGGAAAATCCTAAGTAGAATTATTTTGCACAGAATTCGAGCTCTGACCAGACCACTAAAAAAAACGGACGACTATACAGTAACCAAAGGCACATTAACCAACCCACTACAGTCAACGCTCAAAATTTACCTTGCACAGCAGCGACGAGGAGTAGGAGGATGATTCCTCCACGAGTCGCCATCGTGTCCGCCGCCCGGGGGATGGATATGCCTTATCGCTTCGTAGCTTCCAACGGCTCCAGCCCATCCCTGCTGCTGGCCGCGCCCTCCCTTACAGCCCTCTGTCCCTTCTTCTTCTTCTTCTTCTTTTCCAACAACGCCTAGATAATGCCCTCCCAATATCGCATTCCACCGGCCTTCTCGCCTCGAAACATTCGTTTTTGACAGGCAAGTGAAGAGGGGGGCTGTCAGAATATGGTAACGGTGAGAGGCGATGATTTATGGGGTGCCGTTGGCAAAAATGATAAAATTATATTAATGGGTTAACGAGCTTGTATAGTTCCTCATCTAATCTAAAACATATCTAAAACCTATGCATGATAAGAAGTTCTACCAATTTATGCATAATCCTACAGCTTTTAAAATATGATTGACAGTCTTTAGTTCCCTTTAGAACTGGATCTCCATTCAATTTGAATGACGTAACCATTTGAACGGAGCTCCCTGACCAGTCCGACCGGCGAGCGGCCACAATGAAAACATCTACCACGCGACACACGAATAAAAAATATCACCCCTCTCGCCTCCAGGCCGCCATTTCCAGAAACAATCCTCACAAACGATTCAGTCCTCTATAATCAAAATAGCTCTACAAGTTCTTATTTAAAAAATCGCTTCGTGGCAGCCCTCATTCCGCGCGGATATTTTTAGAAACTTTTGCCACCCAGTTTTATAAAATCGAGCCGCGATATGCCCGCCCAGCTTTTTAATACGCGCTCCCGGATAAGCCTTCAGGGAGTCATCGGACAATGTTCTATGCCCTATTGTGAGGGCTATGTCCGCTGAAACTGGGGAAAATGTTCGTGGAAAACCTTTCGTTAAGGCACTGAACGCCTAGAAGATCCCCCGGAGGCCTTTCTGGGGCACGCAGATATCAAACCATGTGCTTCGCCGACCAATTTTATAAAAAAACGGGCCTAATGTATGTTTGCGCGCCAGAGTTCCCTCGAATAGTTTAGTATCGATTCAGCCCACGATGTCCCCGAATCAATCTACGCTCTAATATGACTTTAAAAATCGAGTTTAGGGGCGATAACAGCCTACGAAATTATGAATCAGTCTTTAACGTACACAACAGATCCCTAGAAAACAATTAGCTGCTCCTGTTTTCAGCGATGGTAATACGTTGTAGCTTCTGCAAACGGTCTTTTTTGTACCGTCGTAATTTCGCAGGTCAAATTAGTCATCACTGCTTTGATGCGGTCCTCCAGTAAAAAATATGCCCCGCGGCGAGAAAAAAAGGATCGGCGGCGCCGCCCCCCGGCCCCCACGAGGAAGGATTCAATCTTTATTTTCTTTTGAATTTGGCTCCGACAAGGGTCTTATATTGACAATTTCAGCTCAAAACAAGCATTAATGTCTTACCCCGTTGTCGATCCCGATGAGTGCCGTGGCAAGACCATAGAGTTGTTGTTGGTCGAGGTTAGCAAGGGCTTGATAATACCCTAACACCGTTAACAGAGCCCAACACAAGTGACAATCATGTTCTCGGGCTCTCGCCAGGGGTATGATCTGCTTGTGAGTGATCTATCAATTCTTGATGGCGCGACGATCAATCGTGTCTGCGTTACATGCGTAAGTTAACTGAACGAGGGTTACGGGGTTTAAACGGGTCTGTTTTGGGCGATATTTAAATTTTTTCGAGGTGCCATGGCTCAGTCGATAGCGCTGTGAATTTAAACCCTGTTTGGTCTTCCAAAAATTGCTAAACGATAACGATCTTCGGAAAAAGTATTGAAAGTTGCGTTTTGTTAATCGGCTGCCACGAAGGGCAAGATGGAAATATTTTTCCCGGGAGATCGGATAGATAATTTGCTCGAATATCGCCTGCTCAAAATTTTAAGCTTTAGCTGATGAGCTTTACCGCAACGTCAACCCAAAATATGACGTCGATAGGCCCTTACCAGTGCGCTTTAGAGAGGCTACAATGCTTGGTTCAAATGTTCTGGAGAAAGGAAGCTTGCTGGCGTTATGACGGCTGTAGGTGCGAAGGCCAATGTCGGGGAGCTGATGCTCGACATTGCCAATGTTCCGCGTCGATCCGTGGTGTTTGAGCGCTGGCTATGGTTGGTTAATTACAATACTTTGTTTATTAGGTCTCTTACGACTGAGAATGTCGATTTTCAGCTCGACTCTCATCCCGGCTCGCTTCACCTATGCTCTTTGTGGGCATTTTCGTCTGACGCTGGAGACGTGCCACCGTTTCCGCGGGTTTTTGAAGCGTGAAATCGTCTTTCCGCACGCGGTTTTGCGTTGGAACGAGCAGAAGTTTATGATAACGGTATCTTAAATCCCAAACTTTTCAAAGTATTTTCCAGACGGATGTCGATTCGATCACCGAATTCATGCGCGTAGGTTGATTTCCTGTAAATTCAGAGCTGGACTGGAAAATGACAAAATGCTATTTTTAGTTCATTGCCGACTGGGATCATATGATTACCATTCGATGTATGGGAACACAGGTGGTACTTAGGGCGGCCTGTCAGATGGCAACTATGTAAGTACTAGAAGCGCAGTTGTAAGAAACTGACTTTTGCCATTTTAGGGCCCAATTGATCGGCCAATTGTGCAGGGGGCCATATTGGCGAGTGATGAATTGGAATGATGTGCAGGAGCAACTGCCTCTATCAAAGCGCAAAATCCTGGTCTCGATCGCTCCAAAGAAGGCTGGATTGGTCGCCTGCAGGATCCAGTCGTACCCAGTTACCCCAACGGCTTGGGCCAGTCTGAAAAGCTTCATCAGAGCTACCCTTACTGGGAACCACCCTTTTGAGCACGCTTGCCTGATTTAAATTGTGCGATTAACGGTCGCCTTGCTTTAATCGACGCTTTTGCTTAATTTAATTTGAATGTTGTTTGATTTATACCACTTTCCTAGGTATTTAATATGTCCCCCCGTCTCAAATGCCATATTACATCGTTTTCGTATTTGTGATCAATGTATTTTAAAAAAAATGGTTTTTGTCTTTTTCACCCGTCGTGTCCTTCGAACTAGCCGCTTCAACTCCACGCCGCACCTTTGAAACGCAATTTCCAATAAAATTAATTAGAGAAATAAAAGCACTGTATAACAGGATAACCACACGAAAATGCTGAACACCATAGAATAAAAACTTTTGATTAACCGACAGTGAAATACAAGATTCCCAGCTATAAATTCTTCCACCACTTACAGTAGGAAAACGGCTGTCTTCCAAGATGGCCTACCGTCCGGTTGTTTATGCAAACCAGCCCAAACATCTGGTAGTGGATCAACACTCACAGATTTTCTTCCAAAAAAAAAAACCCTTACAAGTTACCGATTTGTTTATATAGTCAACGTTTGCAGCTGGGTGGTCAGATTTGGGAGGCTAACTTTTAATCTGCTTGCTCAAAGCCTACATGTGCCACCTCTGCCCCCCGCTAATTATAAACATTTATATACTCATGCGGTAAACCTTTCAAGTCTAGGATACTGTATTTTTCGAGGGATCTAGAGGACCACTTGCGCTTTCTGGGCGGCCCAGCCTACATGTGGTTGGATAAACATGAAGCTCCTTATGATACGTCGACTGTGTAGACACCTAAACATAATATTACTGTATTTTTCTGTGGGCGGAGCTAGTAGCATCTAAAATTTAGAGGGGCGGGATTTGCCAGAACTTATTTAACTCCAGGGCTCACTGTAACCGTTTTTTGTTGACCGTGGGATTTCGATACGTGAGATAGCACATTTTGTGCAGAATTTTTCGCTGATTCCGAATCCGGTTTCAAAAGTTGCGGAACCCCTCTAGATAAAAAGTTACAGCCAGTTTTCTACCCCAAATGGCCGAAAATTACAAACTTTAAATCCTTATAAAAAACTCATGGAATATTTTGTGGGATAAAATACAGCACTCCTAGGGGTAAAAAAACGTGCTCTTTCGAATGGGCTATCTCACGAACCCGTAGCTCAAAATTCATGAAAAAAAGTTTTTCGGTGGACCAATGGATGTAATGGACGGTGGATGGCCAATTTTTGAAATTTTGTGAATTTTGAGTTACGGGTTCGTGAAATAGCTCATTCGAAAGAGCACGTTTTTTTACCCCTAGGAGTGCTGTATTTTATCCCACAAAATGTTCCATGAGTTTTTTATAAGGATTTAAAGTTTGTAATTTTCGGCCATTTGGGGTAGAAAACTGGCTGTAACTTTTTATCTAGAGGGGTTCCGCAACTTTTGAAACCGGATTCGGAATCAGCGAAAAATTCTGCACAAAATGTGCTATCTCACGTATCGAAATCCCACGGTCAACAAAAAACGGTTACAGTCAGACCCCCCTCCAGGCTCGGATATTCATTCGTCTCAACGAACTTTTCGTTTTTTATATCAGATCCTTGGATAGCTAGCCTGCCAAATATGCTCTTTACTAAACGCCAATGTTTTGGCTTTGAGATTTAGGGGGGTTAACAAACACAATTCATTGACTTTAGAGTTTTGAGCTTGAAAATTAGGAACCAAATGCGCTTAGGATCGTCTTTGGTTATATATCATACGAAAAGTCGTTAATTGCCATGAATTGTTTTATCTCTAAACGCTATCCCGAATGTCATCCGGATAGGGCATATCCGGAGGTACTAATAATTCTGCCATTCTAATTTGTTATCACTCCCCCCCTTGGGCAGATGTTTAGGCAGCGCAGATAGGTATCGGGCAAAAATGAAGCACCAATGCTATCGAAATCCTATCGATCAATTTCAAATTGATCTCAAATACCGAGTAAAATTTGCAAAAAAAACATAGCCCAACGTTTGCTTTCCGATTTAACCAAATTCGATCGGAACTTTTGTAACCGTCAAACTTCTAAGTTTCCTTCTTTCCGTTCTTCACACGATTGTCCTATCTTGATGATGCAACCTACGCGAATTTTGTAAACGGAAACTAAAAAAATGGACTTCTATGGGGTGGGATTGATCCTTATCGTGCCGAGAGTACGCGAAAACACGAGACCCAGGAAATTCGGTTTTATCGCCGCCCCCAAAAAGTTTACGATTTTGCAATTCGCCAAAGGACCCGGGAGTAGATGGGATAGATGGCGAGATTCATTTTTTTTGATTGTTTTAGAGAGGCAAAGTCCATTTTGGGGTGGATTTTTGGTTTTATATTTGGTGCCACCGGTTAAAATTTGAAACATTTGTTATCTCTTTGTTTCTATAACAGTTCTGTAATTATTGCGTTTTCTTGTGACACCTCTAATGTAGCACGTTTTTCTTGTTTTTTTTTAACCATAATTGGAACTTGGATACGGTATCTTATAATACGAAATTTGGGTACTCTCGCTAAATCGAAGCGGGGGTCTGATCTGATTCCAGAAATACAGTCCAGTAACTTAATACTAATTGTTTTAATAGCATGCTTAGAAGGCGTTTATATTTCGTTAAAAGAATTAAACTAATTTAAGCGGAAAGGGCTAAGAGCAAATACCCAAAATCGTGGCCAGACCATTATCAAGCTCTACTTTCCCCACCCTTGCTACTCACTTACTGTGCTTTTTCTCCCTAGCACCACACCATCCACTCAATATCCATCCACCTCCAAAATTATCAATCGAGCAACCACCCATGGGTGGGAGTATGTCCGGGGCAAAGCTCGCGTGACGACCTTTTTTAGCCGCCCCTCGCACCGTCGACCCGGGTTTATCAGGCCATCTCGGATTTCTCTATCTCACTGTGTGTGTTTTTTTCCAAGTGCCGCGAGCCTGTACGGCCGTGTCTAGCAACAGCAGACCCATAAAAGGTCACCCATCTCATATCGGGCAGAATGTGGGCAGGGCACAGTCGATCTCCTTTTCATTTTGTAGGGGATGAAAATTGCCTATTTCGTAGCTTTTCTAGGTTCCGCCATAAAGCGCAAAACGGCAACGAAAATGTAAAAGCACCATCCCTCCATGCTTCCTGGTCCTTATCATTAACCAGACTATTGATCTCCACATATCCTGTCCTATCAGCCAGCCCCACTCCCCAAAATAGCCATCCCTCTACTTTTCTGCCAAGTATTTCAACATCCTAGTACTCAAAAATCCTAATACTTTAGGTAATTCTAATTCGATTCGTGATGGCCGAAACGGGATCTTTTCACTTCACATCGGAGTCCGTCTCCGAGGGACATCCCGATAAAATGTGCGATCAGGTTCGGTCCTTTCGAAGTTTAAATTTTGCATTAGATTAGCGACGCCGTCTTAGACGCCATCCTCGCCCAGGACCCCAAAGCCAAGGTGGCTTGTGGTAAGCTTAAAAGTTTGCAAGTCTCAATCTGCGGTGTTTAGAGACCGTCACCAAGACCGGAATGATCATGCTCTGCGGCGAGCTGAACACCTCGGCCTATATCGACTACCAAACCGTCGTGCGAGGCGTTGTCAAGAAGATCGGGTACGACGACTCGTCCAAGGGTCCGTTTCAAGCTATTTAAATAACCTTGGACTGCATCGGAAGATTCCGTTCATATTCGAAATTTTCAGGGTTCGATTATGCCACGTGTAACGTGATGATCGGCCTCGAACAGCAGTCCCCCGAAATCGCCGCCGGTGTGCATGAAAACAAAGCCGATGAGGATCTGGGAGCTGGAGATCAGGTATGGGCTTGGAGACATTTAACGGAAAAAGCCTTTTAACTAGCACGATTTTGGGTATCCCGCAAACCATTTTTTTTATAGCTAGAAAAAGAAATAAATTCCGGAAAATTTAACTTACTATTATAAATAAGATTAAAAAAATTAACGATTTAAAGAAATCTCAACCGATTTTTAGGGCCTCATGTTCGGCTATGCCACCGATGAGACCGAAGAGGCCATGCCGTTGACGCTCGTCTTGGCCCACAAGCTCAACGCCAAGCTCCACGCCATGCGCAGGTCTGGGGAGCTCGACTGGGTGCTGCCCGACTCCAAGACACAAGTAAGCTTTTTTCGAAGAGTTTTTCACTTTTCTTAGCAAACTGAAGCTCTGATCAAATCGCTGCCCAAAATTATGACCAGAAATGTGAAGTAGCAATCTATAGGTCACGATCGAGTACGGTGAGCGCCCCGATGGAGGATTGAAGCCCATCCACGTGCACACGATCGTCATCTCCACTCAGCACAAGGCCAGCTGCAGCCTGGAAAAGCTCCGGAAGGATCTTCGAGAGAAGGTAAGAATTGAATTCACCACCTTTATCACACAAGCCCGGTTTAGGTGATCTCGGAAGTGATCCCCAAGGATTTGATCGACGACAGGACCGTGATCCATTTGAATCCGTGCGGATCTTTTGTCATTGGAGGGCCTATGGGAGGTGAGGACCATTATTTGGATAAAGTAATCTCGTACATTTTCAGATGCTGGGCTGACTGGTCGTAAAATCATCGTCGATACCTATGGAGGTTGGGGAGCCCACGGAGGCGGTGCTTTCTCTGGAAAGGATCCCAGCAAGGTAAAATCCGAAAAATATCAAGATTTTAGGCTTACGGTAGCCCGAAAATCGTACTGCGACTATTCACAAAATCAAAGGACCATCAAAATTTCTAGGTCGACCGTTCGGCTGCCTATGCTGCACGTTGGGTGGCAAAGTCTTTGGTAAAGGCTGGACTGACCAAGCGATGCCTCGTCCAGGTATGTATATTGTTTTTTTTTCTAGTGTAAATGTATTACTTGCCAGGAATTTATAGCTAAGAAATATCGTTTTAGGTCTCCTACGCTATCGGGCTCGCACACCCCCTCTCCATCCACGTGCACAGCTACAACTCTAGCCCGCTCAGCTCGGCCGAGCTCCTGCAAGTCATCCAGGATAATTTTGTCCTCACCCCCTACCGTATCATCAAGTAAGAAGATTTTTGGGGTTGATAACTCATACTGTTTTTACTAACAACAATTTTGAACGAATCAATTAAACAGTAAAAGATATTTGAATCATTCAACCATTTTCCTAGGCTTTGCTAGAAAAAAAAAGAATTTATAAACTGCTTCTATGACTATTTCAGGGACCTCGACCTGAAGCGGCCAATCTACGAAGCCACCGCCGAGAATGGACACTTTGGCCACTCCGAATTCAGCTGGGAACAGCCCAAGGCCCTCAAGATCAGGTAGAACAATCCCCTGAATGCCCAGAAACTCCCAATTTATTTAGCCCCGCCATTGCTGCCAAGGTGAAAGCTGCTCAATAAATCATGGGTCTCCGCTGGTGTCTTTAATTGACGATCCCTAATTCCCAAATCTCCATTTATTCTTTATGTGCCGAAAATAAACAAACGAATTTAAAAAAATTACACACAAGTTACAATTTCGATGGATTAAGAACGGCAATGGGAGATAGAAAATGGGAATTTCAACAAGGGGAGAGTGATGGTCGAGTGTTAGACTCGAGAAGAAATGTCTCATGGCCAGTAGGAGGTGTTCTTGAGTCTACCACCAGTTCGGGTGGTTGTTCTGAAAATATAAATTATTTTATTGTTTATAGTAATAAAAACATTAATTAATCAAAAACGAACCACGATGAGATGCTTGTTCATCCAGATCTTGGCGTCCTCCATGGTAGCGAAGCGGTACCCCGCGACCTAAAAATATAGATCGTTTCCGGCCTTGCGTAAATAAATCTACCTGCTCGAGCTCCTCCTTGGTGAAATCAAACGGACGCCTCTTCTGAAAATTCGATAGTATTTTAACGATTTGGATCTCACCTTGGGAGCTTCCACTGGCTCTTCCTCCTCGGCCTCCACAACTTCCGGTCCGCTGTCCGCTGGCAAGCCAGCATCCTGTAATTTTAGATCGACACCGATGTAATGTCTCTAAGGTGCCCAACCTGAACCTGCGGCTGACGGCCCCTGGTCGGCGGCGCATAGGTCTCGCTGTAATCGATGCGATGCTTCGTAGCAATTTCGATGGTACTCTAAGAAGATTTAATTCAAAGACTTGAAAAGCACAAACGTACCATCTTTGAAGCCGGTTCGACAACCTTCGCGGGGACGGCCGACTTCTTGGTGTTTTCGTTCAGGCTTGGCTTGTATCTGAAAAAATGGATAAATATACGCAGCTTTACAAACCCCCTCATGTTCAGCGCGCTTTCAAGTTGTTCAATTGTAGCGGCCATCATCAGATTCCTTAGGAGGTCCTCATCAAACTCGCATGGGGATGGGGCCTTCTAAATAGGTGGTAGTGGGCGAAAATGAAGCTTACCGCGCGCGATGTCGACTGTTCCGGCAGTGCGGTCGTTACGGGTGCCGTAGTCGCAAGCTTGGTGGAGTATTGTTGCTTGAGGACCGGCTCCTTCTAAAAATAGGTTATCAAAGGTAAATAAAAACATAAGAAACCACCTTGATCTCATCGACGGTCGGATCCCAGGAGATCTTGGAGCGTCCCTTCGCATCGGATTTGCCACGGGTTTCCTAAATTCAGAGAATACCCACAATTTGACTATACAGACTTGGCCCTTTCCGGAACTCTCCATGACTTCGCTTCTCCAAGGGTTTTGAGTTGATTTCTAAATCGATATAAAATTATCAACAGCGGAAAATTAGGAAGTAAATAAGAAAAGAAATGACACTGATTCAATCGTAGCGAGCATCGGGATCAATTCCAATCGAAATTGGAAGGACAAAGGAGGACGGGTTGGATTTGCCACCGGAGACGATGCGCCTGCGGCGTATCGATCATACTCGAAGGGGCCTGACCGATCTGATTCTGTGGAGAAGGGCTCGGGCCCCGTTTTCCCAGGGAACCGCCGCGTCCATTTCTACAGGGAGTGGCAAGAAATATGAAAAAAAATAGCTGTACCGTAATCCCAAAGGACCCTGAGCGGGTAATAATGCCACCGTAAGGGAGTGTGTTCAGATCCAATAATGATATTGTCTAGCCCTAGGATTCAGAATTAGGCTGTGCTTTCAAAGAGAGCGTCAATAAGACTTGGCCTAAATTCAAAAATTGGCATAATTCTAATTCCGAATTCGATTAACTGATTTGCCTCGAAAAAATCTTGGTTAACGTACGATGATGTGATCTGAATCAGGACATGCTGGTCTACACGAAATCATCGAATTTGAACAATCGCAACGATGTGAAGATGATGTATAGAAACCCAGGAATCGTGCAGGGTTGAAAAGAACGAGATTAATCAATCCGAATCTTGAATTCAGATTTTCGAATGTCATGATCTTGGTTTTCGCCCAATTTGAAGACAGACTAAGGCCACCTCTAGTGCAGATGAGGCAAAACTAAAGAACTGTTTAGGAAATCTACAGTGGGGTGCCTATCACGGCGGGGCCTAGATGAAGGGACTGTGGTCGAATGCCTGTAGGGAGATGCCACCTCTCCCCGATGCCGCCCCGCCTCCCGTTTTCCTCCATCTTCCCACCACCCCGACGGTACACCCTTACAAAAACAATCGCTTTGTAACACCCATCGAATCAGATAGACCTTTCAGAACGTTATTTGAGCAGGAAAAAGCAAGAGAACCAAATGCCTTGTGTTTGTCAAGATTTGTCAAGGAAACGATGAAGCTCTTCAGCGAAAATTGGTATGCACGGATCGTTCGAAATGAGAGGAGCCCGTGTTATCTGATGATGACTAATGTCTGGTGGTCGTGTCGCCGGCTGTTTTTGGGGTATAGGGCCCAGAACAGGGTAAAAAACAGGGGACTGAAAAGGGGAAATTGGGATGCTCCTAGGGTTCGCATCGATCAGATTGGGAGGGCTTTGTCGATGTTGTGCTGAAGGGATCGCTCTTTACATAAAGGCATTGGCGGGAAATTGGTTGGATCAGGTCGTACGTTTGGGAAGCTAAGGCTACTGGGGATCCGGAAGTATGAGTGACACCAAAATATGCCCATGCTGACGGAAAAGGGAAGTGGACACAAATTTGTGTTGCTGGTGAGTTCTGGTTGGCGACATCGAACTTATGGGAGCGAATATAAGTGTACTGTTCTTGAAGGTATATTATGAAAGGAGCTAGCATCACAGTACAGCATATGCACGGTAAATTATTGCGAGCTCTGAGCCATAAAGACTGGGACTCGTGACCCTAACAAGATTTAGGGTAGCGGCTTATCGCGGCAACTAGTGTAAAATAAAGAATGAGAAAAGAATCGGACTTAGAGCATGCGATTGCCGGGTTTGAATGAATGACCGTGTGGCAAAGGCCTGTAGGGAAGTGGCCCCACCTCCTCGTTGCCACCCTCGTCCCGGCTTTTTCCGCGATTTTCCCAGAGCCCCGGCCGCGGCCCCGGACAAAAAGGGTCGTGTTGTACCATCCGTCGTTGCGCTGACCTTTTAGGACATCGTTCGAATCGAATCAGAGAAAAGGTTCAAATACGGAGAGCGGTTTGGGATATCATGGGTGCCCTCAAAGCTTTCTGGCCCGAGCACCCGTGGCTGACCCATAAAGCCGTGTCCCAATGACAGTTTACCATATGGAGTGTCCATTGCGCCGGCGCGCCCGCGCGCATGTTTATGCAAATTACTCTTGCGACGGATCACGAAACTCACGTGCTCCTAATAAAGATGTTGAGGCAGAACGTCCGCTAGTGATAAATGCACGACATATGGGGGGTTTGGGGAGTACTAATTTGGTGAGTCCCAGCTGTACCTTGCGGGCTACACCCTACTGGTCCAAAAAATGTCAAAACAACGTAGCAGATAATTCCAGGGCTGATGCAGTTGAATACGTGTGTAAAAATGGTTATCCTTGTCCTCCCAAACGCACTCGTATGAGCAAGGGTTTTTGAGCCAAAAAGGGATCAAAATAAATCCATGACTCGGTGATCTACCATGGCCGAAGAGTGACTGTGTCCGCGGGCCCTTTCTCGCCACCCCCTGCCACCGCTTTTCCCACAGTTTCCCAGCACACTAACCCTATGTCCAAAAAGAGCCGCGTTGCACCATTGGCCTAAGTCTTTTGGGACGCCGCTCTATGCGATTGGGATTGAACAACAAAGAAAATACTTTTCGCAGAAAAACGGGTGTTACAAACAATTCTACCTCCGGTTCCACCAATAAACCAAATAATGACTGCGCATTACGCACGCACTAATGACTGCGCATACCCGAGTCTCGGGAACCTAGAAGAATCTCCAAAACTAGATCGAATTTTCGGAAGCTTCGATTGATAGGTGGTACGCATGGATATACACAAAAATTGTGTTCTTCCAATTTTTGAGATTCCGTTGGGGAATCTTTTCAAGTGTCTGTCTCGGGTAGCTTAGGACCCAGTCACGAGCTTGAAGTCTACTAGAACGTTAAAGATCTAAGATTTCCATCTTCACATTACCTCAAAAGCTTGACATCATTGCTATCAAAGCTCCGCAACCATGACATTATTGTGCTAGTTGCTCTTTGGATTTGATGTAGCTGGCCGGTCCCCAGTTCCCCAGCCCCTCGCTCTCCCCCCAAATGGTTTGTGGTGCTCGAAATGGAGGAGCGGGCGAGGGAGGAGGATGTCTGAATGGGATCAGAGTTGCCCTGGAAAAACTAATTGATTCAGGTTATCCAGGTTGTTTAGCTGTCTCCCCCGTGACGTTCATGCGGTTGGCGAATACGGCTTGTGTCCGGACACTGTTTTCTTTGCGGTGATTAATGTCAAAACAATTGGTTGTGCTTAATTTGATGGATACGTTACCTATATATTTGAAGTTTAGCACTTTTTACACAGTATCGAGCTGAGGTTGCGCAGAATTTTTTGCTGTTTTCTGTTTTCGAATCTATTTTCAATATCAGGAAAACGTCCTGCCCAATTTCGAGATATTTCTGCAAGCAAGAGCTTAAGCCTAAACCTAAGCCGAAGCGTAAGCCTACGTTTAAGCAAAGCCTAAACCTAAGCCGAAGCCTAAATGACGGCTGATTACACTAACACTAGAAACGTATCGTTGTAAAATGTTTGGACCACCCGCCGATTAGGGCTTTTTCTGCTTTTGCATAGCACACGTACCCGAAGTTCACACCCGATTCCCAATACCTAATTTGTCCCTATCCTTCGTCAAACTCCACTACGATTACACGTCTCATCTTCCAGGCGACCCTAAGTTCCATCCCCAATTCCTTAATTCAATGCCACGAACCCAAGATCATCCACCCGACATGTGTTTCATCCCGAAAAACGAAGGCCATTCTCCCAACACTCGATCATCCCTCCGCCCCTTTTACAAAAAAACAAATTACCTTTGCCAAGACGCCTCCTCCATCACGATCACCGGGCTCCACCCCCACAATCAAATCGATGCCGTCGACGATGGTCGAAATCCTGTTCATTTTTTCTTCGTGGTTGCCTCGGCAGTCATATATCTTATTTTTGCAGTGGAGCACATTGGGTAGTTGGACCCCTGAGAACAATATTTTAGTTCCCGGTGAACGATGGTATCCAATTTGTTTGTTCAAATTTTCACCGGACTGATTTGGAAGAAACGTCGGGTTTTCTATTTTCTGACTCCCGTAGGAAAGGCCTTACGAGATATGATCGCTTGCTAATTTTGTTTTGCTAATTCTTATCTGTTGACCAGGGTTGAAAAGCCGCTTCGCGACTTTTCAACCCTGGCCCCTTCCAACCCTGTGATATCCCTCGCTTTGCATAATCCCCCGCACTGTTAGGTCAAAAAAAAAATGAAAATCGCGTCCTCTCCCGATTATATAGGCTACTCCCACTTCCGGCGTATGCTAATTTTTTCCTAACAAAGAGGGTGTCCGATTTTTAAGGAAAAACTTAATTTTAATGTCGAAAACAATCGATTTTGCACAATCTGATATGCGTGCAGTCATCTACTTATTCACTTCGTCTAATGACGTATCATACGCACCCTTCATCCCTTCCCCTATTGAGATATGCTCCGGACACGCTGACGGAAGTTGCATGCAAAGTGTCATACACACACACACAGACACTATTTTTTTATATATCTGTTGATCCCAATTATATTTTAAATAATTTTAAATTTATGAAGCAAGAAAAGAACTGGTTTTTGTAGCTAACCGAGTTACCTATTTTTCGGCAATCGTAAGACAATCATCGGGTTGCTCTGGATGCAGGAAAGTTGTTTGCTAATATTCACTTCATCACGTCGATGTTATTTTCCATTCCGAGACAAAATTCAAGCTAGAAAAAATAAAATATGGGCTCTGCTGTAGATCTACTTAATATACCTCTCGACCACCTTTTTCGTGTAGATTAATACTTAATTAATTTTTTTCTATAAACCTGCTTCCCCTTTGTATTTCAAAATCCATTAAACTTGAACAGTGCATCACCGTAACATCCCCGAAAAATAGCATCACTCCAACATTATCCGCCCTTCGAAAGTCTAATAGTTTTTCACTTTTTCCTGTGCTATGTACCCCGGAATTCTTGCAACCCTCCTCCGCTCTCCCTCCATCTCCCCCAAATGAATGTGGAGTGAGGACGAGATAGCATAGAGATTGGTTAGGGCCAGTGAACAGTACGCCTCTTCCTCGAAATTTGACATACCGCCCGTGCGCAGCCGCCTGAAAAAAAAACGGGAGAGCCGGGTAGAAACCGGGCGGTGACTGTTCGTCGAATTGTTTTCGTCGCAGCCACACATCAGACTGCTTTTAAACTCTTCAACGCCCTGCAGGGGGTTGTATATACTTTTCACTCATGCTCACCATTTCTTTGGACGCAAGAATCAATTTTTAAATTTCAGGAAAATGGATAAAGTCTGGCAAGTCGAGGACCCTACCGTTCATCATTTTGATTTTTGGGCTCGAAAGTATAGATGTCCGTGTAAAGGAGTGCATGTCAAGGTCAGTAAAATTTATCCTAAGAAATTTATAAAGGTTTTTAGCGAATAGCCGCGGTTATTTTGATCATCTCCGTATTCACCGTCCTCTACTCGATCGTCGAGCTAATCGTTAACGGGATCGCGGAGTGGGACTTCGAAAACATTCTTCGAGTTAGTTGTAAAAGTTGTTTCTGTGGTCCTGGGACGACAGGAAAACACTTGCATTTGCGCTAATAGAACTTTGTGTTTTGTCACAAGTAACGTTTTGTGTAAAAAAGTTATTTTAACTTTCAACTTTTCCGGAATTTAAAAACTTTCCCGGACCTTAAGAGGTGCAATACGGCTAAATTATCTTTTTTCAGATCCTCGTCATCCCGATCGAAGTATTTTGTACCGTATGGCTATACGAAGGTCTCAAACTAAACCTCCGTACCTTAATCCTCCCCTACATCCTCTTCACGGTATAGCTTGGTCAATCTTCTCTTTCATCCCGGTTCCACTGCCACCAATTTTCAATTTTTTTTAGTTGATCCATCCCATTCTCTTTGCCTATCTGGCGGTCGGCGAGATAACAGGTTATTCACAGCAAAAAGGCGACGCACACGACTTTGCGAAGTAATAAATTTTTGGAGGTTCTTGCATAGGCTATTTTCCAGGAGCATCTTGGAAAAGATCCCTTTCTTTGATACGGACCCGAAGGATGTTGGTATGTGACATTAAGGAAGTGGTGGGGATCAAAAAGTGTTTTTAGAGCAGCGAAGGCATGTTATTATGGTATTTGCGATTATCCACGTTATGGCAACGTTGATGAATGTTGTATTTTTCTTCTGCCTTTCTTGGTAAGGATCAGACGCTTAAACATATATTCTTTGATTAATTTTCAGGTGCTACAAATACATGTCCGACCTCGAGCGATCCAAGGAAAGGCAGGAAAGCGACGACATCAGTACTAAATTTTAAAACATTTGATTTAAATGTATTTAACAATTACTGGTCGGTTATAGAAATGTGATAATATTTTTTTGCCCATTGAATGAACACCAAAAGACGGGCTTATTTAATTCCGGTTTCGGCACTATATTCAAGCAGAATTCCAACCCGTTCAGGTGGCCATTTTTTGGTCAAGAGTCCGATAAAGGGGCCCAGGAAAAGCCGTAGGGCAGTCCCCCACCGGCTACCGTTAAAGCCGTGATAAGCCGCCATGAAATCAATGTTTGTATCGTGTCATCTGTTTGTCCATCCCTAGCACTTCGCCTAGCCAATCATTCCGGTCATTTTCACCCCAAAAAGCCATTTAATTCCTCATTTTTCCTTTAACGTAAGCTATTACTGTGTTTCTTTGCATAACCTTCGAAAAACGACACCCCCCATCACGTGATAAATATTTTCTACGTTCTCCTGTTTGCCCCCAGTTAATTGCACCCCCATAAAAATCAAATGAAATGGTTGGTTTGATAAGAAAAACCCACAGGTGATCGATTGGGGAGCGATGACCGGTTTGAATGTACCGACAATTACTGTGGAACCGAATTCTTCCGGCAGCGAGCGAGAGGATGCATATTCAGTAAAAAGGGTTTTACAACGAGAAAACATTGTTCAGGATAACCTTCCACCGACACAGGATCTCAATGATCACAATCATATTCACCCGCCAAATTTAAACGGCAGGATGGGAAAGCGAAAAAGGTTTAAAACTAACTGGAGATGACATGAAATCGATATTTCAGTGCGGAAATATTAAATCCAGACGACTTTCGACAGTTTCAAAAACGTGGCAGCACCGGATCGTTTACGGAAGAAGCTAGATCTTTCACAAAACGTGCATCACAAATGATAATAGAGGTGTATAATTTAAAACGCAATATTCAAATACTGATTTAGGTCCCAGTAGAACGCATAAAACAAATAAAAAGAACTACTGGGGCAAATTCGATGGCGCGTGAAATACAACATTTTGTTGGTAAGTTAGCAGCATGATTTTTAGAAAGATGCCCTAGGTATTACAACGCTACATGGCCCACTTCGAATGTATCGAGGCAAAAGCTATTCCCGCCTGTTCTGGGGTGTTATGATGTTTATCAGCTTGTGCTTATTAGTTTATCAATCGATCTCACTTTTACAAATGTATACTTCTAGACCTACTACCTCAGAGGTAATCATTATTACCAAGATCTGAAGGTTTTCAGGTAAATTTTCTAATTTCTGAAGATGGAATGGATTTCCCAATGGTTACGATATGTAATTTCAACCCAATCAGAAAATCTTATATTAAAGGTAAGCAAGCAAAAGCATAGTTATTGTTGTTTAGAAATCAATCACACAACGGGTGACTTTTCTGAAAATCTCCTTGATTACCTCATCCAGTATAATTATGAAGTGCATAATTTATTCTCGAACAACGATGCTACTTTGTTGGATAAAGGCCAGGCGGAACTAAAGTAGATTTCGAATATTTTTATCACCTCATGATTCTAGCGTCTATATGCAAAAGCACCCAAATTTTACTGTCATGGACTTTTTTCGGAATGGTGGGTAAGTGGCCAAGGCTGGAGTATATGGGTTTTAGTTTTGTTTGTCGTAACATGTTGAAAATCTGTACGTTCGCTGGGGTGGAATTTGATTGTTGCAAGTATACAGCACCAATTTACACAGATCTTGGTAGGAGGGTTATGGATGATCAATTAAATAGAATGTATAATTTAGGAAAATGCTTTTTGATAAATACAACTAATCTCCCGGATTCTTCAATGCATCGACAGACAGCTGCTGGGGTTAATAGTGGGCTCCAAATAATTCTTGATGCTCATTTAGAAGAACAGTTTGATGGAACTGGATGTAAGTTTTTATAGAAGAACTATATTTTCTTCTTTTCTAGTAGAACCTCAACCAATTTTCACAAACGCGTTGGAAAATGGATTCCGCTACTATATCCATCCATCAAACACAATTCCTCACGTTGTCTCGGAGGGAATTTCCGTTTCCCCAGGCGCTAATGTATACTCGGCATTAACTGTTAGTAATGTAAGTATTGATTTTATTTTATAAAGCAAAAATTTACAGTATGAGCTGCTCGACAAAAATGGATGGGGAAATTGTACAAATACCTGGCCACCCGGCTTCAATTCGAATCTGCCCTATGCTTCTTCAACGTGCGCCTCCTTATGTAAAGCGCGCTTTTTCGAAGAAAAATGTGGATGCACTCCTTTTGTTTATAATGTGGATGGCTGTAAGTATGTCTCTGTTTGATTTCATTTTTTCTAGACCGAAAATCCTGTATGCCGAACGAGACCTATACCTGTATTGATCAGTTTGGAACGAAGAAGGAGAACGGTACAAAAAATGCACTTCCCTTTTCTGACAAATGACATTCCAGGGCGCTCTATTATTAGTCTGCCCCGATGTGCAGAATGTCAAATTGAATGTAGCACATGGAATTATGCATCTTTTAATAGTTACGGACAGGTTCGAAAGCTTTTCATTATGATTCACAGTGATAGGGCTTCTCTAACGGAGCTGTAAAATGGATTCAACTGAAAAATCAAGCCGACTCCAATACCCATATCCGGTCCAACTATGTTGCATTGAACGTCTTTTTCCGTGATATGATATATACAAAATACATCCAGCAGAAGGGAACATCTTTAACGGAAATTCTCAGTAAGTTCTTTCTACCGCATCCAGCTATTTTTAGGTGACATGGGTGGCAATATGGGAATGTGGCTGGGCATGAGTGTGCTAACTTTCTTTGAAGCCTTAATCTTTCTCTCAAAAATTACTTGGATCTTCATATCGAAAAAACGGAGAATGTATATGCATGAAAAGAAGCAACAAGAACAGGTATAGCTATTTTTTTTATATTATAAGCGCTTTAGGACAAAGAAAAGGAAATGGAAAACACGATGTCCCAGCTGCGGTCTATTAACAAAATGGACGATAATTTGGATGAAGAGACAGCTTCAACTTTGGAGTGAGGAACTTGGGATTAAAATAGAATGATGTTTAGCAAGCTTAAACGACGAATTGAACAAACTCTCCATCACAAGCCCGGTCGTATGAATCGGATTACCCCGATTGCTCCTAGCTTTGCAATGCCGGAGAGAGATCGGGTAGATTTTTGAAGATTACATAAAATGTCTTTAGAAAAAATCTCGAAAAGTGTCGCTACCCCATCGAGAAGCGGAAGATCATGAAGAGCATGAACAGAGAGAACACGAATCAGAAGCACAAAGGCACAAGTAGGCTCCAGCCATTTTATCTTCAATATATATTTTTAAGCTTTATGGAAAGCTTTTACAACAATGCTTTATATGGGGATGGGCGCGCAAATCCTATTAATGAAGAAAGTGACGATGAAGGAGGACCGGCCCGGCATATGCATCGTGAAGATAACAGCGTTGTAAGGCTTGACATTAATGCGTTAACTTCGCGACTAGATACAATTGAAAATCGATATCGAGCCGATCGAGAGGGTACTTCAGGAAGAACACGAACATTCAGCACCGACTACGAGGAAACGGACGATATCGGTTAGCCAAATCCACATCATATCGCGAAATTAATATTTTAGATAGCACCGGCTAGTTGTGAATATATAACTCGAGAAGAGCGGGCTAGAAGTCGTTCAGTTATCGATCGTCGACCATCGTTCTATTTGCAAATGACTGATGAATAGATTGATTGATGTATCTAAAAATAAAGTAGAAAAACTACACGCTAATGGTTTTGATACTCTTAATTTCTTTCTGAACTCCACATCTTTTTGAATCCTAACTATGAACTTTGCTGTCGAAGACTGAAGTCTGGCCAGACTCCCCATTTTTCTCGCAATTTCCAGCCCGACCATCATAGGCGCGGTAAAATCCAAGGCATTCTTCTGAAAATGTGACCAAACGTGAAAGAAGGCATTGATGCAGCTGTCGTTGTCCAAACAGTAACGTTCCCAGGTGTGAATGCTACCGGTGGGACCCCCGGTTCAAAGCGAGGCAGTCTAATCGGCTTTGCAACTTCGAAAATATATAGCTTGATCTCATTTAAAAGCAAGTTTCATTGAATACGTTGTGTTCTCTATATAACTAAAATTTAAGGCAATGCGGGCGGGTCCCGCGGCGGCCATACTACTGGCTGCTTGCCTCTCGGGTATTTTGGGACAATGTCAAGATGCGCTGACGATATGTCCAACGCTTCAGCCGATTTGTATTGGGTCTATCATCTCATACCAACTGTCCCAGATTGCAAATGTTGCTAATATGGTCGAGAACAGGTTTAACAATCTTTAGAAAGTTTCACCTTATTTTCAGCTCCATTCCAGTTTTGGAAGAATCACTTCCCCTTATCCGTGATGTTCTCCCGATCCTAACCTCTTCAAATGGCGAAGACGCCTCTACCCCCAGCCCTGATGATCAAGCAAAACTGGAGCAAGAGCTAGAAGTTCGCGATGTTTTTCTTCGCTCCTAATTTCAAGTTTAGAATGCCCTCCCATTGCTGCAAGAATCACTTCCGCTAATCCGGGAGAGCCTTCCATTGTTGCGCGACTCTCTGCCATTAATCAGGACCCTTCTCGACCCACTCTATGGTGTCGATACACCACAGAACTGCCGGAAAAAGAATATTTGCAAGAGTGGGGGAGATATCGTGATATTGTGTAGGGAATTATAGCCTGTAAGCAGTGTCCAGAGTTGCGACAGACTGTGCAGACGATGGTTGAGTTTTTGTGTCCGTTGACGTGCAGGACATGCAATGATTGTAAGGGTTTTAAATAGAATTTAAATAATGCATCTGTATGGATCGGTTTTCGCTAATTACGTCAGCTTTAATCACTTAAATTACTTAAAATTATAAATGTTTTAACGCGATGCATACCAGCTATTCGTCATGCTTCTAACGCAAGAAAGAAAGAGAGAGTGCGAGCGTGAGAGAGCTCGAGAGAGAGAGAGAGAGCTTACGTAATCGAATTGGCTTATATCAGGCGTAATAAGGTAGCTAAAACATAAACAGCCTAAACTATTTTTTTTGGAGTACATTGGACTCTAATTTACTCTAAACCTAAAAAGTTCAATTCAAAACTAATGTTTCTAACGTACACAAGCTAATCGATTAAGAGCTTCTACTCTAAATCTGTCTATTATGAAACTCCAGCCGCCCCAAAATCTCATTTCGACAAAATAACTCGTGCCCCCATCTCCCTCGAGACCAGCCTAAATTCCCCTATTCATTGGACCATCGTTTTCAGTGCCCTCCATCGATGACCTCGGCTCCCAACTTCTCAGCTATTTCTCCTAGCTGTGGCCAACGGAACGGAAGCCCCTCTGACAGATCACCGACCATTTCATCTCCCCAACCGAGTGCGTGCCCCCTTCATCCATTTTTCGTCTTCTTTTCCTTCTGACGACCGAGTGTGCCGAATAAATCGTGTGACCCCCGTGTGGCCCATTTTCTAGTCTGCACGCCCGGCTTGTAGGGCCCACGTGTAAGAAGGTAATTTATTAACTGGCTCCGGGGCAGTGGTAAATTTTAAAATGGCTGTGATTAGGATTCTCGGATGACTTCGGATGAAAATTTTGTCTAGCCTTTTAGAACGTAGAACGTCAGAACGTCAGAACTTATAACATTGTTAAAAAATGGAATTTTACTCTTGAATTCGTCAGCATCTGGGAGGGAAATTTTTAAAAGATTGTTTGGCAGTTAAAGGTGCACGTGGTTTTTCGATAAGCGTTTGACTGGTTTTTTAGGAGATTTGTAACATGCCCAACATTTTGCATCATTTACCGTAGTTTCAAACCATAATTTAAGAGCCTTAAGGCCTTCAATAACAAATTCCTGTTTCACCCCCCTGTATTCGACACGGAATTCAAAGTTTTTTCGGCTCATTTCCTGCGTTCCAAGCACCTCTAATCCATTGCCCACGCACCAGCCCCCCAAATGTTTCGTTCGTGGAAAATGAAATGAAAAATAAAAACGAATTGGACCGAGGCCAATCTTTGCGCTGCCGGCTTTACGGCTCCCTGAATTGAAGTGGCCCCTCCGCCGGCCGTCCGCTTTTTCGCCTGCCGATCCGCCGGCTTTCAAGGTAAAATATCGCCCTTCAGCCCGGAGCGTCAGAAATTAAAACAATCATACAACAAATTCTTCCCGCTTTTCCAGATTCTACCAAATTGCTTTGTTATTCAACGAACAGGAAACGCGGGAAAAGCTTCCCATTCATGGAAATATTCAGCTCGCAGATTTCCAACAACGTTGTGACGTTGGCGACTATGACAAAGTCGTTGGGGGGGGGGGTGAAGCTTCTCAGCAGGGGGCATGAGGATAATTGGTCTCATTTTTCGTCAACGACAGGAAAAGAGTGGGGCGCATGGCGGATCTTGGGGCCGGATTCCGTAATTGGACAATCTCCACCGCGACTATTTGCGCTGCTCAGGGCAAACGAGGCCACTTCCAACCATAGCTCTTGCCACACAGTCTGGACCTTCGGGACAAGTGCGCATTTGTGCTAGAGTTCTATGAAAGAAAATTTTTCCCCGAGTTTCCGATAGCTGCGTAAGTCATGGACCCAGCGATTAATTCAAAATTTATGGCACCTCTTTTGACATTTTTTTACTCGAATTTTAAAGCCTGCCCCTTGAGGAACTTTCAATTAATCGCGACGGGGGCGTTTTCAGGCTAGCCACTAGTTTCCCCGAGATTTATCCCCCCAAAGGGCACGAATCCCTTGCTTTGCCCCGCGGGGGCCCAAAAACTTATTCGCTAATCTGTCAATATTTTCGGGAATGATACCCGTGTTAATGAATATCCTAGGACTGCCCTTGTAGTCGAATTTTGTAGTCTAAATTCTTGGTGCTTTTCTATGACTTTATTACATATTTGGAGAGCTCGTAGGCGTTGGAATCATGCATATTCGAGGGGGCAGTTCGTGTGCTGACAAGTTCTATAGAAGATATGATGGATTTGGGGTGGGGTGGGTAAGAGTTCTATGCGGGTGCGGCTAGTTTGGTAGCGCAACATCCTAAACAAGGCAGTCACCCCTGAATCATACTCCATCCCGTCTATATTCCACTATATTTTTTGGTGGGCAGCCCCTCATTAATCGTGCACCCCCACCCCGGCAATTGTCCCATTCGGTTTTTTATCGCGTTCCTTATTATCTGGGGGTATATTTGTGGATGATGGTCTTTCAGTGGCAGTTGATAATGTTCTAACTAATTTTTTATATACCTTAGAGCTCATTAAAAGCGTAATTTTTGGTTTAGGGTAACCAAAAATGACACAATTTGTCCGCACCCTTGTCGGGCTGTTGCTAGCTGTTCTCGTTGTTGTGCAGATTGTCAATGCGGCGCCGGAGCCGAGCATGGTGAGTGGCTTCTAAAAATTTACTGCAATTGAATTATCTAGTTAAAACTGATTTTTGTCAAATATATTTTTAGCGCGGAATGGGTAACCGGTACATTACGCGTATTCTCGACCAGATGCCAGCCTATTCCCCGGGGCATTCCGTCTATCGCCGATTCGACTTTACGCGACCAATCCAAGTAAGGGATTTTCAGGTATATTTTACTACATTTTATTTTATTTTATTTGTAGAGTTTTTAGTCATTAAGGAATGAGAAACCAAAAATCATTATTTTTACAACGTAAAATCATGAAAAATACGAAAACCTTAGTTTTGTAGTGCGCCCAACACGCACCCTGCCAAATACATTAAATTTGCCTGTTTTTCCTTACTAAGCGCTAGGTTTTGCCCCTTCCGGCTCGGGGCCCCGGCTACAATATCCCCTCCCTCGTGGTCCCCCAAATTCCTCAGATTTTCCATGGAATTCCGGCGCAAATATAGAGTCCCCCCACCGGCGCCATGTGGGTGAGGGGGATCTGTTATCTGTGGGATGCGTTATGCCTCAGATGGGGAAGACCTTGTTTGCAACCATTCAAAAGCCCGAAAAAGACGGGGAGGAGGAGGCGATAATGGTCTGGGTGTGCGAGTGCAGCCCGCATGCGCCATAGAACCGTATCATCGGTGAACGGTCGGCGAACTTGGAGGGTGCAGTAGAGGATCTAAGATCAAGCGTTTAGCGAATTGTTTTTGGTCTGAAATAACAATAACCTGATTCAAAAATTTGCGGCATCAATCTTAAAACAGGTTTTTGATGGGTTAGCATCAATAATATTTTTTAATACGTCCTAAAGTCCCACAGAATCAAATTCCATCTAAGAAATCGCGCTAGGATAAGTGAACATCTGAAGAATCATACCTAAGTTCAAACTTAAAAATTAAAAAATTATATAGTTTTTTATATGAGTAGCTATTTAAGCATTTTTGCCAAGTTTAAAGGCACTAATAAATCAACTATCATCTCAAAACCATAGCAAAAAGGAACGACAAAGCTCTGCAAAGCATTTGTTACATTAAGAAACAAATTTAGATATTAAGTAACATTGAATTTTTGCCATAGCCAAAATCAAACAGCCCTTAACCCCCAAATAACAGGAAGTCTACCCGGTAAAGAAGCGCAACAACGCCGAGGTGGTCAACCACATCCTCAAGAACTTCGGCACACTCGACCGACTCGGTGACGTCGGCAAATAAATCAAGAAAACCTTTATGACCCGCCATATTTTATTCACCATTCTTTCACAGTCCCCCCCTTGCTTATTTTGTGTGTGGCTGTCGCGGCTCCATCGTACCCTATTCGTCGCTCTTAACCTCCCGCCCCCGTTTTTTGTGTGCTTCCCCCATGACTTCTACTTTTGCTGCTGGTGGTGTTGAAGCGGAAGAGAGATCCCGTTTCTTGTTGAACAAAAACACATGCTTTTGTGGGTTTTTGGTTGAATGCAAGCAGGGACAGGGAGAAGAGCTGGGAAAAGCAAAAATCCATAAAAAAATGGAAAACCCTGATTTCGAAATCGCAAAATTTTTGCGAAATAAGCAAAGTCGACCCTGCCGCTAAGAATATAGTGGGAAAAATTAATTCCGGCCTAAAAATGTGACTCCACTTATTATACAAAATCTTGTTCAGAAAATTATACGCACCAATCCAAGTAGGAGAAGTCGATTTTTGGAATTTTCGACAATATACATTCTCCCGCTAGCAAACGTGTATCGTTTTTTCTAACGTTTGCGGCTTTCCTCGTATCGACCAGATTTTTCGCAAACATCGACCTGATACGACCGAAGGTACATGTGAGGTGTTTGAGCATCCTATTCCTCTCGATCATCTTACACCACAAATTAGGATGTGTCTCGTTGGCTGACTCGCACCATACACAAAAATCCTCATTGAATGTTGGTCCCCGCTGCCAACCACGGAAGTGGTCGCGACTTCGAAAAACCGCACGACCGCAAATAATGATGTCGTTTGTGTTTGGTTGATGGTCACAAAAGTCCTCGGAACTATGGTCTTGTTCTGAAAATCCAAAATTTTAGAGCACCTGACAAAAAAAAACAATTTTCAAAACGTTTTTCATGGATCGTCAACGGTATCGCTTCATTTTGTCAAAGGCTTTTTGAAATGGAGATTACGGTAGCTAACCTATGATCATTGAATTTTTGGTATAGCACCGAAGTTCCCCGAAAGCGTATTAGCCTCCCGTACCGGCAGCCCCCACAAAATAATGATGTGTACGCGCCCACACTCTGCACGCACGGCCATGCACGTAATATACCAAAACCGACCCATCATCAAACGGTGGGTTCGAATCGGTTCGAATCGATTCCCAACATGAGAACATTTTGACACACGAAACACGACACCCTCAGGAACCAGCCCTCCAAAATCGGATACCCCCGAGCACAGTTCGAGTTATCAGCACCGGTCGCCGGCTGGCCTCGCTACGTAACCACTCACTCGACACCTGGAAGCAGTGATCAGCCGCTTATCGAGGCCCATACAGCGGGTGGCATCAAAATGTGATGCGAACAAGGCCAAAGAGCCGTGTGGCTTTTGGAGCGATTAATCGGGGCGTGTAGGTGCACAGCGTACTCTGCATAGGCAGCGTGAGGGGAGCTTGAGCGGCGTAGAAACGTGAAGTTTTTTGAAGGTTTTACGACGTGCATTGGGTTTTGGAAAACTAAGAAAGGAAAAAGCAGTATAATACGGCACACAACAATACTAATCGGAATATAGCGAAACTTTGCAGATTAGAGTTCCGGAGAAATACTATAGTAGAATCGATGCTGCGATTTCCAAGTCTTCGCGCTTAGCAAAATTTAAGTTTTGACCAAAATTTTCTGGCGTTTTCATGTTGAAATTTTTTGAAAACCCCAATTTATGGAATATGCAGAAGCGGTTGATCTCATTTTCAGATTGGTATTTGGCCTTCCCGGTCTCAGAAATTTTTAATTAATTTTCTGGGATTTAACCTGGGCCGTGCCAACCAACCAACTTTCGATGAACCAATTAGTTTCGTATATTTTGATTTCCCCCTACACCAGCGTCACCTCTCCCCTACCCCCGTAAAGACCTAATCCGGCCCTAACAGGTGCACCACCGTATGGGTAATTTGGCCCCCATATCCGCCTTCTCGACTACGTAGATCGTTATTTGCCACACCCACCGCGTCTACCGTAGGACCCTAGTAGGTCATATCCACAACCACACTCCTCACTCATTCCTTAAACCCCCCACCGGCATGAAAATGACCAACGCCACGAGCTGTGATTGCGCGGCCCTGGCCGCCGAATGCAAGCTGATGCAGTACGTCGTGGTGTTCTGCGTCCTCGGCTTGCTGTCCGTCGTGCTGATCAGCTGCCTGTGGCAGCTGACTAAGGATATAACATCTCCGTTTCGAGGTAGGATGCGGATCAATCGATTTTAAAAAGGGTTTTTAAGTTGCCGACGGAGCTAGCGTCAACACCAATCATCTGACCGTTCCGACAACTTCGCGGCGTAAGCAGCGTCAGCAGAAGCCAGAAGACTCTTCGATCTCTATGAATTGATAAACCATAATATATCCTGATCTCATGGTAAAAATGAAAATTATTTATTTCAAAATACTCCAATTACTTTATTTCACTTTTTATGCAGTCGTCATTAAATTTAAATGACCATTTTCTGCCAATTCTCAATGCCATCCAACAACCTGCCATCGTTACATACCTCAACCATCACCTCAGATTCGAATATTCCGCATCACTTCCATTTCAGCCACTGTTTTATTATAACCAAATAAATTTTTGTAAGAAATAATTCCCTACAAATGCACCAATATCCAAAATAAGAAATCAAAACACACTGGTGGTTCTTTGATTTTGGCGGAGGAAACCTTGAATTGCGGCAACTATGGTCATTGAATAGCGTTCTTTGCCAGACAGACACAGCAACGAAGAAGTGGAAAAGGAGAAGGAAAAGGAGGAGGAAGGACTGTTGACACTCTGCATACACCTTTCCAGGTCCGAAGCGGCGTTTTCTTGGGGATTTGTTTTTCATAAATGCTACTGACAGCGCCTAGAGCTTCAGCCAGTTCGGCCACCATTTTGTTGCGCCTATTGCTTTTTTGTTGATCCTTTGGGGGGAAGAGCCGGTCTCTCTGTTTCTCCTTTGCCCATCTGGTTCTATTTGTCTCTGAGACGTTCACTGTGCTTTTTGAACATTCTGCAATTATCCCTGAGGCTTCGGTGAACGTTTTTTGTACTGATCTTTTTACTAAAGTTAGACGCTAAGAAGAGGTTGGTTGTTTAAGGTTATGATTAATCACATACGCAGACAAAATTTTGTTATTGTTCACTCATAGGCCCAGGGAGAGAAAGACTGCTTATTTGATCGTCTTGTCATGGGACTATAATTATGGAGGTATGGTAGTTGGTCATAGATGCAATTTTGGTATAAAATCAAGTGGCTACTGGCTTCTACCGTTATGGGTTCGATTTTTTCGTAATATTTGGCTGACCAATCTAGTCAGCTAACTTTCCGGAATTATTTAGATTCAAAACATGAAGCCGCATCGACTTTGGTAGTTTTGAAGGTTTTGCACTATAAAAACTAAAATATAAATTAATGCTCAGTGATAAAAATTTAAATTACTGTAAATTCCATGTTGATATGTAATTGAGTACTTTGATCTTACCGTAACTTTTCACGATCACGGAATATTGCATCGTATCAAGGCTGTAATGTTGTTTGGTCGGTAATATTCAACAAGTTTCGATAATTCCCCCCCCCACGCATTGTAAAATTAATATAAATGCCTTTCACTGCAGCTCCCAGCTCAGCTTTTTCACGAAAAGATTCGAGATTTAGTTGAGCCTTATCCACTTCCGCTCGCCCGCATCCCAAAATGGGCCGATCACAGGCTGACCGGTCACACATCCTTCCCCAATCCACACCGCAGCAACGATCAACTTTTGCACCGGTCATCCGTTTTTTAGCGTTTCGGACCGAGTAGGGAGGCGACGCCCCGAAATGCGCGGGCCAGGGCGCCTCCTTGCCTTTTTCAGCAGATGCCGAGCCCTCACCGTTCTTTGATAACGATCTCAGCTCGAGCCGGTTTGGCCGGTCGAAGGGGCGGGCCGATCAGTAGCACGTTTTCTTTCAAAAACCCTGCGCAATCAGTTGATGGGTTGTTCAGCGGATTTTTGAATTTGTAGCTTTATTTATATTTTTTTTTTGGTCTGGATCTCGGTTTATTTGCACTCGTTGTGGGGGGAGATGGGGGTCTATGTTGTCTGGGGGTTCATTCCATAATATTTTCTAGTCTGCATATTTATATAATTTCAAAATGCGCAAGCTACTGTAAATTCTACGACCTGGAAACAGATTTTGAAAGTGGGAATCTGTCAGAATCTCGCAAATCGGTATCACGATTTTCAAAATTCCGAATTTGCAAAATGACGAAACGCCGAAATTTCTTGGATAGGCACCACCATTAAAAGCACCGAAAAATTAGAGCTTCTAAAACGTGAGCGTTTGAAAATTCGAAGTCTCGAAAACTAAGAAATTTGCAAATTCAAAAATTAAAATTTCAAGGTTCTCATTTGCATACTATCATGATGCGTTGCTCTCTCGAGGTCGTAAAACTCTATTTAATTTTCATCAACACCTAATACTCCACTGCCAAAATTTGTTTACCACACTGAACAACAATTGTTTGAACGCGTGACGACACACCCTATAACTCACTCAATTCTCCGCTGAATAGTCCCGAAATGTCCTCCTCCACCTCCTTCTCTCCCCGTTTTCATCGTCGAGGGTTCACGGGCGTTCTCCCACCGCACCACTGACCAATGACCAACCCCTTCCCTTCTTTGCCTCTTTTTAGATACGACAGCCGATCTCCCCTTTTTTGCCTCCAACATTCCCCCCTTTTGCTGCACCACCATCCGCCCCCCACGAAAACATCGAACCTTCCCTCGACCACCCCCAAAAACTACCCTCAAAAACAGGTACTCCGTTGTCCTTTCCCATGCCTTCCACTCTATTTTTCTTACGCTCGTTGCGTTTACACGAAAACAAGTCAACTCTAAACAATGCTCTTGCAAACTTTTGGACTCTTTGGAAGGTTTTCATACGCGCTTTGCATGGACATTTGACCATACCTTGTACTACAGTAGACCAGCGCCTAAAACTCCGATCCTGCAGACCTTTAACCTTCTTAGCATATTTCTTTCACGAACTTTGCGTATACCTTGATATCGGCTCTGTACCTACAGTAGCCAAATTGTTAAATTTCAATTTGTATGCGTCAACTCATTATCGGCGGATGCTTTGAGAATCAGCTGGTAGCAATTACCTGACGGTGGCAAAGGGGTGCGGTGTGGGAGTATAGAGTACCTGCGTAACTTTAAGCCGAAAAAGGGTAGGGGCGGGGTGGGCAAAAATAGTTTTGCAAATAAATGAACACTCCCAAAAAACCTTAAAAATCTAGGACCGCCATACAAAAAAAACCATTTTCCTATAGAAATGATTTTTGGGGTCCAAAAATTAACAAGAATTACTTAAAATATGCCAAATGCGACAAACTAGCCAAATTTTTGTAAACAACACTCCTCTGTTGATCCCACCCACATTACAAGCCACAGATTAGATAACTGATACCCCCTCTGTTGCCATTCCGTAAAAACCCTTGACAATACCCACTCAACTCACCTACGTCCCCCGGCCCCCATTTTTCCAGCGCTATGCTATATGCACAATTAATCAAGGATCAACGTTCTGTTTTCCACGTTCACCCGTTCTATGGCCACATTTCGGTGTAGCCAAATACAAATTGCCGACGCTTATTTGCTCATTCAATTCCCCCGGAACACAGCCACCCCGTCTTTTTTCCGGCTTTTTCCGGCTTTCCGTCGATGCCAGACTCATAATTTGGGATGCCTCACCTGGACCTGAGAATGCAAAACGAATGGACTAATATGTCCAAAGATCTCGATCATTTCGAAACACCTCCTACCCGCTCCTTTTGTCGCCATCATATCCTATTTGCCAGCCCGGGAGTACGTAGCACCATCGTAACGGATTTTCAGTTTTTTTTTAACCGATCCCCTCGTGCTCAGTGATCACCGCTAATTGCGGCTTTTCCCCTCCAATGACTCTCCTCGGCTATTTTCAGTGCCCTTTCGCTGAAACAAACATGCCCTTAGACCCCCTACCCCACGCCAGACACCTTTAATAAACGCGGGAACCCGCTTCTGTTTCTCAGATTCTTTTAGCTATGCTCTCGCCAAAATACTCCAGCACCAACTATTTTTTGCTTGTTTTCAGACCTTGCACTCTTTTTTGCTGATAGCCATTTTAGATTCGGTCTCCCTATTCAGGCGTTCAACGCCGCTCCTTGTTCGTAGTGTCGATTTTTCGCCCTTTTGTTTCCCACGAAAACGTCGACACATTTGGGGGGGCCAGAGTGTAGCCTCCTTTGTGCCACACTCGAACCGCCAGTGACCACATCAATGCTTTCTTTTTGGCATTGAAACGTCACATCCGTTGTTTGCGTTTGCGTTAGCCGTCGTGCAAAATTTCGGCGCTCAAATTTGCCAACCAGGCCTACTTGCAATTAGCAAAAAGTGGTATTAGAACGAGAAAAAGGACACTTGAAGGTTGTTCTCAATTTTTTAGCATAATTTACCCTTGCTAATATAGTTTTGATCCTTGACGCTCAAGGCTACGCGTATGATTCCTGTCTGGGCAATCTCACCACCTTGGTTTTTTAGCTCAGACTACAGTAGCCCAAATCCAAATCCTTACCAAATCCCCTTTTTCTGCAAGCACAACATGTTCAAATCTGATACCCCGCCACCCATTAGCACCCGATCTTCTCCCAGGCCGCCTAATCGGGTTCCAACTTTTTTACGAAAATCCTGACTCAGCAACACACATCAAGAATGCATCTGGTGTCCTGGGAAAAAGCTTGTAATTGGTTTTTTGTAGAAAAATTGGCTTTCGCCAATGATCTGTTTAAAGACGCTGCAAATGGCGCAGGTGGATTTGTTTCTCAGAATTTTGGCGTGAATTTATTATGCAACCATGTAAATAACGAGCGCAAGAGCGCGGGAAAGGCTAAAAATTTGCCACTACAATAACCTTCCCGAGTTAGTTCTAATTATTTTTACGTGTTGTTTTTTTTTGTTGTCACAACTATACTTATTCCTACAAACGCCCTTTGGTTCTTGTAGCCCAGCTTAGGCTTACGATATGTACACTTGTAATCAGTTTTCCCTCTGCCAACGTTATGCTCCTATTGACGGAAGGGCAGAGATCCATTCGATCCCCCTACTAAACAACAATTTTGATCTAGCTCAAAGATCCGTTAGGGATTTCTTGTTCCCATCCCATTCCCACCCCCTGCTCGCCCCCTCTTTGCACTTTCTGCAGTAACCTCGTTTTGGTCGACCACAACACCTTCTACCCCCCACGACCCATCAGCTTCTACGTGCACAAACATACACCCTGTGTATGTTCTGGGAAACCGCTGCCTACCCTTCTAAAGTTTTAAAGGCCACATTAGCGCCATATAATTAGGTTCTGCCCTCCTGCTGCGGCTCTCGCGCTCATTTTGCCGTTGTTCACCTCAGCCACGAGCTATGAACCCTAATCCCTTGAATTGGAGCCGCAAACACACACACGGCCCCCACGGGCCTTTCCTTTTTTATCCCCCGGGCCCAAGAGAGAAAATTGCCCCATCCGCCGATGCAAGGCGAGATATTTAGCGGCTGCAAGATGATTTTTGCAAGCCGAAATTAGGCCGGCGAGGGTGGTGGCCGGCAGGTGTTTTGATGGGGGGGTGGATCTAAATTAGTGTTCTGGCCCTCATTCCGACCAAATGTTACTTCTGGAGTTGGTACTGTAATTCTAATTTATCCTGATCAAAAAACATCTAGGAAATGTTGTCTTCAAGGGCTTTGTTCTACTTCCGATACTTAGCGGAATTCTCTGGGGAGCTGGTTTACTCTGTACCTCGCTAACTAAAGTTTAAAAAATTGGATAAGAGCACTTTTTGATGCAGATTCTTTTTATGGCGTTCTTGAGGTTATTTTTAGTGTTCTGCAGTGTTGATGTATGATATTTCAATTTTCGAGCAGTTGAATTGCATGGAGCGCTATCCTCTGAAAATGGCACTAATGATCAGCATTATAGTCAATGAAAAGGTTTTTTTTAGAAACCAATGAATCTGGATTTAAATCGGATGGTAATGGCGCTTCGCTTCGCAGATAAATTAAATTAAATTAAATTAGTAACCTTAGCAAAATAGGTTGGCTGTTTTCCAAAAGTGTAAATAATCGTTATTTCAGCGTATTGTTAAAAAAAATACTTTTTTAAATACGACCAGGGTTGAAAAGCCGCTCCGCGACTTTTCAACCCTGGCCCCATTTTATCCCTCACTTTGCATAATTGTACTGAATTCAGCTGACAAAAAAATGAAAAACAACCTCTCCTGCCCCTTTATATAGTCGAATCACCACTTCCGGTCTATGCTAATTATTTCCTAACAAAGAAGCTTTCACAAAAACTTAAATTTAATGTCGAAAATGGCTGATTTTGTAAAATTTGATATGTGTGCAGTCATCTCAAGACCATTGCGCACCTAATGACGCATCAAACATACCCGTAACTTCCTCCCCTATCGAGATATCCTCCGGACAGACAGACGGAAGTGGATGCAAAGTGGCACACACAGACACACACACACACAGACACTATTTTTTTATATATAGTAGGATAGTAAACTTAGAAAAGTTGGATATCGTTTGAAGCATTTGTCTGAAAAAAAATAGCGCATATATTCGCGATTCCAAAGCATTGAAAAATTGGGTATGGCTTTAAAGGGGCTCCGAAATCTGGTCCACGGCCCCCTGCTGTGATTCCTGGCAAATAGCCAGATGCGGCCGCAACGCGACCGCGCCGCATGTCCTTTTGCCTCAGTTTGGACGCGAAAACGCCTGAATTTAAAAATTCCGATACTATTTTTGGAATCCTCAACGAATTTTGGTCATTCCAGACTTTTAAATTATGAAAATTGATCATAGAATCGCCGCGGTTTTTCTCAAACATTTTACGTTTTTTCGTAATCAAATAACGTTTTTGGCACTTCGCGGCAGTGACCCTTTCGTTTTTTGAGCCGTAGGTTCAATCCCGCACGCACGAATTTTGACTTCTGAGCCCCTTTAAGTAGAATAGGTATCTCAGAAGAGTTTGCTGCTGATTTAGGCGATTTTTTTAAAAACGGATTATCCAATTGGTATTCTAAGGCATAAATGACCCGATTTCCCAAACATCATCTCCCATATCGCCCCCGGGATAAAGCAGACGGTTTTTTTATAGTGAAATCATATCTGCGCGGCCGCCTAAATGCTGGCCGACCAACGAAAGAACCGGAAACACCACCCAGCCCCCATCGAATCAATCAAATTGATTCGGGTCGGTGCATGTCAAGTGCTGTTGGACAACATCAGGGGCTCACAGATCACACGCTCGCCCAGCCAGCAGCAGTCGCTTTTTGCCTCCCTTTGCCACCGCGGTCCACATTTACCAATCGGTTCCCCGTTCCCCCCAGCCACGCTGTGCACAATATCTCTCTATACACAACGAGTAGAGAGGTAGCAATTACCAGCGCCCCCCCATTTTGAATAGATCGCTGATCAGTGGTCAGCATGTTGGTGGTTCGGTTCTGCTAATGAGAGCCCTCTTTCCCACCCACAGGCCCATTCTCCAAGTCGACTCGTAGGGCTACTGTAACCTGGCGGTGGCTCCAGGATTTATCCCACCCCAATATCAATCGGCGGCCCCGCCCACTTTGGGTGCGCCTCGGATTTGCAAATCCGATTCATTGAGGGCCGCGGATCTGAATAGTTTGGAAGATGGAGCTTCGGTTCAGGTAGGGATTTTAGAACGTAGGGTTTTAGCTAAAGGTTCCGAGTCTTTTCTCAAATTTTCTGCACCTTTGGAGCTCTCCGACAACCGTTCTATCGTTTCAACCGCCACCTTACACCCAGAAACATACCACACACGCACCCACTTTTTCCTCAACCTTTGGTCGACCCAATTCACTTACAAAAATTCCCAGCGCCCGGCGCAAAAACTGCGGGTACACCACAGATGTGGGCGGTCATTCTCGCATGGCGGGGGCAGGGCGATTTCAGGCGATGAGCGCAGAGACCGGTGAGAGACCAAGCGCCGAGGTGCAACCTTTGTTTCGGGCCGTTTTTGGGGTGGAAAAGCACGCGGCAATGATCCAGTGTATTTGTGCGCCAGAAAATCATATTTTTTTAGAGTTAAATATAGCAGAATTTGGATAGTATGGCTCCCGTAGTTTTTTTGAGCACTTGACTGGCTATTCATGTGCATGGGGATACATTTTTATTAAGATACCCGAGCCTATCTATGCTACACCGGAAATGATTTCCGGCTTATTTTAATTGTGGTCTCATCTAGAGCTCCAAAAATTGTCCTTGACCACAAGCTCCTCCTCATTTTTCATCTCCAACCATCTGAACTCTTAGTGGTTGGGTACGATCCTTGGCCTGGTGACGCCAACACCCGATCTCTCATCATCCTCCCCCAACCCTTTGCTAATTTTCCAAATCTTCTCCCGTCATCCAATCAAAGTCCAACCAGCCCCAGCCATCGACCATCCGATCAACCATCCCGCCGTCTCAGCCTTTTCTTTCCAGCCTCTCACCTCATTCTCGATCCCCCTCAACCTCATACAAGATCGCCCTCCCCTGTTCCTACCATCCACTTCATAGACTCCGCCCCTAATATGCCATTCCGATGCACCATCCCTTTTTAGCCCTCGCATACACAAACAGTAACGCGAATCCAGTCCAAAAATTCGCCCAAAACACCTCCCCCCTCTCACCACCAAACTGTTGTTTATCGATGTTGGAGCTGCCCGATTTAGCTCATTCCGTGGGGCACCTATGTGAATATTTGAAGAAACTATAGATTTCATTGGGTGCTTTCCAGGGAGAGAAGCCGAGTATGCTGCTGCCGGAAATGCTGGTGAACTCGGCGCTCACCTTTGCAGCCACACCTGCAATCCTGGCGAGCGAAAGTGAGTATTTAAAAATATTATTTTTGTTAGTTAAAGCACCAACTTAATTTTAGAAACACCAAGTATGCCGAAAATTTTGTTTCAGGCTTTCTAAAATCCACATAGAATTTTTTTAGATAGCTCCATCCCCAAAACCTCGCGAATTAACCTGATCACCAATTTTCGTGCAAAAACAAATCCCACGGGAGACAATCCATAAAATTTATCTTATTAATAACATTTTCCCAATCATCTACTACTATATTTAAACCCCAAGATCACTTCTCCGTTGCTCTCCTATTTTTGAAAAAGCGGCAGATCAACCGATCGGAAATCGCGCTGTAAAAATCACATTGGCATTCAATTTTTGTTGCTCCCCCAGCCCCGGAAAGCATTTCGCGTGCCCCAACAAAGTGGCTTTGTTGGTCCAGGGGCCATTTGCCGCTTCAGAACTATAATCATGTACGTTAATAAAGATGGAAAGTGGTGGGGGAATTGGTAAAAATCGTAAAGTGACCGTTTTTCAGAACCCACTGAACGCGGCAACCGCTGCGCCGAGGTTTGCGCCGTATGTGGGGATTTTTCCACGGGATATCACTATGAGGTGCCGAGCTGTAATGGATGGTATGAAAAATAACAAAGATCACTTAGTTTTTTTTTAGCAAAACCTTCTTCCGGAGAACAATCGTCTCCGAACGAGTCTTCAAATGCCATAAAAATGGTAATTGCCTTTTTAACAAAGGTGAGTTTCGAACCGGAATTCGTGGAGTAAGGCTTGAATCTGATGGGATTATGCCCCATTGACCAACAGCTGGGGTTGATCTGAAGCCTTAATTTACGGGGAAACTACTAAGCTCCTTTTTCCAGACATACGTTGCGCCTGCCGGGCTTGCCGTTTCAAAAAATGTCTGGAGGTTGGGATGAACCCGAAAGGTAGGAAAAACCAAAGAAAATTAATTCTTAAAAATTCTAGCAATCCAATGCAGCCGGCCACCAATGCTACCGTACCATGCCTCGTTGACCCCAAAATCCCCTGAAGATTCGCTGCCTCATTCGGCACCTTTAGGAATTGCAACAAATGCGTCTCTAGATACGGTAGTTTTGAAGACACTTAATAGATGAGTTTTCTTAGATGCTACCCCAACGGAAACGAGCCTACGATATTTCGTCTTTACTTGGCATGAGCACCCCATCAACATCTGGTGTCCAAGAGCCAGTCGATGTCAAGTAAGTATAAATATTATTCTCGGCTGGACTATTCTAGGCTCCCTCCTAAATTGCGCCCCCATAATTGCCATTTGGTTAATCTCACTGGATTAGGGGATCGTGGTCAGGTCATTGAGGTGTCAACCGTGTTAGAAAGCGAAGTACAGTAGTTGACCCAATAATCCGATAGCCTCTTTAAACATTTGAATTCTAAAGCTTGAAACAACCGTACCCAATTTCAGAATCAAACTCGAAGACTGTGACGGCAATTCCGGTTACGGTAGCTCGTCCGGATCCCCAAGAGCCTCAAAAACACCTCGACTAGACCAAGAACAGGTACGACATTACTTTCAGGTTACTCACTCGGAATCGTTTGTTCCACTCTTTTTACATCGATTCTGGGGCTTCAATTCTCATTTTGTGGTATTACTCTAAAGCTGATATTACGGGCTCAAATAGTCTGAAGATGATTTGGATCTTCTGGTACATGGGGTGAGCGTGCTGGCGATAAGTAGGTGTACCAAGGTATGCTGGTTTTGGAATTTTGGAGGGTATTTCTTGGGCTTTGAGGGTTGGGTTGTGCTTTATAGGACCAGGTGCTTGCTCTTTGCGAAATTAGTCGGTACTAAAATTGTCTAAGGGTTATCAATTTTGATATTAAATTACCCATCGGCTTATTATTGAAGGGAAAAATATCTTTTGATTGTGGGCTTAATTAGCCTGATCTTATGTTCAAATGACAGCATCACCTATCTAACAGAAAAGGAGTCGTTTTGATCGAAGTAGAAACGGGCGATTCCACAAACCCAAATCCAAGACTTTGCCACGATTTTTAAGGAACAATAGCAGCAGAAAATCAGTTTTAAAGTGCATTTTGGACAAATTATGTTTTTAAGTTCTTACCCCAAAATAGTTTTTGCTGTTTTTGCATCCGGAGAATTTACCCACGAAATAACTACCGATCACAGCCCGATTGAAAAGTTTTGTATACATAACATAACTCGAATCCGCTGGCTTATTTCGGGGTTTTGGAAGCCGGGATTTTACGTTTGGGGGATCATACGCTTTTTTGGGATGTCGTACCAAGCGTTCAAACGTATTTTCCGCTATTGGACTACGTGGTAGTATCGACCTTTTGATCCAATTCCCACTATTAATCTCTCCAATATCCGGGGCTCTGATTTCGTGAGTTAGTGGCTGCAATCCCTTCGGCAAGAGAAGCGAAAAGGGGCTCATTATACGAGCGAACGGCGGTTCCCCCGCCAGAGCGACCAAACAGCACATTGGGCCAAGGCAGTCGGCGGTTGCTGACCACAGATCATCAAGCCCACCCTTCCCCTCCATCCATCGCCCGCACCCAACAATGCCACAGCCACGCACACTGCAAAACCGCCGTGCGCTACGCTTCGTTTCGATCGTTTCGGCCAGGGGGGAATGGGCGGATTTCGAGCAAACACCCGACCACATCAAACATGCGCGCACACCAAAACCGCGCGTTTTTATGTGGGGCACCAGAGTGTAGTCGTGGAGGAATGAGGATGAACACAAGGTGGTTGAAATGGGGAAGGGTGGGCTGTAGGCTAATTAAAAAAAGTTTTTTTACGTAAATTTTGCGGAGAAACTTTAATTTTTAAGGAATGAAAGACGAGATGGGCCAGATTGGTTTTAATGAACGTGCTAAAATATATAAAGCTTTTGCAGTAATACATAAGGCGTAAAATACAGATGATTATCTTATTATTCTTTAATTGACAGAACTAGGCCTAAAACCTGTTTTTCTAGCTCCGCATGCTAGCGAGTTTGCCAATTTCAGATGATCACCTCCCTACTGATGTACGAAAGTCGGGCAGACTTCCTGCGAACTTCCGATTTTGAGCCTGCCGTCAGCCTCCTCGACTCATTAACAAAACCCTGCGGATTGGATGATATTACAAAATATGCGGTAGGCACTTGTACGGTGACAATAAATATGCCAAGGATTTAGCAGCGCCAAAACACCACCATCCGGACAATGGGCCAATGGGTCGATCTCGAGATCACCATCTGTGTCGAGTACGCAAAAGCGTTCGAAGCGTTCCGAAACCTCTCAATTGCTGACAAGGTAAAGAGTCGATATTGTGTCTTGATGGCATGGTTTTAGTGTGTGTTGATCGACGACACGTGTATGCCGTTGGCGCTGCTATCCCTGGCCCTCTCCACTTATAATCGGGGGCTTCCCGGTGTTTTGACCCCCGATGGGCAGCCGATTGAATATGATGGGCTTAATAAGTAGGTCTTCAAAATGAGAAAATTACTTACTGATCTATAGAAATAGAGTGTTAGATACATTGTGAGAAGAACTGGCGGTTTTAGACGGTCATTAATGCGTGAATTTGCAGTGAATTCTTCTCCTCCCGAATCCGTGGGCCACTTGATAGGATCAACATGGATCGGACATCACTCGCGCTCCTTAAATGCATTATATTCCTCCATGCAGGTTTGTTTTTTCGGATTTTTGCGGGAATGGGGAGCACGAGGTCGCTAGCGATTTTTGAGCATTACTACTACTACAGACTAGCTCCAACTCGAATCAAATTTTAACGATCCTTAAAAAGTTTGGCTAACTTCCTAGTAGCCATTTCGACTTGACTGCACCCAAAACATCTAGCGTGATATCATACCTGGTCACCGGTTGACCGATCACATTGGATACGATCTTTTCCTCCGAGACTGCGGAGAAACTGAGCAGAGCCCGGGTTGTCCCATCGGGTTAGGCTCAGCACCATCATCATCCCCTTGAAATGGGAGATCGAAGCAAAACGATCCTTATCGCTTTTGCAGAGTGTTCCGCATTGTCTGACGCTGGCAGGATGGCGTTACATGCGAGGAGGGAGAAGTATTATGAGGGGTTGAATGCGCATGTTTTTAATACGCAGGTGAGCAATAATGTAATACCATGCGCTGAAAGCCGCTTATACATTTACAGTAATAATAAAAAGCTTTAGGGAACCAAAGCTCCTTCCCAAATGTGTGATCTTGTCGCATTGGCGTGGACACTTTTCCAAGTATCCGCTAAAGTGAGTGTTTTTTCAATTAGCGCATAATTTCTAGAACCTAAAAACATTTTAATTTGAATCTTAGGTTCGTGATTCTACCATCACAAACCCATCACTCCATAAACAAGTCATCGACACCTCAGCTGTCTGGAAAGCTCAATAAATCCCCCACCCCTACCCAGTCAAACATGTCCTACTGGTTTTTATCCTAGCATCTCCAATCGACTTGCCTAACTTTATCAGATTCGAGTTATCCATCAAAATATTGTATTTCTATTTTTGTAAATCACCCTTTTGATACCATTGTGATATTTCTATCCATTTCCTCTGTGTTTTTTTTCACAGTATAATCTCTCCAGTCCTCTTCGCATCATTTGTGTTTCGGGTCGCTGCGCCAGCGTTTTTCATCAAAGTGCGATATCATATTCAATAAATGACAGAGTCTTAGAAACAAGAGAATTTTAATAACTTAAAGGGCACGTTCAGGGACGTTTTTTGGAAAAAAGCAAAGGTTTTTGCCGCGGCCGGGGGTCGAACCCGGGTCCCCCGCTCGGGAGGCGCGGATGGATACCAGTCAACCACAGCTACAACCTGGCAAGGGGGCGAGGGGGCGCCCCACGCCGCAAAGGAGGGGAATGGCCTGTCACAGCACGGGCAGGCCGCGCGCGCGGTCCCTACGTCCATAGGGTGTACACGTTGGGACGAGTACACGGCCCCTCCCTGAACGTGCGCTTTAAACAATATATTTATGCAAAAAAAAACGAATTATAAAACTGGCTAGAGAGCGTTTATGGGGTGTGGACCTCGACTTCCCAGGTGTGATCGAAGGGTTCGAATTTCCATTCATCAGGGTGTCCGTGGTGGGGGACTCGCTGGAAAAGAAATTTCTTAGTATTAATTAGCATACTTACGGTATTAAAATCAAATGTGCTCCACTTGAAGGCCGGGACCTGGTCGTAGGTGGGGCCACCCCAGGCGCGGAATCCAAGCTTCTTCATCATCTCGTAATTGGTGCCCTATAGATGTTCGCTATTTTCAGAACTCATTGTTCAAAACAAGAGTTTTGGGTGCTAGGCTACCTTCGCAAATTTACGTCTTCACATTGTTTTAGGGCCTGGGAATTTGGTCGACTCTGCAGCCCCTAATCCCACCAAAATCCCCAGACCATTCCCAGCTCACCTTGTAGTCCAAACCACCATGATTCACGTGGCCCATGCCTGGGAACTCGTACTTTCCATCGGCTGGGTTCAAGTCTAAAGAGCAATTAAAATAATCTCGCAAAAAGCTCAACCTCCGCGAGCAGAAATTCCAGCCTCGGCGGAGTATGGGGGGGTGCAGTTGCACTTGGAGAAGGGGTCGTTTTGGTAGTTGTTATACCTAAAAAGTATTTAAAGTTGATTTCCAAATAAAACAGCACCTCATCAATTTGGTGAGCGAGTCGATGCACTTGACATTGCCATGATCACGGTCGAAAATCTTGGCACGAGGGGATTTTCCCCACTTGAACCAATCACCGAGTTTTTGGGACTAAACTTTGCTCTTAAGACCGCCAAAATATGAAAAAAAAATGATTATGTTATGAAATAACTTACGTGTGGGATAAAGCCCGAAATCTCGGTAATCTTGCTGAAGAACGGAATATTATAGGACGGGAAGTAGGAATAATTCTTCAAGAACCACGTCAGATCGTTGTAGATGATCGTTCCGCTTTAATAAAAATATCGAGTAAATTAAAAAAATTCTTACGGCATCTGCTCCAAAATGTAAAGCAAAGAGTCGTTGGCCAAGGGTTGGCCGGGGGTGAATTTGTTGTAGTCGAGGACGACCCATTGGTTGTTGTAGGTTCCTGAAAATTACTATCGGCTTGGAAGATTATATTAGTTATACCAGAGTTAAGCTTAGAGTAGATCTTGCACCATTCGAGTCCATCATGCGCCAATTGGTTGGAGATGATCGCGCGGACCCAGGTGGGGAGCTAAAAAGCTGATTAATATTTTTGTGGTTTTTTTGCTTATATGATTTCTCCTTTATAATTTTAAGTTTTAACTAAAAACCATTATATAGCAAAATTAATATATATCGTTTAAAAAATTAGTGTATTTTTACCCTTTCACATCACCGATCGCACTTAATCGACCTTTTATGTATAATTCAATTACTCTACCTGACTGGTGTTCGTCTTCTCAAACAGGGTATTGTTGAACACCGAAATGGTCGTCTCGATGATCGCCTAAAAATTGTGCCAGGTACGGTAGCTGCAAGCTCATTCTTGACGACCAATGAGCACACCCCACTAATTCAGCACAGCCATCGAGCCCTTTTCGGCTTCCAGCGGCTTAATAGGGTGTGGAATCGTACATTCCTACTAAAAGCTGGGGACCAAAAATTACCAATCCAGACGACATAAGCGCGAAATCGTCGGAAGAGTACAGCATTCCAGGGTATGAGGCCATCGAATGGGCATATCCGGGGTAGTGCTTTTTGTCTAAAAGCAGGGATGAATTCCGGAATAAATTATCCTACCGTAGTCAAACTTGTACAGCTTCAAAACTCGCAGCATGTTCTGGAAGCCGCTCATGGTGACTTGAGAAATGAAGAGGTCCTTGTTTCCGGGCGCGACCTAAAAAGGAGTGACTTTAAAAAGAGGAAGGGGAAACCTTGACAAGTCCGGAGCACTTTCCATCGGTCTGGGGTTGATCGGCGGTCTTGTTCAGCTTCTTTTCAAGGTCGTAGAAATCACCATTCCAGTTGATGAAGCTAAAAAAGAAGATGAGCTTCTATTAATGTCTCACGTAATCGGGTGGAGCTCCAGAGTGATTCTGGAGTTCACCGGTCGGCCCTCAAACCCGTCGATAAGGCCGGAGAGTTGGTAGTAGGTGCGGTTGACCTGGAAATTATGAATTAATGCGCTCCACAAGAAATGTTTTTATCCTACTATATATAAAAAAATAGTGTCTGTGTGTGTGTGCCACTTTGCATGCAACTTCCGTCAGGCTGTCCGGAGGATATCTCAAGGAGGAAAGGGTATTAGGCTACGTATAATACGTCATTAGGTGCGTAATGGCCACGAGATGACTGCACGTATATCAGATTTTAAAAAATTCGTAGTTTTCGACATTAAAATTATGTTTTTGTTGTAAAATCGGGAACCCTCTTTGGTAGGAAACAATTTGCATAGGCCGGAAGTCGCGGGAGCTTATATAATGAGCGAGAGAGTGACATTTTTCATTATTCGCATCAAAATGGAGAATCGTAGACCAGTATGCAAAGTGAAGGATATTATGGGGGTTTGACGGGGCCAGGGTTGAAAAGTCGCGAAGCGGCTTTTCAACCCTGGTAATGAAATTAATAAAATGGTTTAACTCACAGCGCTCCAGTACACATCATCAGGCTTAGCCTGCTGAATCTGCTCGGTCGTCCACTTTGCATTATCAGACATAAACGTCTTCAGTCGGTTGCAATATCCAGTGTAATTAGTGCAATACACATCCACGGTATTCATAATGTGGAATTGGACGACTGGCTTGGAGAGGATACCTAAACTTCCTTACTAAACACCCAGCCGGCACCTACCCTCCAAATACCCCGCGGAATACGCTTGCTGTTCGGGGGTTGCATGCTTCCCGAATGTCTCGACTTCATAGAACGTCCACCTGAATTAGAATAATTCTTTGTTCCAAATCCTCTGCGTTTCGTACCCAGAAGCATTGACGGCATTCTTCCACCGGGCCTGGGCGATTGGCTGCTTGCAGTCGATGCCCTCGACCACCTCCAACTTGCCGTCGACCAGGCACATTTGCTTGTAGGTGTACCACTCATCTTTGCCCAATTCCTTCTGAGGTATTTTGTTAAAGAAGAGGTTAAGCTGTGCTTTACCTCCTTGTGAAGCTTGGACTGGGCGTAACACGAGGCAACTGAAAATGGTTTGCGTTTTATAAGGACGAGAGACGACTGACTGGCTATTAATGTTTACATAAAGATCTCAGGAATGGCGGGAACTACAAAATACTTGGTTGACAGTAGCTTATTTAAATTCCAAAAGCATGCGCGAATACCAAAAAAATTTTGAACTTTTACACCCCCATAACCTGTCACTTACCAACAATGAATATCAACAGCAAACGGCATGGCCAGGAACCCATTTTCGGTCGAAAAAGGGTTCGGCAAAAAGTGGCTTCCAGCCCCGACGGGCCTACTTATCGCTTCGAAGACTTATCAGCCAGCCACTGCTTTCAATGGTCCGAGCCCAGAAGACCTCAGTATCACTCTCTCTCTATGCCTCTATCTCTCTCTCTCTCTCTCTCTCTCTCTCTCTCTCACCTTTGCTCTACCTGGTTTCAACGCTTTTTGAAAGAACCCCTTGGCGGGTACTCTTTGGGTCAATAACAGTCCCCCCTGAAATGCTGAACAGTTTATTCCAACAGCCACTAATCGGAAGCAACAAGTTTCAAAACCCGAACATGCCAAGATTCCAGATCTATGGGGGTTAATACCATATAGGGGGAAATGATAATCACAATTGACTAGAAATGGAGTGCTTTCCTCTACCCGTTCTGCTTTTTCGTTTTGGTTTTTACGGTTCCTCCATTGCATACCAGCGGGCTTGGCTTTTTTCCTCGCGAATTATCGCTCGCCATAGCTCTTTGCATCTACAATTAGCTTGAATGAGCTTGTAAACATATTCAAACCTGTGTAATGGCAGTTCCATTCGTCCCAACACATCACATCCCATCCCAAAAGTCCCAAATTCGTGAATGGCCTGTATCAGTGGTTAGGGCGCAATATAGAAATAAACTACCTCCACTTCCAATACAATATCACAGAGACTACTTTTCGGAATATTAAACGTCAACGACTCGTTGAATTGTGCATTCCGCATATTTTTCTTTGATGACGTCTTCTTCCGTTTCAGCCGTTTTTCGTTATTGTTTAGCAACGAAACACGAATGGCGATGCCTAATTGGAGGAAATAAAGAATTTCTTTAGTGGTTTCGTACCTGCATTAGTATCCAAATTCTTTGGATTTAGGTTACGCGTTTTGAAGACGTTCATTGTCAGCCGTTGAGCACGACTGAGGTAGGTAAGGGAGAAGAGCACTTCACCAAAACCTTTCTAGACAAGAGACGTAACTATTGATGCTTAATAATGAGTACCCCTCCATTCTCATCAAACGGCAGCACTTCGGCCCAAAACACAGTCGGGTTTTCTGGGTCTGTTGAAACGTTGATACTAGATATCTTTATTTAGACATTTGAAGTATCAAATTACCGCCCAAGCGTCAGCCAACAATATCCAATGCATTCATCAACCGAGAATTGATCAAAATCGTAGACCATAATTTCTAGCCGACAGTTGGAGATGTTTGCAGCAGGGCTCTGGAACGGCTTTTTCAAAAGGCTATGCACCCTTCTTTTCTATAGATCACAACTACGCTGTTCACAATGCTTACATTCAATTTTTACCTGGAAACAGAAAGACTCATTGACAGTCGGCGAAGACGTATTTCTCTGCACCTTCGTCTGATGCTCCACCTTTGTCTCCTTATTCTCCGGCAACTCGAGCGCGACTCGGAAGTACGGATTCGGGTTTCCATCCTGGTTCAAAAATATTTTCTTCAAATCTCGAATTACCTGTCGTTTGCTCGGAACATCTATAGCTTGCATCAGGCAGACGGTGATAATCCCGAGGTTAGGATCGTGGAATATGCTCAATTTGATCGAGCCTGAGGCTCCGATTGATTCCTCATTGTAGGAGGATTCAGAATCGGGTCCCTAGGAATACATCTACTATAATGTCTCAAAATAGCTACGCACCGTAATCTGATACAATCCTTTGTCAAATTGACTTTGCACTGGATTCGTAAACATCGAGCGCTGCTGGCGGTTCGCTTTCGGAATCGTGAACATATTCGAAACGTCTCCTCGAGCCATTTCTAAAGATAAAGGTAATTTTCAAAGCCTTCCCCCAGACCTTTTATACCACCAAGACACTATCGTCAAATTATAGGGTCTACTAACAACAGGTTGTGGGCGGACACCTTGAAACAACCGCCCCCAGCTCTAGAATTACCCAAATTCGCAACAATTAATGCAATATAATGATGGCCTTAAAGTCATGTGATCGGGTTTTTTGGGGCCAAAATGATATGAGGCATTGCGGTCTGGCTTCAGCAAGTTGATTAGGGCCTGCGAAAATTCCCGGATGTCTCGTTAAAGTGCTGGGTATTTCACAGGAGATACAAAATTTCGCTCCAGACATGCAAGGAGAATGAATCAACAGCTAGATAGGTTGGGATCTAGGAAAACACTCGAGGCGCAACTGGTAGGAGAGTGGGGGGTGCGATGCATTTGTTTTTAAATAAAGCGTTAAGGTTTGGTCGTTATTTCGGAGATCGCAATTAGAGGGGAGAAATTGTGAAAGGATTGTGGGGGGGGGCAAGGTTTTAGAAGCCAGAGTTCCAGTTATGGGCTGTCAAGGGCAGAAGTTCAGGAGCTGGGATCTGCATTGTGTTTCGAGTAATTGCGCGCGTTTTCGTGGCGTATGTGCGTTATTTTGGGGGTTTGTGATGACTTGCCTTGTCTCATCGGCACAATACGTGACTGTTTTCGGCTGAGGACTTCGTGGCTGAAAAAAATGGGTTTAACGATATACTCAAGAAAAACAGCAATAATGTAGGTCGAAAAACTTACATACTATCCCGGTCGTCTTCAGTGTCCAAACGATTAAACGCTTTACACCTCACTCGTTGTGTGTTCGTCCTTGATAAATCCAAAACGTTTTTCTCGTACCTAAAATTCCAAATAAATCGGTATAACCTAAAACATTCTAGTCGAACAACAGACAGCACCAAACCTTTTATACTCAAACCCAAACCCAAAATCAAATCCCTCCCATGTTGCCTATTGACCAAAAAGCCCCCGATCCCTGACGTAAGACAATGATTCTAAAATTCAATCGCTACAACGATCCTATGTAAATGCAAACACAAAAACACCCATCAAGCTGATGAAAATCCCAAAGGCCCGCTTTTACCCCCTGAACGGCTTCCAAAACCCCCGCCTTTCCCACACGTCTTCCCGACCAAAATTCCGGCATATGTTAATTTTTAAGCGGATGAGCGCAGCTGGACTTTGGCTCGCTTATAGCCTTTCAAAATTCATAGAACATATTTGCTATCAAATTCATTAATTTCACGCAAGTTTCCTGGCCACGAAATTTCAAATGTGTTCTGCTCGTCAATAACCAACAAGAAAATAATCCCCCAGTCGCCACAAATTGTTATTCCCAAAAGCTCAGAATACAAAGCGGCGATTCTTGGGTGGATAATTTGGGGCGCGTGGAAAATTTTATTTAGAGGAAATCAGGTGTTACTTACCAATTCATTCGTCTGGATTGTGCGAAGAAGAGGAGGATGATGACGAGAACAATTAGGATGGTACCGGCCATCAGATACATGACAAGCATTGTCTGATGGCCTTCGAGGAGTTGTGTGATTTCCATATTTGATCTGAAAATGTGGAAAATTGAGCTTAAGCAGGTGAGTATATAATTCATTGAAACAAAAAATAGAATAATCTAAAAAACCAGAAGCAGAAGCAGAAGAATTTCATATTCTTAGCTTTTATAGAAAAAGACATGATGACAAAACACTTTGGCTTGAATGAATGCATGAAGTCACTCATAAATTTAAGCTTTTCGAAGACGCCAATTTCCAAAAAAATGATGAATACAACCATCCAACAACATGTTATCGAGCCCCATCCACCCAGAATAAGTAGCCTCCCAACAACCTCTGACGCGACTCCCAATTTCCGAAATGTGACCAATACCACACCTCCCTACCTCGACCCCCAACCCTGTCCAAGTCGAGGAAATAAGGAAAAATGTTGGCAGTCTACCCCCCACCACCAGCCAGCCTTATTTGAAAGGGTCATTAGGAGCGCGGCCTCGAAATGGGACCCTCCACTCCTTCTCTCTACTCTTTTTCTTCTTCCACATCTCATAAACTGTGAAGTAATAAATAAGCATGGCCTCCACGGGAGTGTGGACCGCAAAAAAATCGCGCCGAGCAATTATTTGGATGCCCAATAAAAGCTTGATTAGACTGCTGGAATGGAATGGGGAAGCTGGGGGACACGCCATTCCACTTGAAAATTAAAAATATGTGTTATTTTTTGCAAAACTTCGTTAGTGGAAGATAATTTTAGACCAGACACATAATCGAGGCGTAATTGGACGTGAGTTATTGGTTCGGGGTGGAAAGGCAACTACAAAAATATGCGGCAACGGGGTGGATAGATGGCAGGGTGGAAAAGAAGAGCTGGGGATTTAGATTTGAGGAAACCTTATATGTCAAAGGTTGGACGGGGAGCCTGAGCGGGGAGGCAAACCGTGTGGCTACTTTTTATTGGCGTTAATTTGGGCTTCTTTGGTGGGGATGGGATATGAAGCCTGGGGGATAAGCCGGATGATTGGTTTTGTTGAAGAAAAGGATTTAAATCGGAGAAAATGGGAATCAGAAACGAAAAAGATTCTGGAAAAATGTTGCGTAGAACAGGAAACACTCAGTTTTTTGTGTTTTTCTTTAAGAATTTAGATTTTTTCTGGCTAGAATTTACTTGTCACTGCAATTTTCCATATTTCAATATTTTGGACTTTAATTAAAAATCTTACTAGATTTTTTTTGATGCTCTATCGAAGGCGGTGATCAAAATCCGGACAAAGACGCGGAAATCTTGAAAAATTTTCGGAGCTCCTGGCTGGGGGGGCGGTAAGATAAAGACTAGCCATTTTTCTACAGTTCTAACTGGTAAAATACATTTTGGAAACCACCGAGCTGAATTAAATCGATCAAACATTAGAATTTCAACCATACGCTTCATATTGCAAGGCTCTGAAAATCCCAACCACTACATTTTGCAGCAGCAACCTAAAAAATACCCAGCAGAAAGACTAAACACCAAATTCCGCAGCCCTATAGAAGGTTCCGCCTAAAATTCTATGTAATGCCGTAGCGCAGCAGATAAAAGAACCGCGTTGGTTCGTGACCTCTGCATCGGTGATGAATTGGAATTGAAACGATGCGGAACGGCCCACCGCGAAAAGCCTAGATAAAATAGATGCCGCCGGCGAAATTGCGCTAGCTGAACAAAATTGCCCCTTTTTGCCCTTTTTTGCCGGAGCAAATAAGAAGAAGAAGAAGGGAAAGCTCTTGTGATCCTCCCCCCTTTTCTGCTACACGCCGCACCATGCAGGGCCACACAACGTCAAATGGTAATACGAGAAAGCGAAACGACGGCGCGTCACTTTGGCGTTGCTTTGTTCCGGTGCACGAATTCTTTGGTTTTTTGTAGAGTTTTCTGCATTCCATTTAATTCAAAAAATATCTATTAAATTAAAATTTAAATAAATTTTCTGAAAATTTTTTAAATTCTCAATTTTTCAGAAAACCAGCCCCTAGGATTCGAACAACAAACGCAAAAGGCTGGCCTAGCCGCGAAAAATCTTAACGCCCAGAAAAACAGCAGAAAAAGATTATAAAATGAACGGTTTTCGCTTCCATAATTTCGTTAAAACCCAAAAATGCGAAATAGCAAAAAACACCGCCTGCCAAGCGCTGAAGACTAATTACTTTTAGAGCCAATTATGAGTGACGAGTTGGAGGAAAGAGGAGCATACGAGCCACAGCTCCACCTTTTTGAGTGGGTGGTTTTGCACCCGGGCTGGATATTGCCGATTTAAGCGGTTTAACGGAGGATGAGAGGGGAGGGGGCAGCAAATGAAGGAAGTGCGGGGTGAGCTGAAAACTGCGTTTTTTAATTTACTCAGATCAAAAGGGGGATAAAGGTGGTGGAGTGAAGAAACGAACGGATGGGGGAGGAAAAGCTGAAAAAAAGAATGCGTGAATTGGGTGAAACTGGTAGGATTAAGGATGGTAAGTTGCCTCGGGAGAGCTGGAACTTATAGCCTAGTTTTTATGACTTCACATACAAGCGAAAGGCACCTTGTAGTGCAGAAATTTAGGCCCTTGAAAGTAAAGATAATGTTCCTGATGCTTTAGCGTGTTTTAGCATGCAATCTTGTTCCGGTTTAACATGTTTAAATCCGGAATAGAAATAGAAAATCTTAACTACAGTTACCGCAATGTTTTAGTACTGACCAGGGTTGAAAAGCCGCTTCGCGACTTTTCAACCCTGGCCTCTGCGGGGCCCTGTGATACACGGGCACTTTGCATATAATAATTTGCATTAATATTACGAATTACGTTAGCGATAGGCACATCACAGGAATTACTTGAGCAACCGACTCGGAACGCGGAAAGCCCAGAATGGACCGAATTAATCCTCGTATGCAAATTGGTCTATTTCCATATGTTAAAAACGTTAAAATAAGGTATTAAACGGCATTTTTATAAAAAGCTGATAAGCATGCAGTAATCTAGGCCCTCGATTACCCCTTACTACCTTACTTTCGGACCATAAAATCCTTTCCCTTTTGAGTTATGGCTGGAACCCGTGTTTTTATGCAAAGTGTCCACACACACACACAGAAACTATTTTTTTATATATAGTAGGATGATATGGCCTTAAAGATTCCTGTACTTAAATTTCCCATATCCAAACCGTATAGCGCGAAAGTTATAGCCATATTCGACCATCCCACACACAATTCCATATTCCTGCTTCTCTCTTTTGGCATTGCATGACGCCAAGGTAATCTATTCGGAAAGTGCGCAATAAAACGGGGCTAGAATGGATAGGTTCGGCCGGCCCGAGGGGGGCCCACGCGGCCCAGATGAGCTAATTCCTGGGTTCATCGTAATGTAATGCTGGTCGAGAAGGACCAGCGGGTAGGACGGACGTGTGTCCTGGGAATGGGCCAATACGAAAAAAGGCGGCTAGACGTTGTTAATGGTCAGTTTAAGGGAAAATTTTATTGCAGCAACATGTAACGGAGGCGCGAAAAATCGAGATTGTTCTAACCGTCAAAAAATATTATAGCTAAACCTAAGGGGATTTCATCTGAATCAAAGACTAAATCTCAAGCGTTAGAAATGATCTCATGATCTCGAATATTTTAAATCTGGCAATTTAAAGAAACTAGAATCTTCCGAGTCTAGAACCTTCTATATTTGAAACTCACAGATACTATATTCTTCCTAATTTCAAAATTTGCATAGGCAGGATGCGGGACCAGACATGGAATTTCCCTTGAAGCTGGTTGAGTTTTGGATATTTCGAGACTATAAATCTTGGAAAAAATGGTCTCGATTCCGAAAAATCGAGGACTTATTTTGCGAGATTCCGATATGAAATAAAATTAAAATAAGATACGTATGATTAATAATGTTCAAAAATAAGGTGATGACAATTGACAATGATATGTTAACCAAGAATTAGTCTGAGCATCTGAAAAACCTGAAATCAGACCCTAAAATTAAGTAAATTTTTAACCCTACTAATGCCATAATACCCTAATGCCGTAATGTTGCTTCACCCCATCACTTTCTCCACCCATCTCTCTCGTTCTCTCTCTCTCTACTTCCTCGAATACTACGTTACTGCCACAATACACTGGCCGGGTGAGTGGGAGGAAAGGCCGTTTCGGGGGGCAAAATAATTGGACTTATTTTCCTTCTAATTGTATTTGGCCGGCTCCTAGTTGGGCCCCCAAACACAACCAGCAGCAGTCCCAGCCAAAAAGGGCGGCCGACAAAGAGCGGCAAACCGAATTATGTCGACGTCCAGGAAAATGGATTCTGAACGGGCAGGGTGGAGATAAAGCGGATGTGTACGATTTGATACGAAAAGTGTAGGCATTGTATTGAAAAGGCGGAAATTGGCTGTATTAACGGAAAGGGGGATGTTCGGTTGGAAGTGCTTGCTAGGTTATTAGGATGGGCGGGAAAGTGGCGAAGGTTCTAGGCCGTGCATTTTGGGGTAATTAGGCTCGGAATTGGCTTAGAGGACCTAAGAACTGAGGCTGAAGGTAAGTTCTTAGGTCCTCTAGGGCAAAGCATAAGTTTTGTTTAAAAAACGCAGGAAATTATTGGGTTTTTCAAGGTTACCGTAAGCCGTAAATTCCGGTATTCTCGTAAATCCAAAGCAAGGCACTCGAAAGTTGGTATTCCCATCTGAATGTTGTTTCAGAACACCTAACTTCTAATGTGGGAGATTTAAATTATCATTAATGCTGTTTTGAAAGCCGCTAGAGATTTGACATTTCAATAAATGCACTTCAGTTTCATCGTGGATGATTTAACAAAAAAGCGACAAGAATATTTCATCAAAACCTGCGGCTTTGAAAAACACACTTCCAAAAACTATTTTTCAGAGTGTAAACGCTCAGAGCTCCTTCCTGCACCCTTACCCCTCACTCAGTTCTTGCCCTTTGTTTCCGGTAAATAAAATTACAGCCCGAAAAGAGCGCTTATCGTCAAAAAGGGTACTCCTGGGCGGAGAGCAAGGGCTGTGCTCTATTAATATCTACGCATGCCCTCCTGTTTGCAAACACGACCATTAGAAATGGAATCCATTTGTGCGAGTGGATTTCGATGTTGACCACAGAAATGGATGGGGGACGACGACCACCAGCCTCACCAGCCCCAACACGACCAACGAGCATCTCCATTACACTGTTGGAATTTTCAGTATCCACTTCGTCAACGAGCAAAAGCACCACAGGCCACCTAGTGGAGCCCACATCAACAATGCCCCCCACACCACTTCAAAATGAAAACAAATTAACGATGCGGGATGGGATGTGTGCCTTCAAATATACACGGATATTTTGTTCTCAATAGCATACCGTAGCCCCGAGACCAGAAGGCAAGGGCCACATACTTAACGGGGGGGGAGAGGAACTGTAGTGGAAATGATGTAGCCGTGGATGGTCATTTTTCGCGTAATCAAATCTATCAAATAGAGTAATGACGAAAAACAATTCCATCGAAATTAGTTATTAAATAAACAACATACGGCCTCGCCCTAGGTACGATCGCAAGTTTTTTTTGCAATATTCGATTTTAAACGATTGATGCAGGCTATTTAATCGAGCTTCGAAAATATACTACGCGATTTAATTTCGACTCAAGCTACCTATCTTTAAATCTTCCGTTATTATAGCCAACAATTTTTTCAGCGAAATTGTTGTAAACTAGGTTTTGCTCCAAAAAGATATGGCTTAGTATAATTTTCGATGCAAAAAGCTCCATGAAATTTTCACAAATTCGGAACAAATTCTAAAATAAAATATCCACCTTCTCTAGTTCTTCCCCCCCGCGTTAAGCAACCTTTACCTTTGTTCACAACAACATACCGTAGCCGACGAAACCACTAAGGCCCAAAAAATCGCGTTTTTTGCACCCAAAAATGCGAGATTTGGGTGGAGGCCCGGGGCGTGTCACTTCGCGGCCGTTAAAATAAGAAATATACGCGTGGCCGTGGAGCGCGGGCGTATGGAAATGGCGTCGCGTTGTATGTGGGTGCCGGGTTCTATTTTGCCAAGCAACCCTAATCAACGCCAGAGATTCGGACACGTCCATCCGGTCTTGGGTGTGGTTCGGAAAAACGAGAGGGAAGGGGGACGCTTTTCATAAATATTTGATTCCGGGATTGCACGATGGAAGAATGAAAGGGTGGTGATCCTCTGAGAGAGTCCTTGGGTTAAATTATTAACCTTCCTCGTTCGTTGGGGGCAATGGTGTGTGTGATTGCAATGACGGGAAAGGTGACGGAAATGTTGGAGGTATATGAAATTTGTCCTTTTCAAGGGTAATCTATCAAAAATCAGGAAAAGGTTATGTAATAAGAAGCCGGAAATTGAGCACAGCCCTCTGCCAAAACCGTTTTACCAAAGGTCTTTCCGGAAACATGGTTATCCACACAAAAACAGCCGGGCCTTTTGAACAAGGGAGGCGCAGCCCTAGGGGGAAGAGAGGATTGATGACGTTCCTTGTTGCTGCGGGTCAAAATGCAATTCGTGACTAAAAAACGGGCAAAGACCTCCGTTTTGGGGCTCCGGGGAATAGGAGGTCTTCTCATAGCTAACAAGCAAAAATCAGAACACACGCCTGAGGTTGGGTCAGCCGGTTAGCGGCTCGGTTTCCGAACCCTTGAAATAATTCAAACTTATAAGCACTTATCTAAAAACAATCTAAATAGCACTTGCCATAGAGACTTAAGAAAAGGCTTAGAAATTCAGGAATGGCTAATAAAGTTTATAAAATATATAAATTTTTGTATAAAATACAAAAATGTTGAAAATTATCTGAAAAGGCTGGATGGTCCGGGAAAATCAAAGGATTAGTGATCACAAGCCAATTTTTCACTATTGTTTTAGTTTTTAATTTGCTTTTTTTTTATTGTTGCTCATCCATCACAAATGTTAGGCTTCGTCAAGCAGCCTGGAGAAAGCATTGCTAGCGAGAGGTCATTGAGCCTAAGAACAAGCTGCTGCCTATCTACCACCACATCGCCCCCGGCCCGACCGTAGCCAGAAACATTCCAGACGGATTGTTTTCAGGGTCACAAAAGCCTTGAGAGTCTCATTCCATTATGCACAATATTATCTCATTCTCGATCTCCGATTATATAAGCCTGGGATGGTGCGGGGAGAAACAGCTTCGAGCCTGATTTCCCTTTTCTATGGTTCTCTCCAGTTTTTCTGATCTTTAGATGCGCCCATTAAACGCAATGTTTCCAATTTTGGCAACAAAATAGATCCTTAAACTTTCTTAAAATATCTGACTCCTGCAAAATAGCACCGCGCGAATTCCGTGAAATGACGGGCATAATGAAATTTGAATTCGTAGCGCTGAGAGATTCAGGTGACAACAAAGTTTGTACGACCAGGGCTGTCTAGCAGAAGCTTATTTGCATGATAGGCAAAGTTCATGCTCATTTTTGGTGAAATTGGATGTATCCTACTATATATAAAAAAATAGTGTCTGTGTGTGTGTGTCGATTTGCATGCAACTTCCGTCTGTATGTCCGAAGGATAACTCAATAAGGGATGAGTTTTAGGGTACGTATGATACATCATTAGGTGCGTAATGGCTCTGCGATGACTGCACACTTTTCAAAATTATCAAAATAAGCTATTTTTGATAGTAAAAATAAGTTTTTCTAAAATTTTCGGGGACCCTCTTTGTTAGGAAACAATTAGCATATACCGGAAGTAGAAGAAGCCTATATAAAGGGATGGAACAAAATCTTTTCATTTTTTTCAGCTTGATTGAGGCGGAATTATGCAAATTTTACAATTTCATTTGTCGAAACGGGGCCAGGGTTGAAAAGTCGCGAAGCGGCTTTTCAACCCTGGTCAGAAAGTAAATTACAATTTTTCAGGATGCCTGACTACCCGAAAGCGCTGATTTACACGGCAAATTCGGCAGCCGTGCTGTCGGTTTTGGCCCTAGGAACGCTGGTGTTTTCGATTCCGGTGGGTTTCCGAATAACTTTTTTTAATTTACAATTAAAAAATATAAAAGCTATTTAAATAGTTTGATTCAGGTTTCGAGAACCTATGAAAAATAAGAAAATCCATTATTGCATTTTGAAATCTAATAAAGATTTGATGGGTAAAGATTTTTTCGATCCCTTGATTTACTTAAATCGCACCAGTAAAAAGGAATAACACAAAAATTATGAAATAGTTCCAGAATTTTTGACTAAAACAAGCTATTAAGTAGGTCTCAAAAATTCAGATGTTGCAGGAACGGATAAAATCCTGTTCCTTTTCAAAAACATAAAAAATAAAGATATATACAACTTTTTGTGGTTCCTTGATAACGTAAACTTCAGGCGCTCTTCTGCGTCATCCACGAGATGGACACCGATCTCGACCTCCGCCGCACCGAAATGTCCGACCTGAGCAAGAAGATGTGGGACGACTTGAAGGGGCAGCAGGGAGAGATCCGCCGAGCTCGCCGACAGAACTGTTTGTTTTGACGGGAGTCAGCTCGTTAGAAATGTGATTTTGAGACGAGGAGAAGGGCGACGTTGCCAGTGCGGGAGAAGCTTCGACGACCACCGGGCCCAAGCCGGCCCCGCAATTGGACGAATCGTGCCCGGCTGGACCGAAAGGGGCCCCAGGAGCTGACGGCATTCCTGGTACGACTTTTCAAGGCGAAAATAGCCACCAAAATTCTGGATTCGATTTATTTAGGCGCGAGGAGGAATTGTGTGGGTGGTTGGTCAAAATATGGGACTGGTGATAGAGCGTTAAAGTTCCAATTTTACAATAATCTAGTTTAATTGATATGATTACTATCAAAATATATAATTTTGATCCCTTACCAAGCTTAAATTTATAGCCATCACGATGTTAATTTTTACGACTATGCCTAAATTTTATCCAGGTACAAAAATCGCACTATGTCAATTTTTTACTGAGTCACCTTAAGCCAACAGGTTTATTAAATTTATAATACTACTCAGCCGCCCACGTTAATTTTCCAAATTTCCTGCAATCGAATCACCGATGTACGGCATGAGTAAGCTGGTGACCCAGCATATCATCTTTGCAAACATGACTTTTGGCCTAAAAATCTTTTTTTTTAATCTTTTTCCACCGTATTATACACGTTTCATCATGTAAAATTCAAGTAAGTAGCCTAAAATTCCCAACAATCATGGACCTTGACCGCTCTTCCACTGATCTCCTACCGGGCAAAATGTCAGGTGCCCCGAAATCCCAAGGAGGCCACAACCACACATACACACCTCCGCAGCAGAAAAATACTTTATTTTATTGCGAACCATTTGGGACGCAAATAATAAACATATTTCAGGGCCGGATGGGCCTGATGGCGTGCCAGGCCAAAGTGGTGAGAACGGAGGGGACGAGCAGATGGATGGCCCGGGAGGAGCTTGTGCCGATTGCCCGGCTGGGCCTCCTGGTCTTCCTGGTTATAAGGGAAAGCGTGGACCACGTGGCGAGAAGGTGTGATTATTTTTACCAAACTTAAAATTTTGAAAAACCGTGAAAAGTTGGAGTATGTGAAGGCGGGCGCTCAGTGGAGTATGTGAAGGCGGGCGCTCAGTTTACTTTCTATTAAAACTTGGGTGTGAATCGAAAATCATATTTTTTTCGAAAATTCGACAAATTTGCATTGATATTTCTTACACCAGTAGTGCCACAAACGTCTTAAACCTGGTACCTAGGCGCGAATCGTAAATCGTATTTTTTTTAAGTAATCTTGGGATATCTCAATCTCCGAAATATATATGGAACTCATTTTCACGCCAAAAATCGGCTAATAAATTTTCGCTATATGTTCTTTTTAGAATATTAAAAGAGCTTCAATTCAAACTACTCAACTCCTTTTTCCGATTTTCCAGCCGACCCCTCAAAATTTGTACTTACATCCCACGATCCCCCATCAAGTTGCGAGCCATTCTAAAATCCCCATTTTTTTTTCTTCCCTCCATCCCTCCCATGATTCTATCTTCAATTTCGAACATCCCCCCTGGGATTATATAAGTTCGCCCGGAATGTTCGATGAGTTGGTACATTCGAGAGATCCGTTTTTTGCGCCCGAAAACCACTACCGGATTTCCGGCCAATGTAGCGAATAATCCACCCTGCCCCCTTCTTGGACTCATAGCCAGCAGGGTTGGTCAAATCAAAGAGGTGAAAGTTTAGACTTTCCCCCCAGCACCCAGTAATTCATAGTGGGCGGATTAGAACGCCGTGGTCAACTTTTTTTGATGCAGCCCCACAAAGGTCGACAACAAAAACTCGGATTAATTAGAAAAACCCTTCCCAAACCTGCCTGCCTTAAGGCCAAGCTGTAAAAACTGATCCAGGAGTTTCTGGGGGTGTACCCAACCAAGTGATTACTACCCCCACTAGAGAGATCTACGTCAAAAATGACTGCTATTTGCTGAACTTAGGTTGTTCCCCCGAGAGATTATTTTGGGGGTTACTGGAGATTCACGTGACTGATGTTATGAGAAAAGTGTGTTTTGGCATTTTCAATAAGTTGAAATGAAATCGGGAGCTGGAACAGAATTCTTGGAGATTGGATGGTGTAAAGTGTCGAATTTCAGGGAGCCCCTGGCCCGCAAGGACCTGCTGGACGGGACGGTGAGCATGGCGATCTTGGCCCTGATGGCGAGCCTGGACTCCCTGGACAACTAGGAGCCACCGGAGAAAAAGGACCAGCCGGAGAGGATGGTGTCGGTGGCGCAAAGGGCGCTCCAGGACCCAAGGGCCCAGTTGGACCGCCTGGTATGGAAGGAGATGAGGGACTTCCTGGAGAACGAGGTGATGATGGTGAACATGGAACTCAAGGTGAACCCGGACCCATGGGTGAGGCTGGACTTCCTGGAAGGGAGGGATATCCTGGCCATCCTGGAGCTGCCGGGGGAACCGGAAAGGATGCCGAATATTGTCCTTGCCCTGAGAGGAATCGCAAGGGATCTCAACCAGCTGCTGATGCTTATGACGAGGTATGTTTCGACCTTCGGTCCTACCAAAAACCCGGCAATAATCTTCTAAAAACGCTCATTCACGCCCCCGGCTGACATTTGCAAGATTGTTTCCAACAATCATCCCGGATTTACACTTGCGTGCATCATTTCAGATCTATTCTTGGACTACAATAAATTGTGGGGGGGGGGTCGAAATGTTTTCGCAACAACCACAAATCCTCGGATTCCATCGCAATCCCTTTTTTAGACGGTTGCCGGGGATGACGCCAACGTCGAAGCCCCCGGATTTGGCCCAAAGGATTACTCGGTACTCTGTGTTGCTCTTTTCAAATAATGGTTCATCCGCTAGGCACCCTCCAGCACCGAGAGCTCATCCCAGGAGCCAGAGAAGCCGTACGCTGAGGTGAAAAATTGTTTGAAAGTTTAGAGGACTGGAGATTAGTGTTCGCTAGAATGGAGTAGATGAAAATGTTATTGACGGTAGTTTAAAAAACTATTTTACAAATTAGGAAAACTAAGAATCATTGTAAATTCTTGATTCAAGCCTAAGACAAAAGCTTTTTCCGGAAGTTATGCCCTACGTTAATTCAACCTTTTCAGCAAGCCCCAGTTCGTGTGAGCAAGCGCGAGCAGGCTAGGAATCTGCGTCGAAAACTTGTCATCTAAGCATCAAAGATGAGATAAAAACTTTATTCATTCGATACACGGCACTCCAATTACAAGCATTGCGCAGCGTTTTGCTTCTTGGTGTTCTTCCAGGCCGAACGGATCTCGGCTTCATCAGGCATGACGAATTGGGTTTTTTTCTCGGAAACTGCGGCTGGGGCTTCTGAACATTCATATAATCCATCAGAAACACGTGATTACCAGCGTAGAGATCATCACACATTGTATTTGTATGATGAGCAGTTCTAGCCGAACACAGGAAACCCCGCTTGCAGCCCGCATCGCAGGGTGCCAAATTCTCACGGCGGTAGAAGTTCCTGAAACCCCTCCGTTAATGCCTTACCATGTCCATACGTTCTGTAGCGTTGGAACAAAGCATCGTCCGTCTTCATTCTCGTAATAAAATCATCCCACGATGCTGGCCAAAAGTCCTTCAATCCATAAGCCTTCGCGGCAGAGGGGTAGAATTGCTAAAATTCAAAAACCATCCCCTTCATTCCTATTGACACCTCTCCCACCTCCCACTTTGCATTCGGCGGATCGGCATTAGCTTTCAGCAAATCCATCCGCCATTCTTCCCAATCGAGCACTTGCTACAAATGAAAAATATTGTTACAGCAAAAAGGCGAAGCCCTCCCGGGCAATTAAACCGAGGACTAGAACCGAAAAAACTAGCATTTCCAGATTAATGGATATGGCCAGTATTCATGGAATAAATTCACAACAGTTGCCAAAGGATTCACCACTCTCCGCGCGGTGTGGGGCGCAAAGCCCTTTTTGATTAAAAAAAGTTATTTCAAGGACGCTGACCCAGGTACTTCCATTGTAACTTCCGTCCAGAGTATACACTCGATAAGTCGGGTAGTATTCCGAGTATGGCGTGATTGACGGCGTGCTGCAACGGTTGCCGTTTTTAATCCGCGATTTTTGGGGATTACTGTGCCAGAATAACGATTTTCTAGTATGAAAATAGAGCGAAAATCTGCGGGGGAGAGGTCATGGCTACAAACCTGTAGATGACGCCAGTGGGGCGGCTTTTTGGGTCGTTCATGTCGGAATACATCACTTGGAATTCCTCGGAATGCGTGTGACCCATGAATTGTGCAACGACGGTGCTTTCGAAGCTTGAAAAATCAGGTAGTGATTTTGGAGGAGCGGAGAGGGATACCGGTTGATGGCGTTGTAGTAATTGGCTGACCATCCTTCCAGGGATTCACTGGAACCCGATGGGATGTGAGCAACGATGTGGACCTAGATACAGTTGAAAGTATACGCATTAATAGATACTGCAGATTTACAGATCCTGACCCAAACTTAGTTATCCAATTAAACCCGTCATTTATCAAAATTTGGAAGTTGTGGTTTAAAGGAAGCTTCATCTTTATTTAATGAAAAATTTCCCTTAAATTTCTCAAACCAAAATAAATTCTTTTGACGTATTTTTTGACGGTCTATCGAATGGCACTCGTGAAATGCCGACTTTATTTAAGATCTGAGATACCCGCAAAGCCGCTTCAAACTTTTCCCTTTTTCAAAATCCGTATTTTGAACTTTAAATTGCGACCCTATCACCAGCTCTTTCCGCATCCGCCAACTGGTTAATAAACCATGTCATCGTTCCATCAGGATCCGTCTCATTCACATACAGCCAGCTAAAACAGTTTCACCTTCTTGGTTTCCTTAAAATGCTCACAAATTCATCGAGTCTCCAAGCCCATTATTCAACGAGATCAACCGCAACCCCGGGTACAACTTCTTCATATAACAACCGTTGCTGAAATTCCTTTTTTTAGACACGGTCCAAAACGCAACGTGGACAACGCCGCCTTGCCAGGAGCGTCACCGTCACCACCTTAGAAACAAATCCCAGCTGGAATATTTTGTGCATGAAAAAAATATCCTTTCAAACCGGCCAAATCCGTTGTTTTCCACAAGAACCCACTCTGTCAAAAAGGTTTCACTCGCCCCGGGGGATTGGACCGGCTTTGGGGGGCATCAAATATCGGGTCAGATCTGTGAATGTTGGCCTTGCGAGGGGGGAGGCCAAACTCAAAAACAATGATTTTTCGGGAGGTCGCCCAGGGTGCTCCGGGGGGCTTCCGGTCAATCTCCCTCTAGTAGAATCTTTTTATTTGGACCGGATTTACTTTTCGGATTTATGGGGGGTCATTAAAGTGTGTCAAGTCAACCTAGGGAAAACAGATTATGTAATCGAGGGTCTTCTGAGGTGGTATACTTTTGATATTGGGGGTAAATAATGGAGGAAATGGCATGAATATGTGCCGTTGTGTTCCCTAGGAGGATGGGAAGATGCATGCATTAATGGCTGAAAAGATTGAAAGTAATCCCGGAATAGAGAATTTTGATATTGAAATCTGACGGATTTGCGTTTAGAATTTGGGGGTTTTTATTAGATAACGAAACTAGAATAGTTGCAATTACCGTATGCTTTTACCAGTTGACTTTTGCACGATATCGCACTCTTAATAAACTTTTGGAAACCAATATCCTCCCTTCGCTTTGATTTGCAAAACCCTTACAATTTCACCATTTCCATTTGATCCTGCGGTACCCATCCTTTATAACTTTCCGCCATCGTATCGTACAGCCACGACATATTATACTGTATCGGTGCCACATCCCAGGGCGCGAAGCTAAAAACCCGTTTTCTGAACACTGATTCCCACCGGAAACCGATCCCCATTCCCCACGAAAAAAATCGAGCTCCCCTTGCATCTATTCCTGGCCTAATCCTTTGACGTCGACACGCGAAAAATGTTGTAGCCGCTCGCAACTTTCCCCGCAATTACCAAACTCACCTGCCGACCCTGGGATTCCGGGGCCAAAAAATCCCCCACTACCAGGTCACCAGCTACGAATCATTTTTTGGAATTCCGATGGGGGCACTAATCATGAAAAAAAAATTGCGCGAAAAATGATAGTAATGGGGGCAGCAGGTGATCTGTTCTTTTTGCAATTATCGGGTCAGGTGAAAAATGTACGGAATGGGGGGCAGGTGGGATTTTTGGGTAGTTAGAGATGTTGCGAAGTTGAGAGGGGGGTATTACTGACTTGTCAATTGGTACTCCTTCGTGATTGCCGACAGTGAAGAAGGTTGGGATTTTGGGGAAGAATGAGCGGATGGTGTCGGAAATGTTGCGGATCATGCCCTAAAATGAGAGGGTTTTGATCTAGGCCTGCAAGGTTTCGTACGTACCAATTTCTATATCGCCCAAACACCCGTAAACACATAATACTCCATTTTTAATTTTTAATTTATGCTACAATACTCAGAAAATTTTTATTAAGCCGTTTAAAACTGTCTAAATAGAATCCTACTTCCTATAGTTCCTTTATCATCCCATTCACCCTCAAACTTCTGATCCCTCGTTTTATTTTTAGCAGGGTTTGACCGCCAGCTACAGATCCGCCCCACCGTAATTATGAATGCAATCAAAAATCTCAAATCCACATTTTGGGCCCGTAATTGAAAGTGTATATCTCTTTGATTTTCAATCGCGATGCGCGATGTAGTGACGACGGCAAAAAAGGACGCCGTCACAACGCGCTCCTGAATAATTTAACGAACCGCATGGGTCTCCCGAGTATAGACCCAATCCGTGTGTGACATCAGATCCCCAGAGACGAGTATGTAGTCGAGCTGTAATTCCGATTAAAGCAACAAATCGAATGTACGGTAGGGCCCCTGGGGGGATGCGCAAAAATCAGCGCGTAGCGTAGAGTTGTTTGGTGTTTTGGTTTGGAATTGGGATTTGAGTGAAGGCTGAGGGAGAAGTAAGTGAACACGAGATTTCGGGGGTAATTAGGTTCTGGAGCACTTCCTTGCGCGTACGCGTGGCGTGTCGCGGTTTACGTCGTTTTTAGCCGAGTTTGATACATATCTCATTTGAGACAGCATGCAATTCTGAGCCGATCCAATCTCAAAAAATGACAAATTTATTGATTTATTTTATTATGTTTTGAAGCGAAAACCATTTTTGATCCGCGCTTAGAAAAAAACTTAGAAACTTTAAAAACTCTGGTTTATACATCGTTATCTATTTTTGATTTTTGATTTTGACAGACTGATTCTTTGAGATCAATCATAGCAACACAAATCGACACCAAACAACGACCTTACGAGCGGATCAGCGCGACGCAAACGTACGCGTGTTCTCTAGCATCCGATAGCGACACGCAACCCGCCCATACACACATCAGTTTTCATAACTGACGCACCCCGTACCTTGACACCGTTTTTCATGATTTTTGGCGTGTTTTTGCCTGCGCTGATCTCTAAAGATGTCTCTCCCATTCATTTAACGAACCCCAGCTCAGAACCACTACAGTACCAGCGAAAACAGAATTGCCCCGTCGTATTTTGGGATCTGGGAGCGTGTCGATCATGTGAAGGGCTGTAATCATAGAGTTCAGTTGCAATAAGTGGTTGTTGCGGGCCGAGCAACACTCTTTTGAACCCGTGACGACGGCAAAAAAGTGGGGCCCGATATTAAAGAGGAAGTATTGGTTCCGTAATGGGCATGTTTAGGAATTAAGCGTTTCGAGGGTATAATACCTGGGTGAAGATTTAGAAATAGGTTGGATTGGCGCTTTGCACGTTGTGAGGGTTTGTTGCCAATTTCTAGAAGAGTGGTTCGAAAAAGTTAAAAGTTAAAGCTCGAAACATGAGTCAGAATTTTGCAGGCCACGCTTGCTGACCTTTAATGGTAGATTCTACCGTAATCTGGACAAGGAAATAGTATTAATGGAAATGTCGCTAATGTCCGGAGCGGAAATTGGGGGTAGTCTCTTGTTAATGGTGGCTAGAATCATCGGGGAAATGCCTTACATCCTGATGGGCGGAGGCGGCGTGCTGCAGCATGCTTGTAAATAGCCAGTACGGGGCATCACAGTTTCCGACGGTTCCCCAATATCCTGAAGTCAATGATTATATTAAAATGGATTGGGAAATGTCACGGATCGCCGTGCCAGGTTGTACGGCAAGATGAAATATCATATCTTAACCGCTTCACCTCGCGTGTCCATCCCAACCCTTTCCAGACAAAACACGGAAAATATTTTGTAAAACGGCTAGGAAATGACTTCGTTTCTAGAAACCCAAAGATATCAAAAAGCCAAATTTTTGGCGGAATGGGCTTTTTAACTGCGCACGTATTACAGATCGTAATACCCTCCAGGGCACCGAAACTAGTCGTTCTCGATAATTCTTGGGCCAAGTTTTATATGAAACGCGGAAATGGTTAAAATACCATGATAAGTCGAGGAATGGTAACGGAACTTGCAAATTGGCCCATCTTTACGCGCAAACAGGGCCGAAATCTCGTGCGCGGTCGCGTCGCGGCCGTTTTTGGCTTTTTACCGGCAATCAACGCTGAAGGCTTTATAGCCCTTTTAACACAAAATCAAATCTCGCGACCCCATTTTTTACCGCCAACTATCAAAGCCATTACACGCAACATCATGCCATACCTGCTGGCACTTTGATGGGCGTTGGCGTGGTGACACCGGCGGCAACGATCTCCTAAAAACGGTATATCACCCCGTCCGAAACGACGCACTCACATCTGGACTTTGTTGTGGACGGCAGCATTGTGGTTCGGGGCAGTCGGCCTCCAGGCCGGGGGTGTAGTACATGTCCAAGTGGATATCGGAGAGGTGGAGGACTTTCAGGGTTGGCATACCGGGCTAAAATTCATGTAAAATCTATTTGTGGGCGTTAAAAAATGTCAATCGTCTTTAGAGTTATTTGTAAGAGCTTGGTTATTTATTAGGTGAAAAAGGGCAACAGAAGAAGTTAGTACATGCCACTGACGGTTATGAGGGCGATAGGAGCGCTGCGTCCGCATGGGCCAACCTACGTAGTGCTCCTATGCACCCCTAGAGTGTGCGCCAGTTGCATCTTTCTGTTCTGTAAAGCTTATCGCTCTTTTTAGTCCTTGTTTCATTTCCAAAACGCTGGCGTCCTCACAACGACGTATTGTATTTTTTAAAAGTTTTGAAAAACATCCATAATTGAAACTATACCTATTGAATCATACCACCGCTTTCTTTTCCCCTATCTATAACATTTAAAGCTGCATTCCCGGGGTAACAGTCACCACTTCCGGATTATGACTAGCCCACTGTTACGTCTTCGCGTTTTTAGCACTCTATGCCCCTGGGAACCCACATTTATGCCTTTACCCTCGAATTCTTGCTCTGACACGTATCCCGTCACCGATTGTAGCTCAAGCCCTGATCCTATTTTTAATTGTGATTACGGATTACGATGGTTTCGAGAAGTTCACCCTCAATGCCCTTCGCGTGAATTGCATGTGGGCAACAAGACGACTGTTTTGTTCAAATCGGGGCGCTTGACCGAGGCATTCCAATTCGATGCACTCGTTAAAGTGAATAAGTATGAAGAATAGGATACGCCAGAGAGGGAGGCAAAAAATGGAACCGGAAAATAGGGGGAGGTGACGTTTTGGAAATACCATCAGATCCGAAAAGCAACAGTTATCGGGCTTCGGTTTGTAGGTCAGTGATCAAATATAATTATGGGGGAGGTATGTTTTTTTGGTTTCATTCGGAACGATACCATAAACTAGATTAAAAAGATAACTCGGACAGAGACCACTTTGCAAAAAGAGCCTAAACTGTTGCAGAGTTCAGAGTTTCAGAACTAATTTCTAAGTGCAAGGCTTCGGAAATAGAAAACTCTTTTCCGGGTTGAGGGTATTTTTACATTCCTGTTAATTACTTCGCCAAACGAAAACAGTTTGTGCGTAACAATCAGATTATTGCCGTTTCTGAGTGCCCGTTCACGAGTCGGAAAGCTAATTTACCACGCTAAAACGTGTTGTTGCATTTTCTCAGGTAGAAACGGGAAATGACCCGTTTTTATTGAGAAACCAAGCATTTTTCAGGGACGGAGAAAAGCCGGGAAGTACGAAATGATTGGAATTGTGATGGGTCGCGAACGTGCGTAAAAGTTTTTTAAATCGGCGTTCAGAAGCTTTAATTCTATGAGTAAATTTTCTAAGCGTAAATTCTGAGCTGCGTTGGAAATTAAACTACAAACACAACCTTGACGCTTACTGTGCCCTTTGGGTACCACGGACTTTCGACCAGTTATCTAACGTCTCATTCGTACATGTTGCCAGGAATGCCGGTGTTCGCCTGTTGCAGTTCTTATCGCCAATTGGCAGTGGAAAGCTGGGATTTACTTTCTTGGGCGAAACTCCTACTCCAGCGGGTTGGCGTAGTAATTGACCGTTCATTGGCAGCTCTTGAATACTTATTTGTTTCATGTATTTGAGAAAAACCCGGAACTGGCATTCGGCCAAAAGCTTTCGCCATCTGGAGCTCTTCCGGAGTTTGTTGCATTCCTTGAAATGTTTGGTCGTTTACACAGTGGAAGAGCGGGGTTTTAACCACGAGGAAAGAAAATCAAAAACAATTTCCAAGGTCTCGAGATGCGCTCTGCTGTTTAGCCGATTGATCGGGGGATTTTTGTACGATTTTTGCTTTTATTTGTCAAAAGCTAGCTTATTCCTTGCTGCAAGCTTCGATGGTGTTTTCATTCGGTTTCACGCTCTTTCTCATATTTTTTTCTCCCTCCTCCCACCGTTCCGCTTCAGTTCATTATCCCCTTTCCGCATTGCTCCACCCTACTCCCAGCGCGACCTTTCTCACGTTTCTACCAAGTTGCAACGTTTTGCAGCTGGCCCCCTCCTCACCACACCTTGTTTTGGTCTTCACCAAAAATGATTTTTGCTCCAAGAGTTTGTGGCCACTACTTGGCGGCCGATTTGTAAGAGAAGGGGCCCACCCGGGGCGGGGCCACACACCCAAGGGCCCCGGATGCCGCCCCTTTAGTTGAGGGACTGTCAAAAAGACTAGGTTACCGACCGGCTGCCACCTCAAGTCCCGCCCAAGCGATATCCACATATAAGGCCGGCCCCGAAATCAACCAGCCCGCACTTCCCCCCTACCGTATTCCACCCCACACGCTCAAATACCAAACCCGCCCCCGGGCCCCCACACCCCGTATCCTCACCACGCCCTTTTCCTCAAAACGGGAGCCACACGACCTTTTTTTGCTTATTTCCCCTCCGGAAATCCGCCCCCGAAAATGAACGCTTACGCACGGCGATTCGCAACTCTCCACTCTGGGGGGATTTGGCCCTTTTTTGCCGGCCCCTGAAGACCGGATATTAGCGGGAAAAAGCCGATTTACCCCTCGGGGGGCATACAATTTTTACTGTAAGCCCTGGGATTTGTAGGCCCGGGGTGGGGAAAACGGGATTAGATTAAGCCACTAGGCTTTTCAAGGGTACTGTAGCCGCATAGCGTTCGTACATGCTGAGGGTCCTGGTGTGGGGCCCGGTTTTTTAGAAAGGTCAAGCCTACCGCACGGGTTCCATCTTGCAACATTCCGCCTAACATTTACCATGCGTATTTGCTGTCCGTTGGACACGAACAGGGTAATTAGATATCCTAGCTAAGGGGTTAGGACCACTTCAAATAAACGCAAAAAAGTATCTGAAACTTATTCACTGACCTTGGGTGCCTGTGGTTGAACGACCGGTGGCTTCCCGGGCGGCATATCAAGCGTCCAAGTTTGGTTGAACGGGTTGAAAACGGGGTCGCAATCATTGCCCAGCAATAGGCCGCAGATTTGGGTGGGGGTCACCAGGATTTGTTGGGCGATCCACATGGTTTCGTCCTAGGCAAGTAATGATTGAAGATTCGATTTGGTTCTTACCACAAAAGCGCCGACCATATTTTTGCAAATGAAGTGATCCTCGATTTTGAAGATTGTGCAAACAGCGATGATTACATCGGCGATGCATTCTTCTAGTATCTAAGCATTTGAGGGGTGTGGAGCACGTGGTTTAACTTACTTTATCTCCCAGATCTTTCTGTAGGATTCTGATGACATTCTCACAAGCTAGGCAAACTGGACTTTTCTCATCGACTGGTGCTGAAAACTTTACTACTTACTGACGTACCTTGACAAATGGACACCGTAACTTCAAAATATTTCGTAAAACCAAATAGGTACATCTTTTCATTTATCCTTTTTTTGCTTTTGAAAGTACCGATTTTTAAAATATTAGTTTTACATACAGACTTGAGCTAGTAAATCTAACAGATCTTTGACATACGTCATAAGTCCACGACTGCTGACCATTCCCATCTTTTTTCACTTTGGAAACTGGATCCAATTCGAACCTTTGTGGGGGTCAGCTCAAGACCACCCATGTTACACAGCAAATGCTGACCCCTGTTCTTCTCGTTTACCTATAGGAAGGGCATAGCCAGCTAGAAAAAATGTTGCCAATAGCAGGAACGGCCGCATGGTTGCCGGCGACCCGGGGGGAAATGGAGCAAATGGGTGGGGGTCGGCAAAGTTTTGGGCGAACCCGAGGTCCCTGCTTATTTAGTTAAGCTCATTAAATTGGGGATAATCTGGGAAATGGCATGCTTTATCAGCGTGGCGGCGCTTGGTCGGTCTTTGTGCGTTTTCGTGGGTTGAAGTTGGAACGAAGATGTAGAAATTTGAGTGTAGCGGACTTTGTGTATGCATAAAGTATAGAAAGTCATAAAAGATAATTAGGAAGGTTGGTACAAAGGTATTTTGCTCTGGCTACCGTAACCCGTCAGACCACTATTTTTGATGGAAAAAGGAAATCCACTCAGCACTTCGACTTTGAGCTTTAATTATAGCCTTAAGTAATTGAATTGGTTACGGTATCCATACTTTACCTTATAATTAATAAAACTGTCAGGAATTTGAAACTTACTGTAGCAAAGTATTAAAGTAACAAGGATCTTTGCCAAACAAATAACACCTAAACCTTTAATGATATTTATCCCTCTCCACCCATATATTCCACAAAAATTCCGGCTCTCTTCTCAGTACTGCTTACCGCCAACCTTGTTGATGCCGTTTCCCGCCAATGTTTCCAGCCCCCCAAATTTTGTTGTCCTCTCTCCTATCCACCCCTCAATGTAAACACAACATTACCACCCAAATTTTGCAGTGAAATCAGCTCAACAATGGCCGTAGCTCTACTTTGCCTGCTAGCCCTTGCCGCCGTCTGCGCCGCCAAGCAACAAGACTTCGAGGCGATCGACACCAGAAAGCCGTGGCTGGCCAACAGCTATACCACCAACCCGTCGTGTCACGCGCCGCCGGTGTTCGTCCTGGCCAGCTCGGAGGTGATTTTTGAGCTGCAGAACAATTTATACATCTTTTAATATGTCTATAGCTATTTTAAATATCGTTTTTAGCTATCGGAGCTGGACATCGACCAGGAAACTGCTCGACGAGCGCAGGTTTACTTATATTGGTCGTCCTGCGAGTGTGCTCTGATGTGCCGCCCGCGAGGAGTGTATGTTTTTCAGAGTTTTTGCTGTTTTTCAAAGTTTCAAACATTTAAAACCATATTAAATATGAGTTTAGGCGCACTTGCTACACCGAAGAGTTCAGCCGCGATGAGGTGCTCGCCCTGCTCGGCCACAAGTCTAGCCGACGCGCTCTCATCAAGGGTAATTTTTAAAAAGATGCATTGATAATTAGTAACGTATTTGGCATTAAAAACAGTGTGACAAATTTATTTTTAGCTGACGGAGTGCCGAACTTCCCAGTGCCAAACGGACGCCAGCGCGCCAGCGTCCAGTAAGTTTTTACAAATTCGCATGCTTTAAATTAGAAAATTAGTACAGACTTTATCATTAAATATTTTTTTCAGCCTCGGCTGCAAGTGCGGCAACAGCTGCAGCGTCTGGGGCATGAAGTTCACCCCGCGTGCCGACGGCAGTACCGATCTCATCCAGAAATACACCGGCCCGATGCTGTAAATGGCTCACACTCACCCCGCGCATCAAAAACAACAGCGCTGCCACTCTCAGCCAGCCTCTCCAAGCCTATTTCTCCATTCCCTTGATTAGGAATTTATTATTGTATATAAGTTATTTATTTCTTTTGGAAAACGCGGTTGGGGAAACCCGGGCCTCTTTTTGGGTCGTCTGATCTATTCATTGGCACCCCTATGCATCTCCCCATTGCTGCGGGCGATTGTTTTGACCATGCGTGTAGTAAACCCACATCCCTTGAAAATGTAGTTCGAGTAATTGTTTTGCTATCCTTTCCACTCCATCCCCCCGGTTGTTTTGTTTTTTTCGCATACAGCTAAATGGCATCTCCCCAATATCCCCCGGTAACCTTTTCATACGACTACCTCTTTTAGCAAATAAGTGTAGTCGAAAGTCGAAGCCCCAAAAAACCCCCTTCCCCCCTTCCAAATTCCAATAAATAACAACTTGTGCATTTTCGAAGGTATCTTTGAAGGAAAACAACACTATGGATCGGCGGTATTTACAGAAGATGACATTGTCTTACATAGAGCTTTACGAGGCGTAGCTCATTAAATGGATCTTCAAAATCTAAAAAACCATCTTTCAAAAATTTGTGAACGACTACGATTTGGAGAACATTTTCTCTGAAAGAGCCGATTTACCTCAATTCTGCTGTTTTTTAAAGCCCGTAATCGTTCAGCAGTTTTAAAAGACCGCACTTCTTCAGAATTTTAAGTTTTATTGAATAAGCTGTGTCACATCAAAAATCTTCAATATCACCCAACATCCCCATTTTAAGCTATATTTACAGAGGAGGACATAGTCTTAGCGAGTCCGAAGTCACAAAAAAGACAAAAGCTCGGTTTTGGTAGCTTGGCAACTAGGCGTCAGGGAACATTGGGTATCCATGTTTATAAATAGTGGGGGGAAAGCCCTAAAGCTCAAAGCTGAACCTCATCAGGCTCGAAATGCTGACATTCCTGATCTTTCTCTCAATTTTCGGCCTCATCTCGGCTACATCACAATCAGTGGCCGCTACTGGGACTGTACTCTGTAACGGAAAACCAGTGAGCGATCTTCGTGTGAAGCTCTATGACAAGGATGCCTGTGAGTAGAACTCTGCAACAATTTCTTGCTCTTTCACACCCTGGTACAAAACCCCACAAAAAGCCGTATGGGAACATTGTAAAGCCCGTTTTTGACCATCGCTTTTTTTTGCTGCAGAGGCGCATTTCCTGGTTGAGGCCAAGGGGGCAGGCCAAAAGTACTTGGAAAAAGGGATTAGGATTAGGAAACGGAAACTGGAAATAAGGCAACAATGGATGGGATTGAATGGGTTTCTTACAACCTCTCTTGTAAGAAAGAGGTTGGATTTCATCGGCTAATTGGTAACAAACTATGATAAAAATTCTGTGAAAAACACAATCTTGAGATTTTTATTTGTTGAATACAGTTTCAGTGCCATCTTGGCTGAATTTGCTATTAAAATCGCAAAATTCATAAAGTTTAGGTTCTCAATGTCGAAATTTTTGCATCCTATTGGGGGGTTTGCCGCACCGAACCGCACCAAAAACAATATGATATTGTTAAATTCCAACATTATGAATTTCGTAATTTTTAAAGTATTTTGACTATTCACTAACAAGATCGACTAGATAAACAACCAAGATTTTCGAATCCAAATCCAAATCGCAATATATTATTTCCTCGGCTTTCCACTCACATTTTTTTACAGGGACCACCGATGATAAGCTGGCCGAAGTGAAAACCGATAACAATGGCCAATTCAAAATCTCGGGCACCGGCCAATCGGACCGAAAAATGATGTCAAAGTTTAACATCTATCATCGCTGCGGCATGGGGGTGAAAAATATTTTTGCCGGCACCTTTAGCCGCCACAATTCTTTCAGATGAAAATCTGCTGGTACAAAAACTCATTTGACATCCCGTCCACATATGTCGTAAATGGGGGCTCAAATGGAAAAGTGAGATTTGGATTCAAATTGGTCACGGAATATTTTTAGGTCTATGACGCTGGGCGCATCGAATTGTCGCAGTTGACGAAAGATCGCGATTGCTTTAACTAAGTCAAAAATCTTCAAAAAAAAATTGCCAAGGTCCTTACTTTTTATGTAATTTCATTCAATAAATAAACCGCTTTTTTGGCGGAGCCTTGAATGCGCAGAAATCCTAAAAAAGCCTACCAAATTATTGCCACAGGACACATCATTACCGCTATTTTTGCGTGCTCTGTGATTCAGAGGCTGAATCAGAGAGAAGCCTCAGAAATAGCCCACCAGGCCCAATTCCCGGCGACCACTTTTTTCGAGGGGTGCCGAGGCCTTGGACGGGGATTAATCTTTTTATTAGTCAGCGGATCTTCAGGAATTCGCAACACGGTTTTTGCTTTATTATTAATATGGGATTTGTGGGGGTGCACCCTTTGGATGAAGAAGCTGAATGGCACGGGAGTGGGTGGTATAGTGAATAAGTCGCGATCCGGGCCATGAATTTTGTAAAATCAGGGAGGGAGGATGATTTCAAAATTAAACCTTAAAGGTTGAAAACATTCCTGGTATTCCGTTTAAGTGTTTTGCGCGCCCACGAAGCCACCTCTACAAACTGATATATTGGAAAAAATTATATATTTTGATGGCAAAAAGCTCCCAAAAATTTGGTGAGCGACAACTGCGTGAACTATATTGAAAAATTAAATAGCTGCAATAACCCAATTAAAGTTCATCACAGCCATCGTTCTTAGTATTTTCCATTTGTAAACGTTCAGCTGATCATTATCAAATTTAAAACTTTATTGCAATCAATAAAAGTCAAATATCACAGAAGAATCAAATCCAATCTTTTCTTCACTTTCAAAGTTTCTTTTTTCAAATCTTCAAATTATAACTGGAAAGCTTTTGTTTTTAAACAAAGTACGCCCGTGCGTACAACCTCCAGGAAGATCACCTCTTTTTTTTCCCCAACGGCCTTCAATTGGGTATAGGAAAGTATTAAAATTTCGGGTAAAAACCTGAAAAAATGGTTTTAAAGCTGATTCCTAACCTACTTAATTATCATTTTTGAAACCCGTTAATCATAGTCTGTTGCTATCAAAAAAGAAAATTCGCTCTTAAGGCCCTAGTTTTACACGTGAGGCGGACTTTCACCTACTGTAGCTCAAATGCCGATAGTGATACGCGCTTGTAATGTATACCAAAATACTCGCCAGCCCAAGATGAACGTTTTGGTGGTCTTTAAGTGGTTCTAGGTTCATGGGAGGCCAAGATACAAAAGCTGGGAGCAGACTGGGGCCGGGGGTCCACCGCTCTCCGGCTCTCCCCGAAACGCACCGCACCTGGACCACTGCTGGGGCAGGGTTATATAAGGGGGTTTGATGACAAAGGGTGTAAGGGGCTGGCCCGAAGACAGTGGGTGATCATAGCATAGCCCCTAGCCCCTAACCGCTATGCCCATTGTCATCACTTGACCGCCCTTTTTTTGTTTGCCGAAAACCTTATGTTTTTTTATCGTAGCCCTAGTTTAGATTACAGTATTTGAGTAGTATTTGTAGTGTTTGGGTTATAATTTCAAGTATCTTGTACATTTTTGGATCCTCTATCAGAAGAATTAAAACAATCCTAAAATACCGACGAATGTGGGACACCAAACTTTCCAGGAGGCGCGCCACGAAATTCAAAGAAGCAATCCGCGGCTCGCTCCACGATATGGTCACCCTGCTGGAGGGCAGACAAAGATGACCGCCAATTCTTTTCTACAGCCATTTCTTTTGCGAACGTGGTCTCGAAAGACCCGACCGATGAGCGGCCTTGTCAGGTGCCAGATTGCAACTTCAAAAATCGTAAAAACCACAAACGCGACGGTCCGCCTATATAACACATCGGAATCAGCGTTTCAAGCCGGTCTACGGCGAAATTCTGAAGAGCGTGACTGGCTGGCGCGAATTTTTGCAGAGGTCCATGTCGTCCCCCTTGGCTCGAAAGCCACCAAAACTCAAATTTTTCGAAAAATCTCCAATAACAGATAAATATCTTCAATAACCCAAATAAAAGTCCATCACAGCCATCCTTCTAAATATTTTTCCGCTAATAATCGTTCAGATCATCAAAATCAAATTTAGAACTTTATTGCTATCAATACAAGTCAATATCACAGAAGAATCAAATTCAATAAGACATCAAAACTGAATAAAATGCATGGTGGGTGTGTGGAGAGATCCTTAAAACCGGAAATTCGCAAGAAAGCACTTGAAATACTAAGTAGTTGAGCCATGAAAAATAGTTGGAGGTTAAGATTTGGTGTTAGAACCCGGTGTTGTCGATATCGAAGAGGTGAATTGCTTTTTCGACGGAATATTGCAGGCGACTGACGGCATGAAGGACTTCCTGAAAAAAATTGGAGGTTTCCTGCTTGACTGAAGTAATGATCGCTGGTTGGCGGGCTTTCTTGCTGCAAAATGATTCGAAATACCACATTCATACCAACAACATTTTTTCAAATTGAGGGATTAGTCTGATTCTGCCTAAGCCAACATCCATGAAATCGCAACAGAAAACTTGCCTTGTAAATGCTGGTCCTATTCAAAGAGTCCTTTTCATGAAGAAGCTGAATGGCGAGGTCGGATATGACTGTGAAGACGCCAGACGGCACAGGGTATTTGGCTGGTGAATAGAGAAGATGTTTGTGAAGGGGTGATTGGGCCAGGGGATCCAAGAATACTCTTTCGAATTGTGTGATCCGAGAATTGAGCTGTTCCACCTGGATTGGTGTCAGTCCGCGAGTACCGTGGCTGACGTCCTAAAAATCAAAAATCCTTCAAAACTGTAAGCAACCTCATCGAATCGAAACTTGCTGCGTTCGAAAAAAAACCAAAAACTTACCGCCACCACTACCTCCAACCAATTCGCGATTGTTGCCAACCTCTGCAAAGCATCATCCAAATTCTCCATACTTGTGGTGATCGGATCAAAGTTCTGAATAGATGATGCTACAAATAAGATAAAAATAACAACCTTAAACGGTGCAATTTTCCGCAAAAATTGAAAAGTCTTTGCCTTCATGCTTTGTAGAGCTCTCGAATAGTCCATGACATTCAATGGAATAATCTAGATCGGAAATTAGCCTCTCAGAAGCCTTTAGTTTTTTACCAAGTCATTCGCCAATCTAAATACTGTTTCCGCCCACATCTGGCCCATCGAAACTAGAGCTTTTCCTTCTGGGTGTAGCAAGTCAACCAAATAGGGGATATCATGCATAGTATGGTAGAGGGAATAAGACTTCGCGGGTGGGCTCTCCATTTTCAGATCAGCCACCGGGACTCCGAGGTAGGAAATGAAGCGCTGAAAGTTCGTCTTTGGAGTTTTTTTGGACTACTACCTGATAATCACTACCCAGCGTGGGAGGGGCGATTTCCGGAATGCTTCTATCTCCATTGTAGACACTTTGGGATGGGCTATAGTTGATCCAGGAGTCAAACAACGTCTCTTTTCCAGAAGCGAGCTCTTTGCTGTTTTGTTGCGGTACCCTGAATTAATGGAATTAGCGTCAGAGTTGCTTATATACCTAGATGAAGCATCAGCTAACAGTCGATATAGCAGTGGGACGCTTCTAGCATCTACAGTAGCATTGCCCGGGATGTGATCCACATTTATGTAGGCTACCGCACGAGTTGCAAGTACTAAAATGTTTTATATTTTTTAGAATATTAAGAGCAGATGGTGGTTTCTATTCCAGATTTGTTTATTTAGACCTACCGTTAGCAAACTCCTCCAGATATTCCGTACTCCCGATAAGGCCAAATTCTTCTGCGTCGAAGTGGCAGAAAACAATGGTTCTACGAACCGCAAAAATTATATTTATTTCTTAATGGCTCTACCTTCTAGGTGGTGGAAGCCTAGAAAAAGCCTTGGCCATGTCAATCATTGTGGCGGTTCCGGAAAGGGGATCGATGGCACCCTAGAAAATTTAAGCCTTAAAATCCCGATAGCTCTTACATAAGTCCAAGCATCCGCATGATTTCCGGCCATCACCCAACGGTCTGGCTCTTCCATCCCTTTAATGGTCGCGACAACATTTGTGATGGTACGATGGACATGGCTTGAGCTAAAATAAATAGGGTTATTGTTTTTTATCGGAGCTTACTGTACTGTCAGCCTAAATAGATGACTTCCAGTGTAGCGATAGGTTGTGTCGAGCCCTCCATGCCAGGAAGGTTCCTAGAAACTATTCGTATACTCGCGAGAATTCAGATCATACCATAACCGGTCCACCATTTAGCGAGTGCATGATTCTTGTAGCATCCTCATATCCGATTGGCATCACCGGTATTGTTGGAATAAAGCCCTGAATTCATAATTCAAAAAATAGGTTTGTGAAATCCACCTTCTCCCGCATACCGTCAATCGTTTCATAACGGGACACATAAGGTAGGGATGGCAATCCTGGAGTTTCGGGATCTCCTACAGTACCTAGCAGGCTTCCTCGCTGGGCATCACTTCCGGGCAGTAAGGTATCGTTCGGAAAATTCTACATCGAGGTCTTAATTTGAATCTTAGCTGATATTACCAAGTTAGGATCCACAGAAGCGTGATGAAGTGGATCAGAAAAGAATATAACTCCTCCCGCCCCGGCTTTTTCCGCTTCGCGCACCTAAATGGAACTTTTAGAGATTCTGGAAACCATCCACCTTCTCCGAGCGGCTTAGCGCACCTAATCGTATCAAAGCTATACAGCCATTAATGTCGATACCGCGCTAAAGTACCATTTTTCCGGTCAACATTGGAAAATTACCTGTTTCAAGGTGTCGAAATCCTTCTTAAACCCGTAATTAACATACACGATCCGCCCCTCGAAGGACCCATTCCCAGAATATGCATTCCACCACAACATACCACGCCGGTCGATTTGCTAGAAACAGTATTATTATCCAAAGTTTTCCTCAATAAACCTGATCCCTGATTTTCTCTGCAGCTACTGCTCTTGCCAACCCGTCGCTCAGAAGTTGCCACTCATCGGTATTTTCGTTTTTCAGCTAAAATTTCATGGCGTAATAAAGTTGCACCACTTACATGAATTGTATTTGGCTTCATAAAGTTTGGATAGTTAAGTAGTACGGTGTAGTTGTACAGTTTCACCGGGATTCCAAATGATTCGTACTGAATTCGAGCTTATTTTATTTTTTTAAAGTAACCTTTTCCGCAATCCACTTCATCACATAGGCATTATCTCTAGTTCCGGCGATATGAATCCCTTGAGCCAGGTATTTTAGGCTGGATAAGATTTCGGAAGCGTTAAAAGACCGTTGCAGCGCTTTGGATAATTCGGAGAGCTGAAGATTCATGCGATTAATCGCAATTTTGAATCATTGGATACCTCTTGATTATCTTGCCATAATAATGATGAATTAGGCATCTGATAATCTTCAACATCCCTTGTATTAACCATCAGCAATACAACAAACATTACGGTGGCTGCAAGCATAATTTTAGTAGTGATGGGTGGTGTTTTAGGAAGCGATGTTGCGGGGGGGTGATGGTGATGAATAAATGAAGTGGCTCACCGGTAAAAATAAATATGAGAAGGGCGGCGAGGAAGAAGGGCAGCCAAGTGCATGGCTCGATAGTGTTGGTTTTACGGAGGAGGGATGTTCGCGATTTTAGGGAGCTGAAATGGCAGGTTTATTAAACAATATTTAAAAGGAGGGTGATACAATATTAAAAAAGCTAAATGCTGATGGCATAAGGTATACGGTAATTTTTATAACGAAGCAGTACTAAATTGGCAAGGTTTTATCAGTGATTTTGGAAATATTTCTTCGGTATTTTTCGACATTTGATTGAAAATAGATAGATTGAATAATTGAATATAAAATAGTTGGGCAATAAATAAGTTTATTACCACATATGCTCATGTGGTGGAAACCCAAATATTTTATATTTATAAAACATTTTTTAACCTGTTTTGCCAAAGGCATCGAAAATCTCCTAATAGCGTCAAGGTTTAACTCAACGTACTGTCATAAAAAAAAACTATAGAAATACTTCAGCTCCGATTTCCTGATTTTGCACTTACTTCGTCGGGCTCTCACTCTCCGCCGACAACTCGCGCTCCTCCAGCAATTCCTCGCTGGCCGACAAATATTCGGAATACGTCCTTCTCGCGGGCCCCATTTACATCTGAAACGGCTGTTGTCGGCTGCAATAAATAGGGTAGGTGGGAATGATGAGGGGGGCAACGACGCCTCGATTCGTGCTTCTTCGCCCCCCTTTTCCTCTTTACGATCGCCCCGTTATCACATTGAAGCGCGCGCTTTTTTGCGGTAGATGCCTTTGGAAAAGCTGGAGATGGGGTGGGGCGCGTTCTTTCCAGCGTACCCAGTTTTTGCGATAAAAAAAACGCTTACCGGTTCACATTCTAGGGTGAAAAATAAAAGTGGTTTGGCAGGTGGGGAAGTTCTGAAAAATCGAGATATGGACGCATGAAAAGCTTGAGGAAGATTTCCAAAGAGAACGCCGCGACATGTATATGTTTATGAAAGTATTGGTTGTGGAACAATTCCAAACAAGCGGCACGGGAACCACTTGAGAAGTTATTGAACCGAAATCAAACCCAGGGTAGTATTACCGTGCTAACTAAGAAAAAAGTAGGAGCAATGCTTCAGTTTAAGCTTCGTACTCCAATCCTGAGTGGTTTTGAGCTGTTTGAAAAGCTAAAAATCTAGGTAGTTGCTTGAAGCCAAACAATTACGGAATTCTGGTTGTGTTGAAAAATCAAACCGGGCTAATAAATTAGCAGAAATACAAAATACTGTATGCAAATCCCGGAAAACGGTGTACAATCCCGATTCCCGAAAAGCACGACTAGCCGGAAATTGGAAAAAGGGTTGAATCGTTGTGTTTTTCCGCGGCCGGATGGTTCGCCAGCGGTCAAAAAGATCCGCGGGGAATGGCTCATCATCGTGGTTCGGCCAAATTTGGAGGAGAGGGGGCTACGATCAGAATGAAGGCTCATCACTAGTCAGTATTAGAGAGGGGGGAGGGGGAAGCGGCTTGTTCCGTTCAGGGCAGTGGCTATTTGCATAGGTCATAATCCGTTGATTAATATCATTGACCCTGGGATTCTAGTGATAAAGGGTTGGGGGTGTGGTACCAGATGAAATTTCGCAGGGGGTCGTGGTAATTTATAGGAGACTTGGGATTTCGGAAATGATAGCATAGCATTTGGGTTTAGGCCTAATATCGCCTTGCCGTATTGGGATTAAAATTCGAACGATATGACTAAGAATTCTATTTATGAATTGTTTTGATATTATTAAAAGTTTTCGCAGCTTAGAGTGGTGGAAACCGATGGAATTTTTCAAAAACTGTAGACTTTACTTCTTATCTTAAGTATTTTCGACTTCTGAAAAATATGCAATTCTGGATTTTAAGACCACCCTCCATCGTAAAAATCCACTTTGAAGTGATTGAAAAACGCTAATAGTCTTGGGTTTCTATCAAAAGGAGTACGATAGCTTAGATACGGAATTAAAGATTGTTCCAGAAGAAGAATTCAGAGTTACAGCTAAATTATCCAAGGCCGCGAGCTTCAAACCATTTCACTGCTGATCAAAAGCTCCAAATCCGGACCGAATGAAGGTGCGTGGGAATGGCCAATTACGCATCAAGTACCCTCGACATGCTAACTGGGAAATTAGGTGGAACGATGGAGTGGGCATGGCGGGCTATGCTGGGGTCGAGATTGGGGGCAGCCGGTCCAAGCCGAATTGCCACCACCTCCAAGGGGGGTCATTACTGCGAGCAGTCATAATCGGAGTAGCATCTTGAGCCGTTAATTTGGCATATCCTATGGGTGCCCTATCGAAGTTCCGATAGCGAATCTTGGCAGGGATTTGGTTGTGCGGTAGATGTGCCCAGCGGCCGAGATATATAAAAAATGAGCTGGCTGTTGGGGGGAATCCCGCTGCGCTGCATTGCGTGCCGAGTGATGGACAAAGGATTCGGCCTTTAGGGGTTTTTTCTTGTGGGTTACTCGGGGGTGTATTTTGGAGGCTAGCAATTTGTCCTAACGATGCATAATAAAAGTAACGGCTTGTTTTTTGAGGTCGGGAGGTCAAGAAATTTTTACAAAATTGGAAAAAATAGCGAAATTAGTAAGGCTTCGAAAATCATATTGTATAAATTAATAATTTGTCTGCAACTTAATATATAAAAAATAGTGTTTGTTTGCGTAGACCTTTGCACTACTAGCTACAAATCAAGTTCAGGAGATACCAGAAAAGTGAAAGAATTTTAGGTTCCAAAAATGAGGTAGTTAGGGGTATTCCAAGGTCATAGAAACATTAATTTTATCAGATTTTTATTAAAAATGACGTTATATACCTTATTTTAGTGGCTTTGAAGCCCATTGAAATTTCATCATTTGCATACGGCGCTTTATCCAGGCGGCCAGATGCAAAAAGAATGGTCGTAGTGGCCCAAAATCAAACATGAAAAATGCTCTATATCAGAAAAACCAGCGATGAAAGAGGTAATTTTCATGCAAAACTTTTCATGAATTTGCACAACTTGCTTACCTCAACAGATGGCACCATAAAAGAAGTTGGTCCCTTACAATCAACCCCATATACCCAACAATATCCCCCCAACAACACAAAAGCGCATAAAACGACACAACATATTGCCGCCCCCAAAATTTAATTACCCCCGCCGGAACAGCATTCAGTAGCCCCGCGCGAGAATGAGTGGCCCATCGCTGGGTCAGTTGGCCACACCGCGATGGGACCCATTTCAAGGGGGCCCATCCGCCCTGGACACAGCGAGTGATGCATGACATGTGTGAAGTCGACACACTCACCTACCCACTGCCATTCTCTTCTTAAACCGCCGTAGGCTAATCAGACCTGGGGGAGTGTGACTCAAATGGGGTGGTGCCTCACGTTAAAAATGAGAACGGCTGTTCGAGTGCGGGGATTTCCGGTTGGCCAGGAACATGGTGATTAGGTCCGCACCATTAATCTAATAGATCTAAGGAGTGCCGATTGGGCAATGTTTGTAAAGTTGGGGGCTCGAGGATCCGAGAATAAATTTCAAATTTGAAAAATAGGGGTGGGAATCGGGGGAAGTCGGTGGTGAGGCAGAAAGAAGCGAAGCTGGGAGAGTCGCATGCGTTTCTGGGGAAATTTGATTTGGGCATAGACCCTTAAAATTTTGTCACCCCTGGGGCGATAGCGGGGAGAGTTTTTGAGGTTGTTTTTGAGGGTCATACAGTGGTTGAAAATGCAAGCTCGCCTCGCAAATTAAAATAGAAAAATCAACCATTTGCGTTCTTTTTGGGGTACTCTGGCTACGGTATATGCTAATATACTCCATTCAAAACGGGTTAAGGGATATTTGTATCCTACTATATATAAAAAATAGTTCATGTGTGTGTGTGTGTGTGGACACTTTGCATAAATGGCTCGAAAAAACCGGGTTACCAAGATATCGGGAAGAGGGATCAATTTTAGGACCCAGTCGAAAAGTATTTAGGGGTAGTCGAGGGCGTAGATTACTGCAAGCTTATCAGATTTTTAATAAAATGACGATTTATACCTTATTTTAGTTATTTTAAAACATATGGAAATATCCTCATTTGCATACCAGGCGCTAGGAGGCTCATTTCGAATTTTGTCGCGCTAGCGGCCGGTTGCTCTTACCGTTTTTGGGTTCACTCTCGCTCTTCGCTCGAATTACGCAAAGTGCCCAACTTTGAGAGTTCCGTGTGCGAAGGCCAGGGTTGAAAAGCCGCGTAGCGGCTTTTCAACCCTGGTAAAAACTTAATTTAATATAGCAATAACACTTTTTCAAGACGCCGATAGCCTAGCAGGAATCCAGAGACCATTTCGCACCTACATAAACTCAAACGCTCTCCACGACCTGAAATATTGAAATGCAATGCAAACACTGCCGTAAGCACACTTTCCTTAGGATTTCCATTTTTATTGAGAAATGCGGCTAGAAGCAACTAAGCTGGTATCGTGACACGATCTCAAAAGCTATCTCCTACTACAACAACCTTGGCGCAGCTAGCATTTACTAACACCCACATCATCCCCCTCGAGACCCCGAGAAAATTGCAAGATACGCTGGTAGCCCGGAAAAATCCGCCCAAGGCCGGGAATCGCACATCAAGGGGGCGCCCAATTTTCATCCAACGCCTCGAAACCCCCTCCAGCCTCCTCAAAATGAAAACCGTTGCTTTACAGCCCCAGGGGCGTCAAGAGTCAAACCCGGAAAGAGAACATTTACGACTTGTTGGTGGGGGAGGTGGGCTATGCAAATGCTTCACCGGCAGTGCAAAGAAAATAAAAACGGGCCCCGATAAATGGGATCCGAGGGGCGCTTTTTGTGTCGGGGTGCGGTGCTGCTTTCAGGGTCGCCAAATTTGGCGATTCACCGAATTACCTCCGAAATCCGGGGCGTAGTAGTGGCGGGAGGAATCAAGGGAGGGGATTGTTTGCTTTGTAGCGTGGTTAAAGGTATAGCGGCACAAAACAAATTATTAAAAACAGGAATGTTCGTTCTTGCCTAAGGTACGAAAATAAGGAATTTACGAGGATTTATTAATGCGTAATTTATTGCGCTGAAATATAGCTAAAGCTTTATAAGGCTTTCTAAATCCGATCTTAATTTAACTTTTTCTTACCTCTAATTTTAATTTACAGAAACTAATTTATTCTAATCGAAAGAAAATATACAAATCTGATAACCAGCCTAAAACTTTTCTTAATGCATAACTCTATATTTCAAGTGGTAAATACTCATCAAGCGTACTTTAATGGCAACACATCGTATAATTTTGGACAAAATTACACTCAAAAACATTGCCTCAATGCTCGATACTAGGCTTCAAATCATAGTTCGTCGCCGAGACCATCCTAAGAATTTTAAGACCTACAATCCCATAAATTTCGAAGACTCCAGCCAGATTTCCGGGGGAATAAATCTGGATTAGTGAGACAAAGGCAATAGGGGCGGTGTTAGCAGCCCGCAAGGTGTCAGGGTCCATTGCCCCAGCAAGTGTTTGCCTCCCACTTCGAGTCATGGAGAAAATTCAAAATTTCCGCCATCCCCTGGGTAGAATGAGGAGCTGAGACTATCGTATGCCCTCAGATTCCCGTCTAGCTGGTCCCGGCCCCGCAAAAAATCGGCACCACGTTTTTGTCTACAGCTGGCCGCGCGGTGGGTGCGCGGTCTCGGCCGGGGTTTTTGTGGGGGTTAGTCAAATGTCTTCGTGGCCATTGCGGAGATCGGGATGATGCACTGGCTATACAATTTGTCATCAACTGAAGGCCAAGATTTTGGGGCTGGTATCAAAAACGGTTATGCAAATAATCGGATGTAAATATTGGGGACGTAAAGGGGAGTGGTGCATAGATAGAGTGTGGCGATGGCAAAAAAAAGAAACCAAAAAGCTTGTGAGCTTTCCGAAGAGAACGAGAATGCTAGATCGAAAAGCAAGTTTTTAATAGGAAACATCGAATCGTGCTTCCGATAAGATAAATCACTCCCCTCTACTGGTAACGTCCATCAAAGTTGTACTTAAATGCAAATAATGTGACTAGGCATTCTTAGTAAATTTTGATGCGTTTTCCTCGTATTATTAGGAGTCTTAGAAAGTTTTAACTGTTAAAACCCGATGGCATTGATAAATTTTATCCCAAATTTTCGATATTAAGTCGTAAAAACAAAACCCATCATTGGAAAAATAGAAGCCCTGGGCTTATATTAGAGGAATACTGTAATACGGAACCTCAGTAAAACTAAAAAAATCAAATCCTCCTCAAGTTCATAAAAATAAACCACTTGACACAGCCGAGGCGTGATTTGCGAGGGTCGAGGGGGATTTGTGGAAGGGTAGTATGTAAAGAGGATCCATTCCAGCATATCCCCGCATCCAGCCGCGGTGTGAATATGTTTATTCAGGGTGGTGTCGTTGAGAGCCAGGTCTCTCTCGCGTCGTCGCCCCGTCCGTGGTATTCCACGCAACGGACGGGGGCTTGGGGCACGCAGACTGAAAAGTCGTCGGCCACAAAAGAAACGGCTGGAGATAACCAGTGCGCTGGTGGCAGTGAAACAATAGATTTTGGCTAAGTCTTATTGGTAGGGGAAGTGATGCGGTAGTCGAGACAGTCTCCTGCACCGATTTTTTTAAAGGAGTTGTAAGAGCAGTGTTTTTGATCATTTACTACAGTCCAGCTCACTAAAACAAGATCTTTGAAAGCTTCTGGTTCTACAAATTTGGAAGGCAAATCCTGTAGCGTAGAGGCTTGGTCACGTTTTAAAATGTCGGAGACGAACTTACCTTCCAACTCGGTATTACACGTACGAGCTAAACTTAAACGTACGATAAAACAGCATAAAACCCCACACCGGAAATGGCGAGCCCGAAAAAGCTTCAGCCAAAGCTTTTGACTAAAGCAAACATTTGGAGTCGAGCCCCCCAAAAGACAAGTGTATCAAATGGTGCCCCGGGTCCCATCTGTCCGTACACCACCAAAGACCCAGACCCCAGGCACAAGTGCCAAAGGATTGAATTACACGTGTTGAACGCAGGGCGGGCATGGGTATGAACGAATTCCGGTACCTGGGTGGAGCGAGTGGTATCTGGGAAACCCCAGAGCAGAAAAACGAGTATATTCGTCTTCTAACGAAACTGAATTAAGCGTTTCTAAGGCCTACGTTCAGTGTGCCTAAATCCATTCCTCTCAAAAACTTTTTCGTCCTGTCCTCTTAGTTGAGAGATTTTTCCATCTGGACAATATCTTCCTTAAACTTTTGGCAACCTAGTGGACCTGACATTAAGAAAAAAATTTTTAGGACATGTTACCGAATTAGTTTCTAGATATTCGTCTAATTTAATGCACCAAAGGTTGCTAAGTAATAAAAATGCAAGTAGCAGTAAAGTTTGCAGCGTGCATTCGACCTTATTAGAAGGAAAATTATGGAAATGCATGGAGCACTAGCGGGGAAGCAGGAAAATACGCCGATTACCTAATGAGGACGAGGTGGTCGTAAATCTGAAGCGTTGTCGAAATGTTGAGGTAGATAAGACGTTTGGGAGCCCCGGGCGCTCCTCACGCCTTTAGATCTGGACACGGATATGCCGAAAGTTTTGCTTTGGCTGACGCTCGGGAAAGGTGCGCCGAGGAGAGTCTCTCTAGCATCTTTAACCAAGCTGTTTTAGGGGAAAATTAGGTCATAAAAATTTTCAAAGCTGCCAAAAACTACGGTAAAACCAAAAGATATTTAGAGACTCAAAAAAATGCAGCTGTCGTCGGGTTGTGGGGAACGGATTCATTAGATGATCCACGAGAAAGGGATCACATGCAAATGCCTGCAAACAGATCCTCGAGTGGCCGACCTCCCAAAGCACCAGCCAGCCCACCAAACAGTCGCATGGGAAAAATGCATCGGGTTGTGTTTGAGCCCAGGGTCGGAAGCTCCTGAGGGCCCCGCAAAAAGACTGCAATCTTTGGCCGTATATTTAAGATGGATCTCGAGGTGCTAGGGGTGGCAGCAGAAGTTCGAAGGAGGGCATACACTACACACGCATACTATGGGCAGCCGCGATGAACAACTGGACATGTGTCGAGCATGACAATGGACTCCCCAGGGGGTGCTACTGGGCTGCCCAAAACACCATCATTCCCGATAATGGATGGGCCTTAAAGGAGTGACCATGAGGGGAATGAGGGTGCAGTGGATATTCCAAAAAATGTTGTATGAAGTAAAGGGGACCGCCGAAATAATATACTAAGGAGGAGAGCTACTAGCCCCGCAACCTTCCCAGGTTCACCTGGTCTCCGAAAACATAACCGGTCGGGTTCCCTCTCATCTGCCAAATAATATTGGCTCGCGTTCCAACTGAATGCCCCCGGATACCGTCTTCACTTTACGACTATTGCCCTACGGCCTTTGAACGGCCTCCCCGGGCTAAAAGTGCCTACACTAAACTCAAATCCTCTACTGTTCTCTTCTGATATACCCCAACGAGCAGTAAGATTGTGTAATCGGATCTGTCAACTCTCGATTCCTTTTTTTGTCTCTGCGTCCATGTTTGACATTGCTGAAACAACCTTATTTATAACTTTGACAGATAACCAGACAAAGCGAGGGCACACCTGACGACATTGGCGATAATGAGGGCTTTAAACGAGCAACAAAGGCGAACAAGGTTGTTTTTAGCAGTAAATATATATCACAATTAATCCAGCTGAGGGTGGAGGCGATAGGGTGCAATATAGGGTACTAACACGTTTGGCCAGAGCCAGCTAGTGTCGCGGTTTGCACTTGTTGACAATATAAACCGGTGCTAGAGGGACGTTAATAACTAATCAGAGTTCCGTAAAGCCTTATGGAGTAGTGGAGCGTCGACAGTGGATAAACGGAATACCGGTAAATCGAAGGGGAAGGTCAGTTCCGGGATTGGCAAACCATTAGCAAACAAATTAATGGCACTTATTTGAGGGTCGCGGTCAAGTGATAGTAGGGCATCGTTGTGAAACGGGGGCATTAATGGTAACGTGAAACAACGTGGGAAATTTTTCAACGTAAAAAGCACTTTGGTTCACAGGAAAAAGGCGGGTTTGACAGAAACAGTGTGCTATCCGTAATATTACAAGCGGCAGTTATGAATCAAAATTTGCGAAACGTTGCGCGAATTTCGATAGAAGGCACGGGATTTACATATATTCCTGTGCATCATCAATGTACTCTCCATCGGCCATCGAACTGTCCGGGACGAGGATTTCGGGCTCGGGGATGTGCAACTCGTTGTTCGCAATCAGCAAATTGACCCGTTTGTGATAGCTCTCGTGCTGCTCCATCGATTTCAAGTCGGCAAAGCGTTTCAAGCATGTCTAAACAAATTTTTATCTTTAGGAAAACTGAAATCTAAACGAATACCCATTCGATGAGGCAACAGGAAACTTACGTTGCAATAAAGAATCTTCTCGTCTCGCATATTGGGATGCGTGAGCTCCATATGTTCCAAGCATTCACGCAACGTGATGAAGACGCTTTTACAGAACGGACAATCAAACCTAGGAAAAAACAGCGTAAAGAAATCAAAATTATGTTACCTCTCGAAAGGAATTGGCTTCGCATATTCAAAGAGATCAGATATGCTAAATCTGCTGAACTCAGCCTGGCGCATCAGGTCATCGAGTCGGCGGAACTAAAGCGCATAAATTTACCATGAAATTAAGCAGAACGACGCGCATCCCCGCTAAATTCATACAAACCTTGTCCTCAATGTTCATCGAAGGCAGAAGATCGCCCTTCTTGATGCGCTCTATCCACACACGCGGTGTCTCGCCAAGGCCAAGCTTTCTCGAACTAAAAAACTCAAGATTCAAAACAAATGAAAATTCTCTTACATCCTCTGCCTCGAAGGAGGAGTGAACATCGGGTCACCAGACCCCCTAACGATGATGGCATCGTCAGGAATATCCTGCGGAGGGCGACGGTTGCTAAATTAACCAAAATCGTTTAGGAACTAGCGTATATCGAAATCGACGTCTTCTAAAAAGTTACCTTGCAAATGGCTTCCATGCGGCCTCCAGCTCTTGCTTCGAGCTCACATGGGTCTTCAGATGCTTTTTGAGGTTGCCTAGATAAGGACAACAATTATATACGAGATTCACACAATACCTTTCAAGCGACAGGTCTTTCCACAATATGGACAGGCATGAGGAGTGAAACCGCTGTGTACCGAACGATGCTCGAACAGATTTGATTTGAATCGAAACATCTTTCCGCATATATCGCATTGGAAAGGCTTCTGGTCAGTATGAATCACGGAATGCTGATGCAGCCCTGCAACGAAAGGTTGCGATCATTCAAACCATGTATACCTTTAATATTCACGAATATCTTATTGCAAACATTGCACTGATGGACGGCTTTTGGAACAGCCATGATGGCAGCGTCGATATCATCATCGTGAAACTAAAAAAGAAATTTATAGAGGCTAAATGGCAAAGTTTTAATAAGGAAACATTGGTAAAATGGTAGCAAAATCGAACCTGTTCATCTGCATAATCCAAGAGCTCGCCCTGGTTATCGTGCAAAAGTCGGGCCTCATCTTCATCGTCATAATCCATACCGTCCATGGTCATAGCCATCTGGCACTGAAAATAAAGTTTTAAATCCGCTTGAAATTGAACGGAAATCGAAATGAATAATATAATGAAAATTTGCGTTGGAAATTAAACAATGAAGCCCGTGGAAGGGCTATTTTTGAGAACGACCGTTCACTCGCGCGGTGGGGAGCCACAGTGTATAGGCGCTGATCGTAGTCAATCGGGGGCTATTACAAAAATCAAGGCTATTATACTGTCACCGATTTAATATTGGTCAAAATCTCTCAAAACGTTGCCAAATTGGAAGAAAAACTATCAAAAAATGAATTTTTGGTGGTTCCAGTCATTTTCGGAAAAAGATTCGGTGATACGGTATTATCCGTTGAAAACAGGGCGAAATGCTGAGAAAATGTTGAAGACAATTTGATGTTCGTTAACGGGATACGTTGCTGTATGCTTTCGTCGAAATAGCGGAATTTTTGGTGGATTTTGGGGGTTTGGGGCGGAGTGGTGGTGTATGGTATGGTACAGTATGTTGGGTGCTGCGAGGACGGGTATTTCACCGTAGCACCCTCTGCAGCGGTCGATCAATTGCACGCAACGCGTCCCAGCCGCCCCCACCCGCAGATGGTGGCTATTTGCCAACGGCTACGAACTAGGGCTATGCGGTGGGTCCGAGATACCCGCCAAAAATCCAAGAGGATAGTAATTGATCAAGGGAAGAGATTCGAATGGAAAACGCAAGAAAACTCTGTCTAATAACAGCATAAAAACACATCTATAGAACGATCTATTTTTTAAAAACCTGTCTATGCTTCGAATAAATATATTGCTTTAGTATTAAAATAAAACCTAACGTGTTCCAAACAAATGTTAGTAGATTTTAAACGCAAGAAACCCCTGTTTATTAAACAACAGAAATATAGTCATCGATCAAATGACCTACTTTCTATTCAAAAAATATCTAGCATTCAGATTATTACATTGTGTATGTTTTGGACAATTACCTGACGTGTTTGAAATAAATTTTAACAGATTTAGCTGTGATATTAATTACGGCCGCTCGTTTCCAAGGATAATAAAAAAGCTACTCATCTATATAAAGAGACCTTGAATATATAAAGTAAAACACACAAATTTGAGAGAAAAGAAATTAAATCTATGAAAAATGAAGATGCGTTGCTAAAGCTATTCTAGAAGCTAGGGTATGTGTTTTGGGAGTTGTAGTAGTAGTTAGAGTATAATTTTCTAAAACATCCAAAGAACTTCAAGTCGGCAGGGCCGAAGGGAGACGTCTTATAAGGTGGGGCAGTACGGTATTTAAAGGAATAAACAGTAGCAAAGTAAAATCAGGGCCTATCCGTGAGTATAAAACTTGAAAAAACCTTACAAAATTCAAAACAAGCAGAAAACATTACTAACAAACATCGTTATATCGAAGGTACTCATATGGTACCCGATATAATGTTTTGAGCAAGTAAAGAGGTAATGGACGACCATGCAGAAGGACATAGAATATCCGCTAATATAAAAAAAATCGTGAGAAACGTCACAGAATTTGTAAACCTTTATCGTTTTTTTCTTCGTAGGCTGTATCGAATTCCGTTTTGGTGATTTGAGCGGTCTCCTGAAGAATTGAGGAGGTCTGGTCGTCTTTTCAAGATCGACCGGGATCGATCAATTCAAACTTATATTAGCTCTAAAATTCTCCGAGTTTTGTGAAAGCGGGTGTTCTGCATCTTCGTGTATGCTAATGATTCTCGACAGTGACAAAGAACTGATCAGTGTCCTAGGAAAAGCCGGGGAGGGAGTCGATCGGTCAGCGCATTTTAATGTTTGTGCGATTTTCGATTTTCTTGTCCGACCGGAAAAAAATCATAACATTTCGCCACCCGCTATTGCTATCGCCGGTCTCTCCGCAGCCAAATGATGAATTTTAAAGGGATTAGGCAGTTGCAACCTTGCCATTGGATTTTGGCTCCAGTCCAATTTCCCGGTCATCACAGTGCCTTAAGATGTTCGGTTCACCCGTACCCACTTCCGCAGATCTCCCACGAACCAAATATAGCTCGGGTCAGGGGTTCTCGGCGAACATAACCCCGACCGCTATCACCTGCCCCGAAAATAGATTCACTGCCAGCCACCAAGATGATGAATCGCTCAGCACAGGCTCCATTTTTTGCCTTCGTCAATATCTCTACCCGCGGTGACTTTCAAAAACGCATCTCCCAAACACTTTCCTCCCCAGATCGGGTGCTCCCATTCCCCTGATGCTCATTTTAGTCCGGGGATCATCAGCACTCTGGCGGTCCTGGTTGTTTTCCATTTGTTTACGTTCAAAAAGTCCATTGGGTTGACTTGCACCGTCGGTTTTGATAAATAAACAAGATTGGATGGTAGGTGAGTTCATTGGAGCGTTTTTAACAATGTTTAGTGGCTAATATTCGGGTTTTTTTTATGGAGGTGGTCTCTTGCTTTAATTATATATTTTATTGTTTTAATGTGTTAACGTGTTATCGAAATTGTTGTTATAAAAGGTCATAGACTAGACGTAAGGTCATGCCCAAGAATTTTTAAGGCAGCGCAGAATTACTGTAAACGAACAATTTCCACCTGCGTACATTTATGGGAGACCGGCTACCGTAACCCCATTTCCCTGGCCGGCTTTTTTGGGAACTGTTAAATGATGAGTTTGAAATCGCCGGTCGCTAAACATCATCCCCTGCAAGCCCAAATACGGCGCGTCGCGGTCGTCCATCTTATCTTCCCGGGGGGACTGATAAACTCCGATTTCCGCAGCCAGCTTCCCCTCACTGCCCCACTGCCTCTCAATTTTCTTCGCAAAGAAATGGCTTTCATGCCCGGTCTCGACAATTGCGCCCCCCACTCTTTCCATAAACCCCCTGATTTTGCCATGCAATGTTTGGCAGCAAGGCCTGGCCAAAAACTAGAGTACTCCTTTCATACTTATCGCCCTTTTGCGGAACGTTGTCGCAGGTGGTGAATGGCGGTCGCGTTGCGGCCCTGGGCTCTCTACATCTGTCGCTATCTTTTCCGAAACGTGTGCCCTCCCCCCGCTCTTTTCCGCCTCCATTTTTCACCAAACATCACAGCCCCGGGACCCGGCTGAGCCGAGATGCCATTGTGTACCCCGGGCATCCCCGCTGCTTTCTAATTGCACGCGACTCTGACTGAGTTCGCGCCTTCCCGCTATTAACCCGTATAATCTATCCGATTCGCACCTGTTGCCAACCGATAAATGCCCCCCCCCCCTCCCCCCCTTTTTTGACTCCTGGGATTTATTTTTCGAACTTATAACTCGTACTTAGCCGTTGCAATTTGGGGCTGAACTTTGTTGCCACGATATTGGTCATATGAGAATAATTTTTTGCCCTTTTCCAAAAAAAATTCCATCTGGGTTCTTCTCTAGAAAACAGTATGCGCTGGTTTGTCGGCGTAATGACACAAAAACTTAGTTTGGTTCACCGCCGTTTCGTACTTATCTTTGAAAACCGTTGCCTGAACTTTCCCACGTCTCTGGGGGATTTTGTTTGCGCTTGTATTTATTGTGGATTCTTTGTCACTGAGATTACATGCTGTAGCGGCTCAGGCTGCGAAAATCGGTCGGTTTACGTCCACTTTTACTTTCATAACACCGTTTAATGAATTTTTGGCCTCTTAAATCCTAAGCGCCTTTTTCTAAACATACCCTTATTACAGTACCGCTAATCCAGCGGCTGAACTTAGTTCCTTCTTTGTATGCCCAGGACATCGGCACCGGTTTGTGGTACATTCCGAGGACAAAAAGGGGGTCTCCCCTCTGTCCCGCCTGCCACAAGACTGCACAAAATTTTTGGGTGCACACATCAGGCGTGGCACCAGAAATGAGCTTAGCCCTTTTTTGGCCGCTGATCATACCTTTTTCCGCTATGGACGTGAAAATAAAAAGTAATCGTTTTGATGACAATTAGTCGCTTTTGCGGGGAGGTTTGAGAACTTTGCGGGAAAGTCATTTTAGGGGACACCCCCACCCGACGGCTGTGCACTCCCACACACACCGATAGACCGATATATACACGGACATCCAGAGAGACAACGAACCACCACGAGGAGGGTGGACCCGGAGTGCGTTCTCCCCCCTCCCTCCCCCACCAACCCAACATGATCTGTGCTCGCATTTTCCACCCCGCCTCGGCTCACCTATTCCCCCTTCGCGCATCGCCAGTGCAGAGCTCTCAATCGATTCTCTTCAACCCTATCCGATCACTCACCACCTCCCCCTCATATCGTATCAAAATTGGAAATGCACATTGGTTGGTCGCGTGTTGCGCTCCGCCGGTTTTTTTATAGCTTGTCGAAATGTGGGATTTGTGGGCGGGCGGGGTGAAGCCTAGGATTAACAATGGAACTCTGTTGCCGACAAAATCTTGTGTAGTCCTCGTCTAAGTTGAATTCGACTCGATTCTTGTATCACCGCTATTTTCCTATCAAAGGGAAATCCTGTGATTTTGTCAAGATTTCTCATTTGCGTTCGGCCAGATGCTCGTAGATCCGCCAGTGTCAGTTAAACTCTTTGATCTGACTATTGAGCTAGTGCTAGGTTTCTACCCACTGCGTCGTACCCAGCCTGTTTTACCCGAATCTGCTCCCCATATAGTTGTTTGGCCTATGGCCCCGGAACTTCCCACCGTCTGCCCTTTATCAGAGCTTTTCCACCCACAACGTGACTTATGTTTTCTGTTGATCCCATCCTACTTTCATCCTTTGCACTCCCCACTCTTTTACGTGTGCTCCTCCCGTCCCGCCATCCAACTGCGGGCACACCGAGTTGTTGACGGGTCGCGCCGCTCAGCCCTTTTTCTGCAATTTCTGCCGCTATTGCTAAATCCGTTCCCCGCATGTTGTGGGAGTGCCGAACTTGGGTTTGTCACGGCCTGTAGCCTGGGCCCCAGGGGTTAAGTAATGAAACCCGCTATGCCCCTTGTTTTTCCAACTACATCACAATGCGGGGATTCACGGGGCTTACCCGGAAAATGCCTCGCATTCATTCCGATTTCTCGACGGGCTTCCCCCAGTTGTACCACAGTTTCAATTAAAAAAAAACCAACTGGGCCCGCTCAAGTTCGCCGGGTGTTTTCCATTTCCCCTTGTTAGTCGGCTTCTCCACTCAGATGCAATGAATCCGGAAAACCCGATCCGGGTGCAGTCCCCCTCTAAGCTCAAGTCTATTCCGCGGTCTGGTGTACCAGCAATGAAAGTCGTTGCATCAAGCCGAGAAAGCTGGTACTTATAAAGACCACATCGTCACCGATCCCGGGATGATCAAGGCCAAAATGCTCCTCCCCCAATATCCATAATATCTCGACCGTTCCCCCCCCCAGATCAGCATCTATATTTATAAATTTAGTCATGACGTTGATCTCAAAAACAAAGAAAATTTCCAGGCTGCTGTAACCTTGCTATAAAACCTCCCTTCCAATCCCCTCGTGTGCCGTTTTTAAGCCGCTTACACGGAGATGACTTTCTGAACTTGTGACCTGCCCCCCCCTGCCCCAATCCTACCACATACACATGCACGAATGGCTGCCAAAATTTTCCCTTCCTATTGATTGAATTCGATTGACGCAGCCAAACGCATCTGCAGTTTTGTGTGCCCACCCTCTCCAATCACTACTCATTACTCCGTTCTCGCCGATACCCGGATCTCCTCTTTCCATTATTTCAAACATGATTTCCAGAAAACGGCGCCCCTTGTGGCCTGCGAACCCCAGCCTTTTCCAGACGCCAGTTCAGTAAAATATTTGAGAGTGGATCGCACAAATTCACCGTTGCCGACGAAAGTCAAGAAAGAGCGGTGCCAGCCGAAAAAGCGAAAGGTAGATTTTGAAAAGGGAAGGAAACATTAAAGATCATCCGGTCTGGACGGATAGAATTGGAGTCGGCAGTAATGACACTGGCCAAATATTTACTGAACCGAGGGGGCCCGCAAATTCCTAGCTTACCTTGTGATCATTTTTTTGTTGGGGGCACATGTTCATGGATTGGTTCGCTAGTTGATTTCCCGTAATCAGGTACTCACTGTGAACCCTAAAGAACCGATGACGTGTGCAACATTTTTGGGCTGCCCCGGTTAACGGCGGGCGGATGCTTGCAGATAAGCAGAAAATAATTTTGGAACATGATGGGGCGCACCCGGGTCGTACCGAGTTGTGCCGACAAACAAGGCGGCATCCATGCTTTTTCTTTACGTTCGAAATGCAGGAATTTTCAGGAATTCAAAGATTTGACTTGAACACCTCGCTCGATGGAAGTGGTGATGCACAACGCTATTCGCCAAGGCATCCGTTTGATGAGCGGCGGGGAACCGCACTCACCGCCGGATGATATTTCTCCACAACGTAGTATGTCCCCAGGTTGGTGGTTCATGTTTATATTTGATGACGCACGGGGTTAGGGTCAACGCAGTCAACTCGATAGGGTTAGAATAGATTAGGGGTGGGTTAAAAAGAATACACAAGTAAATCCTCATTTATTGCTAGCTTACTCGCGGATGTTGACATCCCAGCTTCCATAAGTCCAAAGATCAGCGACCTAACCCATTCCGGAAACCCCGAATTAGCTAGCGCACTGGTGGGTTCCAATCTAGGCGGCATACACACTTTAATCTACCCCGGTCTTCACCTGGCCCCCCTTACCTATCAGTCTCCCCAGTTCTACCCCCCGTGAAGCCCTACTTAAATCGATTTACTGACCATTAGGCATCTGTACAAACGTGCCATTTTGCAGCCAGGCACCCCGACCGATAACTAAGGTATTACTCTGATGCCTGGCCCTTGCAGCCGGTTGTCTCCGCACTGCCAAATGTCTTTTTGGGTTGACTGCTGCGAGTGGTGTGTGCCGCAGAACTGTTTACTCTCGCCCTTCCGTGGATAGACTACCCCCTCACCCCCAATCCAAGGTCCCCTGTACCTCATACACACTCGTTTTGGATGGGTGGTTGCCTCTGGTCCTTCAACGACCTGAAAACGCTCTTGTTTTGAAATGAATAGTTTTTGACCTTGCATTTTTTGACAGAATTTAAAAAAATTAACTTAGAATCATATGTAAGACATTCTCAATTTCCTCCTTGCATAAAATGGCAGTGTTTATTAGACAACACGCCCAAAAAAATTGCAACCCTCCTCCCCCACGCCCTCTTGACCTCCTCTCAAGTTCTCATGCACCTCAATTTCGAGCTTTGCGGACACGTTTCCTTCCTGACCCCGATCCCCCTCCAATTCCCACTGTGCACACTCCCATCTCGTCCCCTCATCCCGTATTTTCAAAGATATTACCTATCACAACCTATAGACCCATAAATTTAAAAGTTATTTGTTGTCCCCCACTGACCACCTGCACCCCACATGCCCTTAAATCTCAAAATAAAAACCCAATTTTTGTGGCTGATCGTGACGCAGCCGGGCTGCGAGTTTTTGACGGGTTTCTCTCTCACGAATAAATTCACGTGGCATTAGCATGTTGGTTTGCTGATTTGGGGGAATGGAGGGCGCTGAGAGAGAGAAACGCTTGTTGGCGAACTGCGCTGTTAAAACGTATTGGTTTTTTACGATCGTTTTCTAACGGGGGCCGCGTTTGGATAAGAATTGGAATAGCCAGCGTTTACATAGTGATTTTTGAAGCGCAATCATCCACTTCTTCAACAAAATTGGTCATTCTACGCTTATTCTAACGACGACAATCATTCCTGAGAATTCTTTCCGCGGGGCCACGAGTCCAAAACGGGGGGTGGCCGGGGCAACGCGGGCCGCGTGTTCAAACAAAACGCTTCACCTTCTACAACCACCAAGCCCCCCCAAAATTCCCAACCACGTCCGCTCAACCCCCCATGCAATCAACGCACTTTATTTCCCCCAACACAACTACCTGTCTATCGCGTTCCGGCCCCAAAAACCCATTAACCTCTTTCAATCGTTTTTCTATTTGCCAGCGTTGCATAAACCATGTGGGCCCTTTCGTTACCTTTCATGACTCCCAGGCTCACCACCCGGCCGACCTCAAAAATCAGCGCCCCTAAAATGCTATAAGCCGATGTACTGCGACGAGTGGGATGATGATGATGATGGTAGGAGATCCGAGCGTTTCAATTCTCCCCTAGCTTCTCCCTTTCCCCTTCCTTCCACATTTTTCATTCCGTCAAAAAGAAACTCTCTGGACTTCCCTCGTTTATTTGCCTCCTGAATTATTCGGTGGGGCTAGGGCTCGGGTTCCTGGGAATCCGCCGGGACTTTACTAAATTCTAGGGGAGCACATAAATTGGCAATTTCCATTATAGCCCCCCGGGTCTGAAACCTAAAATTGGGTCTTAATGAAGGTCGTCATTGCGGAAATATTCAATTAATGGTAATGGGCTCCGTTCGTTAATTTCCCGCGGTTCCATGCTCTCCCTTTCGTCGTCGCCACCATTTAGATATTAATGACCGAACCCGTAATGAACTTTTTTTAGGAGGGCTTTAATCAAAAGTACCGGGAAGTAGCCTGTCTACGGTCTCGATTTATTTCCGGCTCACTCCAATGTCTATTCTCGAGCTGTGAGCGCTCCCATATTTAGGCGGGTGATCCATCATTGGGCCATCGCCACCCGAGATTCCTTCCCCCAAACAGAGTCACAACTGTAAATTGATTGGCTGATCTTTAGAAAAAGAGAGGGGAGGGCGGCGAGGGGGTATCCCTGGGCCGTGAGCGCACGGGTTCCACACGTCACTAGATCTTTGAAGAGCATCAGGTCAGGGGGAGAGGCTGTAGAGAAACAAAAAAGGGGACGTTCTCGCTATCTCTGTCGCCGCTCTTCGAAGAGCGGCTGTCGTTGAAATACGGGGCGCATCGGTGGTTAGCAAAAGGGGAAAAAGGGGGGTGACTGGCTGGTTGAGCCGGTCACATGTCTGCACAGCCAGCCGGAACCAGTGCCCGAGCACTTGTCCGCTAGGGGAACTTCGTAAATTCTGCACTCAGTCCGTTGTCGCGTTCGACATGACGATACTTGGTTAGCTTCTTAGAATGAAGGGCAAACAAAGGGGAATCTAAGGAGACCTTGACCACAAATGACTGTCAATTGACACAGACCAAACAACCCAAGGCTACTTTAACAATACCCCTATTCTTCCAGAAGACAGCGGCCCCCGACAGCCAGGCAGAAAACGCACCAGCACCTCATCGGCCGCACAAGACGCTAAACGTATAGCTAACAAAGTGGGTATCAAAACCGTAAACACAACTACAAACTATATTTAGGTGTGCCGTGTGTGTGGCGACAAAGCCTTCTCTTACAACTTCAACGTAATCACCTGCGAGTCCTGCAAAGCTTTCTTCCGGCGGAACGCCTTCAAAGAAAACGAAATCCGGTGTCCATTCAACGAGGAGTGCGAGATTACCACATTGTCCAGACGATTTTGTCAGAGATGCAGATTGGTCAAGTGTTTCGAGGTTTGTAGAATCATTTAACATCAAACAACGCTCTTTGCAGGTTGGAATGAAAAAAGAGTGGATCATGTCCGACGAAGCTCGACTTGAAAAGAAGGCCCGGGTTGAAGAAAATCGCGAACGACGTCTGAAGGAAGCTATCGCCCGGGGAGACGTAGACGAAGCACAGGTTCAATGCGGAAAGATCAGCAGCATCAAGCATGCCCTCCGCCAACGTATGAGCAGTGAAAAACCAGAAGACAGAGATGATCTCTCTCTATTCCAGGTACTACACCAACCTGGTAACTCAAACCATTTTTTTAGAATTACGCAAGCCCCGACAGCGGTGACAAACTGAGCGTACCGTCCATTCCGTCAATCGGCTCCATCGGAACACCGCAATCAAGCAATTCTGGAGACAACAATTTTATGACTGGGACCCCAATGCCGAATATTGTCCCCACCACCACTTCTCATCACGACACATTCCATACTAACACCCTACAGCCTCAACATTCTCAACAGCTACTTACCGAGCCGCTGAGCAATGTGGTCAATCAAGTCATACACATGTAAGTTTAAGGAATGTGTGTAGATGAACTCCATTCCTAGGCCGATTAGCGACTTCAATCTGATCCCGCCTCCAAGTATCTCATCTATTCCTGCACAAAATGTGCTGTCTTTTGCTGACACCTCTAGCAATTGTAAGTCAAGGATCTAGACACAAAAGAATCTCTGATTTAGGTGTCAACAATGTCTTGAGTTCGCCGCCGATGGGTACCAACAATCTGTTGCTGGCTTCTCAAGACTTTGCTGCCAATAACCCGACCCTAGCCGCCACGGCTGCTGCCTCGGCGTTGGCCCAAGCACAACTGGTTGTACAAGCACAGGTATATCTAATCGTGTTTTCTAAATAACCCTTTTTAGCAAACGGCACAGCAAATGGTTGAAGCAGTCGCCAGCCTGCCACCTCACCAGCCGTTGATACCGCAACAAATTTCACAGGCACCACTATCCAGCCTGGCCCAACTTCCACCCCAAATCAACTTGCCAACGGCACCACCTATCCCGTGCCCACCACAACAGCAACAACTACAGCAATTACCCCCCTCAATCCATCCCGATCCAACAGAATCGGCCTCCTCAACCTGTTGCCGCTCAAATTCCGGTCACCAGCCATGTCGTCAATCTTCCTCCACCTCAACCCGAACCGGAGATGATCACGATTTCCAAGTAAACCAAAAACTCCATTTTTAAAACCTTTTCTTTTAGGGAAATGTTCCTGAAGCTCGTCAACGAGGCTGGAAATAAGGACATACATCACAGGCACCAGAAATGCACCTGCGATTGCCGATGCGGATATTATCCCAAGGAGACGGTGATCGTTGATCAGGTAACGGTCGATGATCAATCCACCAATCCTCGTTTTAGGTGTTGAAAGACGTCGAACGGGAAGATGGTCGTGATAACCCATTCGAGATCAAGAATGAAGGCGAGGTCAACCAGGCGTGCCAAGATACCGCCGATGAGATGCAGCGCAATTTTTTGCTGCCCTCCGAAAATTCGACGGTCAGCTGGCTATCGCAGGGACTGCCGACTAATTTGGATGGCAGCCTCTCTGTTCGCGTAAGTCTCAAAGACCTCTTTTTGGGAGTGTTTTTAAAGATAAACGACCAAGACCAATCCCCCGAGCCACCTAATCTTGACCACGGGGAGCGCTAATTTGTTTCTTCCCGGTGCATCAGCACCCGGTCCCTCCATCTCATCGTATATAAGGGCTATCGGTTTCCACTAGCGGGGCTGGACTGGATTAGGGTCCAGATAAAAAGCATCGAGCACCGCTTCCGTACCTATCCCCCTTCATTTCAGTCAGGCGACGACTTCTACGATATCTACTCTCCGCCAGGGTTTGATTCAATGCTTCGCCCTCCACCAGGTATGTTATTTAATACAACAGATGGTAGCAATTTATACACAACGCTAGAAATTTGTTATAGACCGCTCGTTTTCAGTCAATTACGACCCGGACTTCTGCGAGTTGCACGATGACGACCGTGACCTGCTAAACAATCTGCTAGCCGCGAACAATGCGACCTGGGGGATGCAGCTTGAAGGGAAAGAGAAGCGGCGTCACGAGCAGACATTGCCAAGCAAAGAAAACATGGTCAATATGGCAGAGGGCGCTATTCGAAGACTTGTGAAGATGTTAAAGAAGGTCGACGTCTTCCACCAGCTCACCGAAAAGGACCAGATGGAGATAATCAAAAGTGAGCGCCACCTCTTTAACGAGCTTCTAGCGACATTAACTGATTTATTAATCGTTCATTTCCAGGAAACTCGATGCACTACCTCGTCCTCCGCGGCGCTATGGCCTACGACCCTGGCGAGAACGCCTGGAAGGGGCCCACGCAAAACAGCGGGTTTACGATCAAAATGGACGCGATGCAGTCGTCAGAGAACCTTCTCGAACACAGCATCCGGTACGAACTTGGCGCCGGCGGACCGGCCCCGTTATCGGGAAGGGACAGGGCTTTCACAATCCGTCCTCAAAGATCAGAATTTGATCGCTCGATGGAGGGACGTGGGCAGAGCGGGGAGCGGGGAGCGGGGCCTTTTTCTATGGCTTTCCCCGGTTTGGAGGGACCCGAAAAATTGCGGTGCTTGGAAGGGCGGGGGCGGATAGTACATATGTAGGGTTTATTTGCAAAAAAGCATGAGCAGGTTAAAGGGGATAGGATAATACGTGGAAATTCTAAGTCCGGAAGTGAATTCGTGCTGACTCCAGGGTAGAATGGGACAAAAAGGAAGTAAATGACTAAGTTTATTCCGCATTTCAGATTCTACACAACGTTCAAAGACTCCCTACGCTCGAACGAATCGGTGATGCTCATCCTCGGGCAGCTCCTCCTGTTCCGTGTTGAGGGCGCCGGATATGAGGGTCCAGAGATCTTGAACGAGATTTTTGGCCGCTACAAGAGGTGCTTGAAGAGGTAGAGCATTTCTTAATTCCTAAAAACTTTTCATGTCTTCAGGCAACTTTACCAAATCAACTGCGGCGACATCTACCGTACTCGGACCGATTTCAACAGTCTCTGGGCGAAGTTGGACCAAATTAAGGTGGGTACATCGATTATAGAATAGCTTTTAGCTTAATTAACAAACAGAAAATTTAAATATAATTATCATGCCGTTTAGGAAGTCCAAAAACGTGCGCTCGGTATGGTACGTGGAGTTGACGCGAACAACATCGACCCGCTTCTGCAAGAACTCTTCGCAGCTGACCCATCAACGCCAGCCCCCGTCACCCATTCCAAGTCCCGAAATCATCCCAAGATATCAAAAACTCCCTACACCATCCGTTAATATTAATCTAGTTCTCAAGCAAATCTAGTCACAACTTTAATGCTCCAATAATAATTTTCTTTGTTGATTTATACAGATATTCTACCCCCACCACTTGCAAATCTTGCTCATAATTAGTAAAGAAGCTTCTGCACATACGCTACAGAAATATTGCTGTCACTATCAACGTGTCCCCCTTTGTGATACATCAATCTCCTGGATTCTTCCATAGCAACTCTAAAATCAAGTCTCGTTAGTCAAAATTGCCAGCCTGTTTATCGAGATTCGACGCGTTCCCTTAGCTGGAAATGACTGAAGATCTCAGGTAGCTGACTTTTTGAGAAAGTTATGGTAGTAGAATATGCCCTACGGTATTAACCACCCAGTTTTTATGCAAATTTTCGGCCCCCAAACACTGATCTCGTTTTTGTTAATTTTGGACGTTTTCTGTAAAGATAAATGTTATAAAAATTATGATGAACAACATAGAAAAAGCGACAGAAAACAGAAAGAAATAGAGCGAGAAAGCGAGAGAGAGCGAGGGAGAGCGAGAGAGATAGAGCAGCCGACCATACATTTTGGCTTGGCACCTCCATGGGATTTTAACAAATGTTGTTTCGAATCGTATTCGATAGCATACGACGATTTGAACCTTGAAGGCTGGCAAGAATAATAATGGCTTGGTTTGCACTGGCGTGAGAGTTTTGCCTTCAGTCCTGTCGCACCGTAAAAGCTACAAGTTTATATTATACCTAGATCCTTGGTGGCAAAAAAATGATTTCCGCCCTGGACCGCTTTGCAGCTGATAATCTTTATTTTACATAGTGGTATAAGATACATCTACTTCTGGCGAATGCATGACTTGAGATTAGAGGGCGATCGAGATTTTTAGAAAAACTTACAACAACGGTCTAAACTCCCGAAATTTGGTCTCGTGCGTCTGAAGCCATCTCGAACCCGTTAGGCCTTTAAGAATTCACTGCTCGCAAATGCAGTAGAACCAAATGAAATGCAGCAGTAGTCCAAAAATGAGTGGTGAAGGCTAATATTTCTGTCTAAATCACCTCTCCAATACATCACCTCCGTTCCAAATATGCATATATCACTTGTCATCTCTTGACCAACCAACCCAACCGCCCCTTCATTATTTATGGCGTTCCCCCTAAAAATCGAAGGTTCCCTGGCGCCGCGCAGATGTTCCCACCTTTTTTCAGAAGAAGGCGCGTAGCGGAGGGGAAGGAAGACGAGGAAGAGATGGACATGGGAGTAGGGTAATCGGGCTCGCCGGGGTGTGATAACACGAACATATATGGCGCCTGGCCGGGGGAGGGGGAACCTCAATGCAAGTGGGTTAGCACTACACTTTCTCCCTCGATGGTTTAGCAAACCGTTTTCATAGAATTTCAGTGTTGGTTTTGACTCTCGTGCTATGTCTTAAAGTAGTGTCGAAGCGGTTAAAAAATTCAAAGAAATAGTTTTTTTTTTAACAAATTACGACATGTAATCCAGTCACGTTTGAAATGGGCCGTGCTTCCACTGAACGGACTTTTAAATAGTTGGATTTTTATGGACGCCCACACGCAGCTGCTGGGGCAATAGTGATAAGGAGTTTTGAAAGATGCGTCATTGTATTCGAATTTTAGATATATTTTTCTTGGACTGGTACTTTCGAGGCGTTTGAAAACTCAAAAATCACGGTTACTTCCGGAAAATCGTTGATGATAGCAGCTAGCCGGAGATCAAAATCAAGACATTTTCTACCTTCCACCTGGCAATATTCACACCTACAGCCAGAACCATAACCAACATCAAAACCACCGACCCAGCTATGGTCAATTGAAATAAAAGGGATGTCCCCATTCACACCTGCCCCCTCACAACACCTCCAACCCATCCCCGTCAATCACATTGATTATCGCCCCCCTGCTGTGTAAGGTGCCCACAGCACCCAGGCGCTTCAACAAATTTGATAATGCCCCCGCTCCTTTTTCTTTTCTTTGACTTCATGTTTTGTACAGTCCCGCGGCGCCTTGCTTTGTTTGCCAAAAGTTGGAATGTCGAAAACAGGCTATTCATAGGTAATGAAGCCACAGTGACCGTTAGAATTTTGTTGCTATGTAAAATAGACTGATTTTTTCGGTTTTCATCAGTGCAAAAAGGCTGGTTGCAGCACCCGACTTTTTTAATCTGAGTCATAGACCCTCGAAAATAAACAAAGAGTCGCATGAAGGGAATTGTGGAATTCATTTCTTCCAGTTGTTTTGATGAAATCAATTTCTGTAGCAAAATTTCCGAAGATTTTTATTTAGCTTTCTACCTAGCATGTAAGTTACTAAAAAAATCCCCAAAAATTTACCTATCTACAACGTTAGATAGTTTAAATAGTCGATTGTCGTAATCCTGTAGTGCGCATAAAACCCCCCTCATCGGCATGCACCTGTCGGAAAACTGCTTGCGCGGCTAAAATATTTGCTCATAAGGTGTCGCGTGTCGGGCAAAACGGGGTCTCACAACGATCGTAATCTAACGGCGGATCTAGAGGTGGGCGAGGGAAGCTGGCACGAGAAATGAACCATTTTTAAGGGCTACTATGCTTCCACTACTTTTTGTAGCGATCTTTGACCTTATTTGCATTGATCTATAGGCTGCATTTTTGCAACGGTCATTTTGGGAACAGGATTTTGAATTACTTTCCCTCTCTTGACTAAAGAAAGCTTGTTAGCCGCCACTATCCCCCTTATCATTTTCGCCCAATCCAAACTTGGAATGCCGAAAGTTCAAACAAATAACCCACTGACTCATTCGGATTAGGCGACTGCACAGCTTTTCCTTTTCTGCCCACCGGCACTGCAGTTTATTTCGCAGTTAGATAGGATTTTCGTTTTGCCAAGGCCAGTGGAATTACGCGGCGTGTTTACAATCGTATTGCGAAACGAAAAGTCAACAGTGAGGCGCGAGGCGGCATCCGGAATGACCCGTTTGTGAGGGGCCATTGTCCGCGCGGGGTTCCGACCGTCACATTTGTATTCCGGAGGTCCAAATCCAGGGGCCCGCCGTTGTTGCATGGCATGAAACCAACACCAGGACATACAAAGATGTGACCTGTTTGACACCGGGATTCCTGTTGGGCCGTATTTCCAGGTCGGACGGTATTTGGCGAAGTTCCTGGGAAGTACGATTCAGGAAGATTCTTTGGATTCAGATTCTTTTACCTATGACGTTGCAAAGCCGTGCTCATTCAAATCTGCAGCATTTTATATGCAAACCACATCGGCATTAGGTTTTTTAACGCAAATATATAAGAAAACGTACATTTTAATTTGCATCCAACTGAAAAAAAAACATAAATCAGAGTCAGAAGCTAAATAAAAGCCGCAGTTTTCCGAGTAGAGTGTAGTACACAAGACCGCTTCTGTAACTTGGAACGTAAAATTTTGAGTTCGCAATTTTCGACTAGCTATCCTACAAATCCTACGATCATTTCGTCGCTCCCTGATGGCCTAAGTTTTATGCAAATAACTCGAATCCCCCAAATATCCGTCACAAAATGTTAAGAAATTTTTTGATCTTTGTATAAAAATCTAAGAAACAGCGCTTTGTGGTCCCCCACATGATGAAGCTCAATCCAACCCAAACGTCTTCAAAATTCCCACATCCTGTCCTTTTCCACATCTGGTGCTGCCAGCCGGCAACCCTTATTTGCCCTCCCCTTTTTACCCCGGTGTCCCCGATGCTCTTCTTCGTTTGTATGTACAGTGTCACTGTTCGATTTCCTCGACTCGACCAACCCCGACACGCCGGTGCCAGAATCAGTAATGGGCCGGTTTTCGTGTGTACCGGGGCTCTCGAAGGGGCTCCTATCAAACCTTTGCCCTTCTTTCGCTTCTCCGCATATGCCCCCATCCTTCACTCGATCCAGCCGGGGCAACAATGGCAATACCCTCCCGCCTCGCTTTACCCTCCCCTTATTTGGCATTCACGACCGGATCCGACTTCAAACGCTTTTTGTCGGCTACTTCAATTATACTGTATTGCTGGGCGGGTTATACCCTACCTTGTGTCTGACTAAATGGATGGGACTTTCCTCGCGAATATGCCCTGTCTTTACAAAACACAGTAATCATACTATTTTTACATCCTACCATGTGTTTCATTAAATCTTCATCCCGATTTTCTATTCCAAACACTCACGTGCTCTCCTCCCCCCTTACCCATTCACCATTTAACCATGCACCAAACCGCCCATTTCTCGTCGCATCGTTAGGGCTAATTCGGCATGGTGCGGCAGCCATTTGAGTGTACCCCAGTCTCATTTAAATTCTGACCCGCACTACCACTCCAACCATTTGTTCCCCTCTCATTCTTGTCTATATTTAACCCAAAAGTGACCGTGCGTAAACTTATTTAACCCGTGCGTAAACTATGACTTGAAAAACACCACCCAAAATACGTGCATCACTTTACCTTTCATCAGCTCCTCGACATCACTTTCCCAGGTTTTTGATCATCCATTTTTCCGCATGATTCTAAATACCATCGATCTATTCACCGTCCAGTCACTGTCCCCTCGCCCTCTCCGCCCATCTTCGGAATTTATTTTTGTATTTTCAACGAGGCCCGGCCCGACTGACTGTCCGCTCTCACGTCATTTATTACGTTTGGCTCTCGCTCTTTCCTTCCAAGCAAACTGTTTTTCCTTGTTTTTCAACTTTTTGGACACTTACATATAAAACCCTGGCCCGCCCGCTAAATTGCCCACCCGGAAAGGTCATTGCAAATCTGTGGGGTTGGTGGTGGTCAAACCTGAATGCCGCGCGCAATTTTACGATGATCGATCTTCTGGCATGGATTGTAAGCCGTATCCCGCTAGGGGAGGGGGAGAGTCGCCATCTCATAAAGTTGGTACGCGGGAAGCAAGAAGAAGAAATAGAGGCAACGGGGGGAAGCAGGCTGCAAAAGGCCGCCCATCCCACATCCCGAACCCTGCGATCCGTTCACTTTACTCCTGAAGCGATGCG